CATCTCGTCGATATATCGATTTAAGTCATCGATATATTTATCCGCGTCCAGACCGTAGTTGTACAGGTCGTTTTCGCGGACTTCCAAGTGTGCGATGCGGTTCTGTTGCGCTTCGTACACCTTCTGGGCTTCTGCCAGGCTGTGTTCCAGCTGTGCTCGGAGTCTTTGTTCTTCCTTCAGCACATCATTTAGTCCGTGGACCTGGTCGGCCAATTGGGCGTTTGCTTGTTCCAGGTCGGTGGTGGCTCTACTTCGGTCGGGTGAGGCAGGTTGCTGGCCGTAGTGAGCCATTAGCTGTCGTCCTGCCCTGACCAGGAGAGTTTCCATCTCCCTTTCGAGTTGTTCAATGCGATGTTTCTGCCGGTCGACCTCGTCGTCGGCCTGCTTGAGTTCGACAATGTATCTGTCGACCTCGTTCCGGTATACTTCGGCCTCTTCATTGGCCTGCTTCAGCTGTTGGTGGAACGTCCCTGCTGCCAGTTCCGATTCGACCAAGGCTGTTTGTGTGTCAGCCAGGTCTTTTTCCACGGTGGCAAGGCGTCTCTTCAGTTCGAAGACCGATTCCACTGACGTTGCAAGTGTACTTCGGAGTCGTTCAATCTCCTCGAAGTCGTACCGACATGGGTTGTCGGACCTCTTGAGGTGACTCTCCAAATGTTCGATGCGGCGCTGTTGCGCGGCTATGCCATTGTTGGCTTCAGCGAGTTCCTTCTCCCATCGCTTCCGTTCGAGCTTATGGGTGTCCTCCGATCGCGACATCTGATTTTCCGTGGAGTTAACGATTTGGTCGGCCAGGACGATTTGTGTTATCAAATCCTGGCATCGTTTCCGGAGTCGATCGATGTCTTCGATCTTTTCTGGAGGTGTGGATGCAATCCACTTCCGTGCCGTGTACTCAAGCGTGCTTGCTTGGTACCTGTGGTTACCCAAGTGGGGTGCCACTGGCGTTCGGAAGAATCCATCCCTGCTGCTGGGACGTGACACTTGTGTCGTGTCAAATACGTCGTCCATGGGTGGTGGTGTTCCACTACCCGAGTCGCCAAGTTCGAACATGAGTGGCGACCTCTTCTTCAGTAGGTCGACAGGTCGACTTGTTGGCGACTTGTCGGACTTCACCTTCGGTTGAGTTTCTGTTGCTCGGGTCGACCTGCCTTCCGTTGGCGAAGGTCGACTTAACGGTGAGATAGCCTTTTCGTTAGGCATCGGTATGTTGGTTGGTGATCCAGCCGGGTGAGGTCCACTTCGTGGCGGGGCCTCGGTTTCTCCCGTTTTGGCCGGTAGTTTAGGCCACTGGATATCCATATCCGACCTGTTGTCCACTGGCTTCTGTTCCAGGGAGGTCGGTTGTACTTGACCGGCTTGGTGTTGTCCGACCCTTGAGGTCGGTGGAAGTTGTCCGACCTCGGTTCTGACTTGTGTTGTCGGACGAGGTCCGACCTCCATGGTCTGCCTTTGTTGACCGACCTTGGTCGGTGGGAGTAGTCCAACCTCAGTTCCGACTTGTGTTGTCGGGTGAGGTCCGACCTGAGTAGGCGGCTCCTGTTGACCAACCTCCTTGGTCGGTGGACTTCCATCTTTCTTGGTCGGCGAAATCCTCCCGACTTCTGTTGTCGGTTGGACTTGGCCAACTTCCTTGGTTGGTGATTGCTGTAGTCTTCCGACCTCAATTCCGACTTGTGTTGTCAGATGAGGTCCGACCTCCGGTTGAGGATAACCGACCTCCGAGGTCGGTTTCCGTTGACCGTCCTTAGAGGTTGGTGAAGCCCTACCGACTTCTGTGGTCGGTTGGACTTGACCGATTTCCGTTATCGGTTGCTTCTCTCCGACCTTCGAGGTCGGTGAAGTCGCTCTACCCGAGTTGGGCGATGTCGACCTCTTCACGTCATCCGTCTGGTTGGGTGATGTGTGTCCGGCGTCGGTGACTTTCGTAGTCGTTACCGACTCCTGAGCTTTCTGTGAGCTCAGTTGAAGTCCTTCTGTTGAGTCCGTAGAGGTCGGTACACCATGTGGGTGTTCCGCCTCGGCATGAGACAATGTGGTCTCAGCCTGCAGTTTCTCCATTTTTCCCCCGGTCGGGTGGGACGGGGCTGCTAAGCCAGCTCGGGGCTCGAGGAACGTCTTGTCGTGGGCGTCCTCGAAGCTGTCATCGGACGTTGGGTTGGAATCGGCGAGGAGGATCCGCTCGTTGCGCTTCTCCCTTGCCTCGGCCGACTTCGTTGAGTCCGTTGATGACGGCTGACTTTTATCCTGACCGGAGTGCCGTAGTGCATACGGCGCGTTGGAGGTCAGGCGCCGCGAATAGTCCGTGTTGAACTTTCGGGCGTATTCGTTTTCCTTCGGGTTCGACATTGTTGTCGGGTCAGGTCGGTTCAAGTGGAACCAACGAGAGACTTGTACTGTTGTACAGTAAATTGAACAATCCCTTATGTGGGGATGTTCAATTGAATCAGGAACGTCTTTGGGTTCAGGAACTTCCGAGGGTCAGGATGGTCCGACTTGTTGTTGTTGTTGTTGTGTTGATGTGTCTGTGTATGACTCAGTACACAACGTTACAATACAGTACTATGGTACAGTACAGTATGATAAGGTACTACAGTAGAGTACGTCCTATACTACTGTGCTGACCAGTATGACGTCACAGGGCTAAGTGGTCTTGCACTTCACTGCCTACGTCACAGAATGCGAGCCGCGTGCAAAATTTAAAAAATGATGATTCACGCCTATGTTAAGCTTTATGGGAAGTTTCCCTGCACGCTGATTGGCTAGCCTCAAAGTACTGAAAATCGAGCGTTCTGACGTCACAAGGAAATTCGAGAATTTTCGCGCTTATTTTCGCGGAAAAACAAGAATATTTTTAGGTCGATCAGAGATGTTTTCTGGTCGAAATTTTAATTTTTAACCGTTAGAAATAATTTCTAGGTTCTTTAGAAATTTTTCTGACGGTGGAATGTCCGTCGAAATGAAAAAGAAAGTGAATGACCGACCTCTGGTCAGTTACACAGAGTGGTCCATTAGGTCGGTAAAGTAATTTTGTAGGTCGGTTTCTCCGACGAAAACTAACTTTTTACCGTAGAAAAATTATTTCTAGTTCTTAGAAATAAGTTTAAACCGTAGGAAACTAGGAATCTACCTAGATTCGACCTGTGTCGACCTGTAACCAGGACTTTACCGTATGTTACTGGTGTCCGTGGAGGTCGGTGATCCGCCGTTGGGAGGTCGATTTCCGTTAGAGTTGCGGGTCGCCGTTCAAGGCGAAGGTCCCCGATTGTTGAGAGGCTCCTTCTGGGCGCTGCAGGCTACTGTCCGAGCCTGATCCGTCAGTTGGGATTGGGGAAGTTCCCGTTCGTCCGTCTGGGGCAGTCAGCCGAAGTGCTCTCCTTGTGTGGAAGAGCCAAAAGATAGGGCAAGCGAAGGTGGCAGGGATCGCTTTTGCGATCAACCTGTTGCTACCACAGTCGCTAGACAGCAAAGACCAGGTTGAAGCAGAGGCTGCGTTCGCAGTCAATCTGACTTTCAACCACGGGTTCTCCGAAGTTCTCCGCGAAATTATGCCTTTACCGTCTCCTCAAAGGATCCGGTAGAACGAAAAACCAGACGATCTGCTTACCATGTGACAGGCAAGCACAGAGAGCTCACAGGTGACTTTATTGTACAAATAAAGTGGAGCAAATGCCGCGTGAATGCGGGGAAAAACACAACAAAGGCCAGTGTCTGGCAGAAATCAGCAAGTCAAGTTGCTGCGAGCTAGTTCTAGAGCGTAATGAAATGTAGAGAAAGAAATGTGCTGGCGGCAACGGCGTCACGCTGTCCAGACACATGGAATGTGAGTGCGCAGACTGGACTCGTATCCAACGCGAGCGAATATACGCTGAGTCATACAGCGAGAGAGAGGAGCGAGAGAGCAAGTATGCTCAGTGAGTGCGCCCGCGGTGTATCCGCATAGGCGGAGAGTGCAGTGCAGCCACTCACGTACGTACAAGAGAGGGCGAATCAGCATGTGTGCAGTGATACGCATACGCAAAGTGGCGTATCTATCACGCAGGCTGTCGTGCCTCTAACAGTCAGTTTGACCACGACGGCATTGTACTTATCCACATGCACTGGCCCATTCGTGGAAGCATCCTCCTCGCTAAGCTTGGACTTGAGCGCTCCCATCGGCGGAGGCGGCAGACGGGTCTTCTTCTTCGAGAGGCGATACCATCCTGGACGCTTACTGTTTAGATAACGGACGAAGTAATATGAGCCGGAAATCACCGCCCCAGCCGCTGCAAGCTTCGCCACGGTTTTCCAGAATTCTGGATTCAAATGAACTGATGACGGTCGAAGGAAGTTTTCCATGGTAGTTAGCTCGCGAGACATTTTTTATTTACTGCGAAACGACACTCTAAGCATCCGTTAATAATATACCAAAATTAAAACAAGTCCATCAGTTGTGCTATGTCGGGCGAGAGATCTATTAAAATTGCCGGTCACGAGATATGCAATCGCCGCTCTCTGATTAAAGACTTCCTTCGTTGGCACTGAGATCCTGTATCAAATTTTGCTTTATCAGTTGTGCGATAATGAAAGGAATATGCACGATACTGTCCCTGATTTACTGCAGGCAGGCTGCGGCGTTAAAATAATAATAATTAGTTTTGCTTGCATAGAGCGGATGCGCGTGTGTACCCAGAAAACGTCGGCATCGTATACTGGTGTACACAGTTTAAGAACTCAACACGTGCGCGACTCACACTGCATGGTCAAGGTCAAGGTCAAGGTTCGAATCCAGAAGTCGCAAGGAGAAATGCTTACTTATGGTTAGACACAGAAACCGGTTCAAAAATTCTCAATCGCACGTACGTACTGTGAGTGTAAAACCAGCGCATCTGTACCATATTAATTTTAACGAGCAATCACAATAATTATTATGTTCGATTTTGGTTACCGTTCTTGTATCTGTACAACGTAGGTACGAGTACAGTACGTTTGCCAGAAATAGCGACACCGTGGTTTTGCATCGTCATGGCTAGGCGTGGATAGTTGTGTGTGCTTTCGTGCAGCGGTCATACTTTCTGTCAGTCCCATGCACAGTACAATAGAACGCTGGGCTTTCATCCTGATCTGACGAAATCCAATGGCTTTTCTTAAGCTTGCTTAAGCAAATTGCGTAACGCAGGGTCACTCGTCCTGTTGATTGTCCTCCTTATTATACCTAGAGATGACTGTACGAGTACTTTACATCGCGCCACCGGGCAGAAACTGCCTCAGTGCGATTTAAATGCAGGTCAGGATGACAAAAATTAATACAAGGCGAATGGATAATATTAGCCGACAATGCAACCAAAAATATTTAATTAATAGTATATGTCTCTAGTCTTTGTGGTCTTTGACTTGAGTTTCGGTAGAGCGTGGTTCTCCCTGGATGGCCCGCAAGATCGCCGGTGCCGTCTGAAAGGCAATCAGTGTGGCGATCGCCGGACCAACCCAGTAGATCATAAAAAAATCACTGCCAGTTATTCCCTGACATCCGAACTCCATGGCAAATGACAGGGATGGATTGAAATATCCACCGGTAACAAACAGACCTAAACACGAGGAAAACAAGCTAATATTAACTAATGCGCGCAAAGTTGTTCTGCACCCGAGTAACGTACGGTAACAAGAATATGCCGGTTACATGGTTCTGCACAGGAAATGGTTAATCGGCTAAGACAACTCGTGCAGTTACAAGTAACAGAAACCGCAAGCGGACAGTATCATACAAATTAGTAAATTACTTGATGTGAATAATTAATATGTAGGTACTTGCATGTTATGCCTAATTACATGCGTTATCGTATGATACAAACTGGTACTATGTATCTGCCACTGCAAAATTTGTGAAATCGCTCCTGAATGTTCGAGTTTGACTGGGCTGCAAATTTGGCATAAAAGGATTTAAGTGAATTTTCGTGGGCTTGATGTTGAGCGATATGATACAGTATACCACAGTAATTTTATTATTCAACTGTATTTACCGCAGAATGTTATGGCCACATCGGACAGTCCACCGGAAAGCATATTGAAGCCATCAGATGCTTGCATTAATCGGTTGACGAAGGTTTCGCCTCCTTCGAAGATTATACCCAATAACAACGACACCTAAACAACTCTAACCATTTTTAATCTTTGAAAAATTTTTGAATGAAACAATGAAGCAGTACCTGTAAACTGGCCGTGCACAGCACCGCCCCTTCAAAAGAATTAGCATGCTCTGGAATCAAGCGGAACGCCCAGAACATCTTCGCCGCTTTGTACGAGACCGCCGCTCCCCCGATGGACAGCGCTGAACGCAGCACACACTCACTAACACCAATCTGCCGTTTCAACCATTTATCCAGGCACTCCGTGGGATCGGCCGTACCGTCTTCGAAGGTCAGACTGTACGACATGGACGTGAAGAACAATCCCAGCGCGTAGCCGGAGAATCCGTACACCTCGGTAACAACGCCTAATTCGAAATTGCTAGCGCATAATTGCACGGTGCATATAAACTCCTCCACGGCAATGCGGTATAGGGGACTGGTAATTAAACGGTTGGACAGGAAGCGGGCGATCTGGCAGTAGAGGATGATGAAGGCAAAGTGCGCAATACTGGCGCCAAGTGGGATGAAGCCAGGAACGGCCGCTGTGGTGGTTTCGGCAGCGGATGATTCCAACTCGGGAAGGATATCGAAATCCTCCGAATTGGGGATCACTTCGTCCATTGTTGAATTTTTTTAGGGAACGTTTAGTTAAAGTTTAATAATGTACTGGAAGCATTATGCGCGGAAGAATTCTGCCTTGCGTGCGGAGAAGTCGGTAATGTGAGAACGCTGGCACTGCATGGATGCTATTTTCAGATGTTCAGACGCCATCGGCTGGTCAGAACGCTGCGGAGAATGTATCGTATATCATACTGTACTTGATCTAAAATTAGATTATGGATGCTGCGTAGGCAAACAACATGCGGGAAGAATTTTTTTACAGTGATGAGTCATACGCAGTTGATTGCAGCGCGATGTTTAAGATCGTGCGGAGATATCCGTTGCAGTGATCAGATAGCCACTGGCCAAGCTGACTCGTGTGCGCTGGCTGAATTTTGATTTTACAGTTACAGTAGCTCCACGCGCATCGGCAACATTAACGATAATGTTGCCGATGGAAGTTGGAAGATGTCTGCGGTTGGAAGATAATAAATCCCGACCAGTGCAAGTTGTTTCACTTCAGCAACAAAATCATGGATAACCGTATTTCCGGGATATTAACGTGAAATTGAATGTCTGCGGTTGGAAGATAATAAATCCCGGCTGGTGTCAAATGGTAGATATTTGAGCGTGTTCTACACGAGCCGATTATATATAACGAGCCCTGTGGGTGAATGAGCAAAGACGTTTATTATGGGTATAACGAGAAATCGACAAGGAGAATATTAATTATCAACCAAAATCACCATAAATCTTGATAGTGTGAGTATGGATGCGTAGCCTGCATGCTTTTGCAAAACTTTCAGGAAGTCGTGACGTTAAATTACAAAATCGTGCGTAGAAGTGAGAAAACCGTCCTGACAAAATATACTTTACGTGCAGTGATTCCCTGCAGCAACAAGTGAAAATGCTGAGTGTGTCTGGATCTATTATATACGTCATACATGTATAACGATGTTGCAGTATTAATTTACTGTTACTAACAAGTAGCAACTATTGTGAAGAGTAAGAACCAACTATGCTTTACTGGAACTGAAGTAGCGTTCTGTAATTTGTACACCGTAAACAAAGAAACCGCTTTCAAGAAATCAGTTATGTACAGCTCGTGCAAATTGCAGTATGAATGTACCTCGCACAATACATGCGTGTTGCACTCCTTGGGTTGTACATTATGAATGCTGCCGGCGGCGTCGGCGTGCTGATGTGTTCTGAAAGGACCGAATTCTGACAGAAAAGAACTCACTCAGTACGGAAGCTCATGTAGAAGCAAGGTATACTCGTATAATTATAAGAGATAAATATAAGAGAACTCCTTTATACCGTGGTAGAAGTGAACGAACGATATATGTTTTTTGTGTGGGAAAGGTAGCACTAGCAAGGTGTGTTAGGATTTCATCACTCTTGTGGTTACTGCAACAGTTGCAGTGTTGCACGTTGGGCCGGAAAACAAGAGCGGTAAATTAAGTACAAGAACTATAAAAGTACGTATCGTGAACGCAGTTCATGCGAGTACTCTGTATTTACTGCAGATCTGTTCCATGAACCAAATTAAACATATTCATGTGCACCATCAAATGTAACTACGAGCTATAATAAACTTTTGGACCCTAAATATAAACTAATTTCACTGCAGCGAATAAGTCTTGGGTTATCGTATGCTGGAATTGCACAGGAAATAACTAAGTCGCTATAAGCAGACAGTAATGTACAGTACTCGTACTTCCAGTGGATGAAGGCATTTCGAATTTACAATATATTGCAGTTACAAGTACTTAACCAAAGTCGCCTCTCGCCCAAGTTCAGGACGATCCATGCATGACCACTTTAAAAAGCATTACTGTGCAGCCAGTACTATTTATTTATTAAATCGGTTAGAAACTTTCCCAACGTAAAATTTCACGTGTTGCAAATTAAAACTTCAAGGCCAAAGAAACACTGTAGCATCTACAAATTGTAAGAATTCCCTAAGTTTTGGATGACCTTTCTCATACTACGAGAATTTTCTTTAAATGTTCAATGCTATTTCTACCGCAAAAATGTTTTTAAGAAATCCGTTGCCCCAACAAATTGTATGATCTCCTTTTCTGTAATGTCTTATTGCGAAAATTTGACATACAACATTGTGCAATGTGTGTACACTATTCATTGCCGATACAGAATGATACCGCAGCGCTGGAAAGTCGACGCAGTGGCTAAGAAGTATCCGTGATCCGTGCATGGCTAGCGCGAAGGAAGCCTCTGTTAACAGCACCGCAGATCCTGATTGCGCGAGCTGCTTCGTAATGTCCAACTACCTTTGCATTGGTCAAGTGTATATAAACTTGTTTTCAGCCTAATATTATTTGCTTTCGCGTATTAGTTTTAGTGCAAACTTTCGCCGTCTGTTGCATTCTACGATAATCTAGTTAACTTTTTATATAACCACAAAGGTCATCGTTTACCATGATTTCTGCACAGATCTCCTTTGCCACATTGATTCTCGGTTTAGTTGGTTGCAGTTATGGAGCCCCCGTGGATGGTGACGCCGGTAAGACTTTCTAAAATATAGTCCAAGTTTCTAACTATATATGTAGCGCTAAAATATTTTACTTAGAATGCTGCAAACATGCTACAGCTACAGGTGCTATATGTTTGCGAATTTTACCTGGCTAAACCTATAAATATATAAGATAAGAAGAGCGTCGCATGTTAATGACTAATACCAGCAAAACAATTCGGAACTAACAGCGTCTGTTGTCATTTTCAGCAAATCCCGACGAGCGCGCCCTCATTCGATCGGTAACTGCGCAACGGGGCATTTTCGGTGGCTTAGGAGGATTTGGATTGGGCGGTCTCGGCTTCGGTGGACTTGGCTTCGGTGGACTGGGCTACGGGGGCCTCGGTTACGGCGGACTCGGTTACGGTGGTCTTGGTTATGGTGGTCTTGGCTACGGTTTAGGCGGACTAGGTTATGGTGGATTCGGCTTTCCAGGTATTTTCAACGGTTTTCTGTAACTGCCCACGTTAAATAGTTCTTCATTATGAATAGTCCATCTGTACCGATAAAAGTTCCGTATAATTTATTGTAAAGCGCTAACGAAAGTTACAATTTTGAAGGGCAAAGCAAATCATGAAATTAGTGTACTAGTAGTATATTCGCTTTAATAGTGCTTAAGTTTTAATATCGCATCCAATGCTAATTGTTTACTGAAACAGCACACTGACCAAAACTGCGGTGTTCTAGGTCTCTTTTTCGACGAAGACCCCAGTGCCGAAAGCGACGAATCTCAAGACGAAGCGATGACCTCCAAGCGTGACTACAAGACCGTCGTGATTCCCGGCCACAAGATCCGCAAACTGAAACTACAGGTGTACAAGAAGCAGGGAGAGGAGTCTGCTGTAGACAACGCTTCCAGCGCCATTGGTTCTGCCACCATGGAGACCATGCCCTCCGCCAGCACGACCAATGAGAAGATCCGCGTCATCCGTGTCCCCCACTCTGCATTCCGTCGTCTCATGCATCGCATTCGTAATGCGGCCGAGGTCACGCCCAGCGCGGAGTCTACCGACAACAGCGAGTCCAACATGGAGAACATCGATGTGGACAACAGCGAGCAGGAGATGACCAAAGGCAAGGGTATGCAAGTTATGCGTCTGCCTCATCACATCTTCAACCGCTTCGCCAGCACCATTCCCAAGGAGATGCAGACGGTGGTGACCGATCGGGATTTGCAGAACGTTGTGCACGGTAAAGAGAATTCCATGATCCGGGTTGTTAATGTACCGCATGACGTGTATAAGCACATGTATGAAAAGTTTGCTGACGAATAAGTACTAATATCGTTGTTGCTTGATTGTTAAAACGAGTTATGTTTTCTGGTCAACGGATGAATGTATTTTTGATACAGTAATCTTTGTTGTTATCGGCGGTTTTTGTATGAATGCGTAATTGCAGTAATAAAAAAACCCATAAAATCAACATGTTGTTTCCAACTGTAGCGTACACTTACAGCAGGCTTAGCGCAACGACTTTTAGCTTTTTTCACCGGCAAAAATTATGTGCTTTCCCAGTTCTTTAATCGTTTGGTTACTACAAGTATGTCGTTTAGCTATGCCGCTGCTAGTTTGAAGAAGTACGGAAAGCAGGCTGCTTGATTGTTAAAACGAGTTGGGTTTTTCTTATCAAAAGAAAGTTGTACTTAATTTATATGGAATAAACAAGTTTGTGCATCAGGAAGCGCTGCTTTTATTTTCCATATGATGTGTATAAAAACAAGACAGAGAATTTGCCTTTATTTTTGCCAATGTTTAGAAAATGTCTAAATTTTATGGAAGTTATATTTGCATCGTTAAATTACTTTGTTTTCGAAGTTTTCTGGCAATCACTTTTTGTATTTGGCATTTTAATTTTTTCCAAAAGTGGTAGGTACAAGCTTGTCCCGTAATTTATATCGCTTCAACACAACAAATCAACTATCACTTTAAATAACAAGCAATTATCACTCAGTTCACGCAGTTATCAATTTAAATTACGAGTGATATAAACTAGTGATATAAAAGACAAAATACGGACCAAAACAGTGAATTTTTACGATCAATTGTGAAGAAACAAGATTGTGAAATGAATTTTAACAAACCGCCTGGGATTAGTGATTACCATTCAATGTGTATCAAAACAAACGAAAACGACGCTCCACAAACTATTAGATGTTAGTAAAAGTCATATTGACTATCACTTCAAGCTGCTCTTCCACCAGCTGATCCGGATGGGCATCCAACGCGTCTGTGTCCTTTCCTGATGGCAACACAGAAATACTAATTAATATTAGCCTCACAAACATCGGTCCAAATCACAAAACACCAAACAAATATATTACCAAGTACACTCGTCTGAGTTTTAAAAGAAAAAACTGTTACAAAGGAACTCCGATTAGGCTAATTCGTCCAGTTCTTTATTTTGCACTAATTCTAGCAAATTCCTGAACATTTAGCCACCCAGATACGCACCTCGCCTTAGCGATACTCGTTTGTGTCGTCCCTGCTCAAAGTAGTGCTGCTTCGTCGTTAAAAAATCCGTGAACTCTGTCATCTGGCGTTTTCGCCGCTCCGACACTTCCTAAAATTCACAAATCACGGTTTTTGTACATGCGTGCGCTACAGTTATGACCACCCACCTTCGAGGCTTTTGATGCCAGCAAGCGATCCTTGGTTTCGAATTGGGATGCGTATTTCTTCAGGTTCTTCTTGATATCTTTGAGTTTCTCTGCTGGGAGAATGGAAACGGGTCGGGGTCGCCAGCTAAACATACTCAATCCGTCCACTTTCTCACTACGGATATACCGGCCTTGGAAGGAATACAGTGTAAATCCATTATCTTTCTGTCAATTCACAAAAATTTCTGGGTGAACCAAATCTATTAACTTTTATACTCTAAAGAACGTCAGCAAAAGATATAACGGTGTCAAATCCGGATACGCCGGAAACAACTGCACTGTCTCAAAGTACAGAAATTGCTTTTACAAATTTAGAGCAAGCATCCCCCGACCGATACGGTCCGATGATGTCCACACAAAAACCAACGAAGAAAAAACGATATTACGTTCTAATATTGCACTACTTTGCAACTACCTAATAACAAATTATTACCCTATTTCCGGCATTCGAAGAGGATGTAACGGCTGTGAGGTAGCGTCCTGTGGGATCCCACTGGACGTCCGAGAGCAGGAAGTGTTCCACATCGGCCAGCACTGACAAATCGGCGGTGTCCACAAAACTTAAATACCCGACGCTTCCGCTGCAAAAAATACAGACTGTCCCAAAAAGCAAAATGTCAGAAATACGATTGTGCCTTACCCGGAAGCCGTGTGAAGAACAACGAACTGTCCCACAGGTGACCATGAGATTTTCTCCACTTTGTGCCGCAGCGCTAATTTTTCTAGAACCCATTCAAACATAATAATCAGCTTAAAACTGTAAAAAATGCAGCCGAAAGTATCGATAAATCATAAACTACATCGCAGAATAACTTATTAAAGCAACTGCGAGCGAAGTACTGTATAGAAGAAAGTGCACTGACAATGAACTTGCCGAAGAGCTGAATAGATACTCGTAACAATAAAAGTTTAAAACATGCACAATAATCCAAGTTCCGAGACTATGAGATTTTCTCGAGACAAGATAAAGCAGCTATGACTCTTTGAAAAGTTAACAACTTAACAGACAAAATGCCCTAGACATTCACTTATTGCAGAAGCCACTAAAAGCACAGATACTCAAAAATGTAAATTTGCTGTAGGTAAATTTTCGGTAGACAACGGCACTTACTAAATAATTCGAACGTGACGCCTTGTCGTCCACTGTAGAAATTAGCTGATGTTACTGAATCAGCCACCGTCAGCACCACTAATTTGTTGCCGTTTGGTTCCCAGGATAAATCCACGATGGGATCTGCAAAAGGTCACCCACATTCGTTCGAAGTTTTCTGGTAAACCACTATCTTGCTGAAACCGTATTTACGGTAACTTAAGTTTTTTTAACTAAGAGAAAAAGACCCACGAGAGATACGAAGAATATTAACATGGCTACAAAAATGCAGAGCGATCTTGCAAAATATATTCTACCTCTTTCTCAAACAACTGCCACGAGATTCGTAACCCTACTTACGTTACAAGGCAATTACCATTTCGGTAACGAACACATCTTGCAGCGTGTAACTTCCCTAAACTTCCCAAACCCGAACACTCTACTCACCTCGTATCTCAATGGATTCTACGGGGACTTCCTGTCTCTTAACCAGGGTGAAAATCTCTAGGTTGTGAAATACTCCAATGTAATCGAACCTGTCGGCGCCTTTTTTCTTAATATGCTTATAACGCTGCACTTTGACGGCCATGTAATCGCCGTTCTTCTGCCAGTAGAACTCGCAGTCCTTGACGCTGAACAGCTGTTTACTGCGGATCTCCTCCATGGGCTTGTCTTTGTCGGGAGGAATGTATAGAAGAATGACCCGGGCCGGTACATCTTGGTTGTCACTTTCCCGCACCCAGTATGCGAGATAATTGTGTGCCGGGCTCCATGAGAAATCGGCCACGCCGGGGATATCGCGGACGACACGAGAGAAAGTCTACGGAAACAGTGCAAATGCCCACGACTTTCCAAATAGGCTTGCGATATTAATGTCTAATCAAATCGTTGAGACAAGCTTACGTATCGAAAAAAACATAAGCACATACTAGTAAACAGTAAATAGTAATACTAGTAAACCCTAGTAGTAAAAAATACTATTAATTACTAGTAAAGGTAAGTACTATTAAATAGGTATCTTTCTGAATTCGAAATCATGGAAAATCGTTTACATCAAATAATTGCCACTAACCTTGGTGTTGTAAATGTTAATACATTCGTTCTTTGTCATTGTGGCAAAGTAGTTTTCGTCCGGACTCCACCTGGAATGTGACCCGCATTCAAATACCAACGAAATAAAAAAATTTACAGCATGCGCTGGTCTCACTTAAGAAAATTCGGATGCGGAGAATCCTTTTCGCTCCAGGCGAATCTCTTCTTTTTTGCCGACGTTACCACATCCCACAGAATCATACACTGGTCGTCAACTGGCAGATACTCGGGCTTGTTGCGCATCGTTAGGACATAACTAGCCAACAGAATTTTCATATCAAAAATGCAAGACTCGTTTTCTGATCTGATTAACAAGTAAGAGAATCAACAATACTACGAAAAACAACCGACGACCAAAATACTACTCTAGCCATAAGCAATGGTACGAGTAGCACATTTACCGCTCATTAGGAGAAAGTGATGCATTAACGGCTCCCTCGTGGCTGAAACGGGTGATCTGCGCAAATCTTGGTCCGCCCCACAGGGCTACTCCTTTCTGGTGAAAAGTGGCCAGGTAGGTGCCAAGGGGTGACCACATGGCGTAGCGGTCGGTCCAGTGCTAAAAGAACGTCAAGTGAATGATTCATCCAGAACTCAAGGCAACAACGGACTTCGAAATGGTGCTACAGAATTTCCACTCATATACAAAGTACAATAGCGCTATAGGTTGTTGGTGTAACATCTCTATGTAGTCCACTGTAGTCTGAAGGCGGAAGTGTTGAAAAATAACATTACCTATGCAAGTGCTTTCACTCAATTGATCCATCAAACAGTACTGTCGTGCGTTATAACTTCTTATAACTGTTTAATTCATAAAAGAAGAACAAAATTTGCTAAAAAAAAATTGATCGCTCACTTAAATAGTTAAAAATATGTCTATATTAAAAATGTTTATTAGAAAAAAGGTCGATTGAGACACAGCAAGTTAAAAAGCAAAGAAACCTTGTTCAACAAATCTGAAGTACACAAACCTCACAGTAGTAGTCATCTGAAGTACACAAACCTCACGTTCTTGCAGCAGAGCGGGTTCCACGGGAGAATTCGCATAGGCCGTCATCTTCTCGGTTCCGGTGTCGCCGCCCCATATGACAGCGTAATGATCATAACAGTCTTCACTTTCCAACCAATAGCGCAAATTCTCCTATTGAACGACAACCAAACTAATTATAAAAGCTCAGAATAATTCCGAATTGTTCCAAAGCACGCACGGGATCCTTGAAATCCTGAACCATTGGCTCTTCCGCTTCATCCGGGACCGAAATATATCTGAAAATTCGGATTTCTAAACAAACTTTTCTTACTGCGTTAGACAGACTGAAAAAAATATGCGAGTTCAATTGCCCAAATAATGACGATTTAAGAGGTTTTTTACTGAATATACCGGTATCTACACGGCTACACCCCATGACTGGGAATCTGGGATGACGTTTTTTTAAGCATAAAAATACATGTTAAGTAGTAACATCACGTTAATAGTTATTTTCGGGAGTGGAAACTCACTCCTATCATATTTGGAAATGGGATGTTCCCGAAATGTCACCACCATTCGTTCAGAAAAAACTGGCGTCATAGCTCGGTTAGGGTATTTGACGATTATGCCACGACACGAGTATTATTGCTACTTCGGATGTACTTAATAATTATTCTGATAGGAAAAAAAGTCATCCTGATCATGGGGTATAGGTACATTTTATACCACTGTCACGGCCTTACTTATCAAAATCCATGAAGAAGTCTGCAGATAATGTATGCTGCTTGTCGAATTTATATCCATTCATCGCCTTCTTAATCCGGGCCGCTATAGGCGGCTCCGCATCAGAATCAGCAAACTCATAAAACGCAAAGCTGGGATCGAAAAATTCCGATAAACCACACAGATTACGTACAAGCCCAGCATTTCACCATTCGAGCGTACCCCTTGGACACGTTATTTTCATCAATCGGATGAATCTCATTGATTATTTCCGAAACATCAAACTGTGCTTGCTGTCCCATAATCTTCTTGAGCCTGTTCCTCAACTTCTCCAGGCGCTCCGGTGGCACCATAGGCAGTCCATCCAGAATGATGATACTCTCCATTCCCATCGTTTCATTGGGACGCAGTTTCTGGATGTCCGGTAACAATTCTGTAAACAATACGGAAACATGACTCCCACCAAAGCAGGATGGGAAAAACGTAAAAGAACCCCGCTGACTGCTGAGGGTGGGCTCACCTTCATCAGTGATACTGTCGAAATAGTCGGCTGGATCGGCAAAATCCGGCATGTGGGGATAGCTTGCAGAATCGGAGCGCGATGCCGTCGGACGTTTTCGGCCATCGACTAAGGTAGTCATTTTTATATGAAAAGAAATTAAATGTAAATCTATGAAGATACAGTAAATTATCTACCAAAAAAATGCAGAAAATTTGTCGTGGCTGCGGTGAAAGGGTGACATCATCATAATGACATCATTAATTTTGTGGTCAGCCAGCGAGCAGAAGTTAGAGACATAAGAAGTCCGTCCGTTAAAATGCTAGCTGCATCCTGCGGTAGGTAGGCTCTGACTGGATCCACTTGTGTTTGTACCTACTACCTACTACCTAGTACCTACACAGTTTAAAGCTGCTCCGTGAATGATTCATCATTCATCATACTTTGTTACTTATTCATAATTCTCCTATGCATTAAAAAATTTATTTTATTAGTTTCCTTTATGACCGCTTTTATTACTTATGGTCTTTTTTAAATTATTCGGGGTTATAGGGGGGGGGGGGGCTGATTCCATCGGGTTGCCGCGTCGGCGACTCGGCGCAAGAAGGTGTATTAATTATATCATCAAGTACGTACAGTAATCTTTGTTGTTATCGGCGGATTTTTACGAGTGTGCCATTAAAGTACGTAGTAAAAACGACTTCAGCTTTTTTTGACCGGCAAAAGTTGTGTGCTTTCACAATTCTTCTTTATCCGCTGCTGATTAAAAGAGTCATGCGTTCAATGCCGGAAAACGCAAAACTGTTTAGAAATTTTTAAATGGCTAACTACGCAAATTGAGCTGAATAATTCTGGCAATAATATCTCCATGCAGAAAATAAACACTGAGAGTGCAAGGAGTGCACCGCAACTGTAGAACACTGTCAACAAACTTGGTAAAGCCAGGATCGAGGCGGCTGACGTGCTTGCATACGAGCGGCCACCCTGGGAATCATACGCAGCTGCTTTGTCGCGATATGACAGGACCCTGTGGATATCCAGCAGATGTTTGGTAATCCCAACTTGGGCGAGCTCTAATGTTCTACAACAGTGTCTGAACTTTATGGCTTCTGAGAAAGCTATCTCGACATTTCTTACCTAATGCTCATGAAAGATGTCATCGAGCTGTTCTTTTGAAGTTGGAACGGACTTATCCAACCGTACACATTCAGGTCAAAAGCAGGAACAATTCGTCGATCGCTGCAGCCAGCGTTATCGGCAAAGGTACAGAAAACGGCGTATTTTTCTCCTTTAGATGCGATATTCAATAACATGGCATCGGAACCGTTGAAATTGTTGAGGATGACCTTTTCAGCTACTTGCTGTGGTGCGTACTTTTTCAGATCGGCATCAATCAAGTACGTCGACTGCACCAGTAACTTGAATTCCGAACGCAAAATCAGACTGTCCAGTGAGCGAAAAGGGAAAATAATCGAATTAACGCTAAGGTTAGCCGTTAAGAACGAACCCAGGATGGTGAAGATAATTAAGGACCATTGCAGCCAAAACAGCAGCAAAAAATTGTAGGTTTTCAGTATGGCTGATTCGCGCATATCCGCTACAAAATGAATATCTCATTAATTTTTTTTCAATGCAAAAATCGAATTTTAATGGCTAGATCTTGCCTTGGCTGATGGCGCCGTAAAACATCTCCCAGTACGTTTTGCGAAATGCCACATAAGTCAGCGCGCATACGGAGTTCCAGCATGATCTTTTGAGGCGGGTATCCACAAAGTTACACAACCAGAAAACAAACAACAACCAGATGGATAATACTGCAATGCTCATCCAGGAATTAAAGTCAAAGCTGCCGGCTAATCCCGAAAGAATCGGCGCGGTGGTGCTGGTGTTAATATGGCTGCTGAGTATGCCCACTTGGTAAGAGCGAGTGATAGCGTGTAATGCCACCAGATCGTATTGCAGCAGACGGATGGCGGCGAAACTCAGTGGGCACACGCTAATCTGGGCGCGACCACTCAAGACATCAGCAGGAGCGCCACCGAAGGAAGTGTTGTACTGAGCCGGATGTCGATCGGGCAATAAGAGGAGCCTAAATAAGAAATTAAGCTACCTCGTTTGCGACAGCGATTCTGCCAGTTTATACATTTTTAGAAGGCTATGAAGTTACGTTGTATTTAGTTATTCATATTACTAACTAACCGCTTTCCCATGCCGGAGAAAATATCCCGTAAAAGCGAAACGGATAATCCACAGAAACATTGCGATCCCGGTGGGGATTCATAACTGTAAGGAGGATTTTCGTTGACACTGACGACGGTCAGGTCTCGAATGCGATGGGACTGTAGATGTAGATCACCGAGTTTTAGCAAATCCTCGTACGATTCGGCACTGCACACTCGATACTTTCGGTCGCATTGGATTAAACTAGCCATATATCTAATAGGAGAGCTCTTTTGTTAAGGTCACACAATTACTGCATCTTCTTTTGCTGCTTCTATCCTATAAGAGTGCATAGTTGATAGTAACATAAAAAGAGTGGTACTGTGTACCCGGGACAGCATTTGCAGTTCCCTGTTCTCTACATCTTTTTTGCTCCACTTCTATCATTTGTTAGGAATTCGAAGTGATAGTTGATGGATTACCGGTGCATATACCGGTGTACTTCTCATATCTCATGAGTTTGCGTAAGCAAAATCTCTTCCCTGTCGACATTTCGAATGCTTACTTTGTATCCTCGTGAGTCGTAATGCAGAGTAAATGTAAATACTTGCTTACTTATGTAAATATTCTCATTATTATTTAAATATGCATTGTTGTGCTACGTACAGTAGCTACTGCGGAAAGGTATCAATCATGACAGTATTTGTATTTCATTCATTCTTTGCGCATTGCAAATTCGTGAAGAGTGCTCAGCGTTGAGGATATGGAAGATAATTAGAAAAAATGCTACTATATTACAACCAAAAATGTCAGTACGAGTGCAAAAAATGTACTTTCGATTTCTAACCAGCATAAGAAAGCGCCTTGGAGTCACCCAAACTCTTAATGAACTCTTAATGATCCAATTGACATGAGGTATAATAATTATTATGTTCCCATAGTTGTATTTAACCTATCTTACTGAGCGAAGCACTAAATCAGGTTGGCTAACTTGGTTTTTTATTATAAATTTTTCGTAATCCGAAAAACTACTCAGACGAGCTCTAAGTTAATTTGCAAAGACTGCTGAATCGTTAATATCACCCATTATTTTTTCTTTGGTTTGGCATTAGGAAGAGTATCGATGCGCACGTTCTGTCAGCAATAATATAAGTGTTTACGACAAGTACAGTATATTCTAGTTTGCTATAGCAGATGCAATGTCGAGGTTACCTGATTGATATGGACTATATGTACATTCATTAGCAGCAAAGGAAAACGTAGACTAAAATTTTGTCATAATGTTCGCATAATGAGGCAGCACACAACAGGGGAAGTGATACAATAAAACGCTGACCTTGGCCTTTTAACTAAGACAAATCCAGGCATGCGAAACACTTTACAGAAAACGATCTATAAAAGAACTTCTCATGAGACACATCCTGCGAAGTGGAATTTTCTTGCTAGTACAAAATGCATATTTCGGCTATCTTTTTCATTGGTCTTTGCTTGATCGCGGGATGTGTGGCGGCTACTACCAAGAAGCCCGTTGCACCACCGGCCAAACCATCAGCGCCATCTGCTGCCAAACCGCCGGCAGCGCCAGCCAAACCGGCCGCCCCGGCTAAACCGATGGCCACCCGACCGGAGCCGGCGGAAGCCGAATTCCCGGTGCCTGGTGATCATCCCATTCACAAGCCGTCAGGGATCTCTAGTCATCCGGCCAAGACCCGCATTTCCGGTGAACTTTTTAATGCGAACAAGTAAGCTGGAGCAACATGCTTTTGTGCTGACATGTTCAATTTGAACGATATATCGATGGCCTTTTTTATTTACAGGACGAAACTGGACGAAGATACCAAACATATTCTGGACATAATCAACCAAATTGTCAAAGACAAACAAGCCCAGAAAGGAGCCGATCATTGTCGCTTCAGCGAAAAAGACCTAAAGGTGGACCAACTCAAGAAATATGTTCAAATTCCCGATGACCTGCGAAAAAATCACCCGGTACTTGATTGCAAATATACAGGACTTGTTGGATTTTTGAAACACTTTATATTTTGGGCAGTTGTGCTTCTGGGGTAACTTGAAAACCGAGAAGGCCATTGGCTACATTGAAAACGCCAAGACCAGCAAAACCGACGACAAACATTTGGACTGTGTTCGCCTGGAATCGACCACGTTTGGTTATGTTCTTGTCACACATTTCAAAAAAGACATGGACCTCAAAAGTCTTCCCAAAGAATGGAATAAGTGCCAGTGTCATGAGCCGGAATGGTGGGGTCCTACAAATGACATCGGTAAACTTGATGAGAACACACTGGATATTATCGATATGCCGTTGTGGAAGGCGCTGTGGACTTTGGGCAGTCGAGAAGTAAGTAAAGAAGTTCCTTAGTTAAATTAAATATACAAATATTACGAACATATGTTTTGTCAGTTTAATTAATATTTTAGTTGGACAAAAGAATTACTGTACAGAAAAAGCGCGTAAATACTTACGTTATTAATATCACGTACTTAATCAAGTTAGAACAAATGCACTGAGAGTACTCGATCGAGTTAGAATTCAAAAGGTCAATCGAATTAGGTCAAGTTTTCCAAGCTGAAATCCATTATTTAATTTGAAGCTTTGTGGTTAGTAACTTTGGTATTACGTGTTCAGTTCGCAAAGGAATTCAAAGGAAAGGAAGTGATTGCCGTGTTCAATGCCGAAGAAAACAAGCGACAAACTGCTCCGTATGGGGAGTAAGTTGCAGATAATTTACTTCAGCGAATCGAATTGCGCAGTGATCCTAATCTAACTGAACCGGTCTTTTTTTGCAGTACTTTTATAAAGACTGAATTAAAAGTCTTGAAAAAACATAAAGACAACGCTAACAATGCGGCGGATTTTACGACCTTCGTCGTGTACGTAGTGAAAGAAGATGGACCTTTGCCGACCAAAGCCGCTGGGAACAATCAGTGTGAAGTGGCAGCAAATGCCCCGCCGACCACTACTGCCGCACCCAAGACGCCTTACGTGTATACCAGCTGCACGGATCCGAAGCTGACGACTGCCTTCGACACCAACGTTTTGCCAAGCCTCAAAATTACCAGATCGGATACTACATTCAAATGTCATTACGTTCATATTTGAGCAAAAAATGCAAAATATTTACAGCTGTTGAGTTTTATTTGACAGCTTTCGAGCACCCTTTTGCTGCAAACTAGTTTTCTGGATACAGTTTTCTTTATCAGCTTTTTAGCTTATGTCGTGGCTGCTTGATAAGTAAGTAAATGGCAAAGTAGAGGTGGATAGCTTGAAAGTCTGCAAAACGATTAAATCTACAAAAAAGTCTGCAATTTGAACTTGGATTTAACGGTTGTAAAGGTAAACTCGTTTTGTAGCTGGAGGTGGACAGGCTTGTTCTCTGTACGTTAACGTACAACTGTATGCAACGTTGCATGGATAGCATGGATGGTTACTGCATGGATAGTTGACCTGTACAGGAGTTACATTTTTCATGTGGATCGCAATATCAGGGTCACTTCTATGCGCCCAGGAAATTACTTGGGCGCATTACATGGTCAAAACTTAAAAATAATGTTTTTCCATTACAGTTTTGGTACGGATCTCTATACTATTCAGTGGTGCATAACCTTTGCTGTGTTGCTGGAATTCTTACACGAAAACTTGCAAAATATTTTTGTAGGCGTATAGCACTGCCGAATACTTTTACGCGGACTCGGTCACAGAGCACATAGGCCATATTCTTCAGTTTCCTTTGCGATGCCATGTTTGCCGGTATGCATACGCATGCGGGTCACGTGTCGCAACAAAAGCCTGAATCGAAAAAGTCATGTTTATGCCTATTACCCACAACGGAAATGCAAGCGGCTGATAACTTTTGATCTCCGGCAGTAAAACACATACTCGTACAATCTGAAATCGGCAATATAAAATCTTAGACTCCCATATGGAAAGCTTTTCATGGTGCAGTATCGCTGAACACACGTGCACACCAAGCACAAACACTTTAATAGGAGAACGTATATGCCATAAGTCTGTTGAAAATGTCGGACGCCGTCGGGCTCCTATCCGTTGACTTCCTGCCCGTTATAACTGGATTTGAGAGCATATCTAGCCTTCCGGAATACGAATCATTTCCGGTCCTTGTGGAGCGTGCTAATTATTACTTACGAAACAATCCCCTTGTGACAGTTAATACATGCGAAAGCGTGGAGTTCCGGGTAACGAACAGAGGATGCGACATCCAAACTAGGAACTCGGTCTATATTGCTCCCGGTACCACACGTACTCGTATTTGTTATTAGAAGTATTGATAATTCTGTTATTCATTTGCTGTTATTGGTAATTCTGGGCAGATGTCATGGAAAATAGTGGATTCGGTTTTTCGAAATTACTATGTACGAGTGATAACGTACATTTCTAAAGCAAAACATATTATACTGTACGTTGTATTTTAGGAGAAAAACTAAGTGCTAGAGATTGACTACGGACGAAAGCAGACAAGTTACCGGGATTCCTAATTTGCAATATTTGAAACATTTTACGTTAATCTTGCAGTGGAGTCAAGCACGCGGTATGCCAGGGGATTGCGTTTATGGATCCAAAGAAAAGTGTGTCACAGCACCTCCTACGACCAAATTGGCTACGACAACTTCCTTCCCGACATATATGGGCAAAAGATTTCGGAGGGACTGGAAAGTGTAATGGCAAAGATCAACCATCGGTATAGGCACACACCGCTAAAGGGACGCATTATCACAGTAGAAACCCAACCTGTAAAATGGGGATCACGAGGTAAGTATCATTAAACCATATATCGATGCGAACAGTGGCTAAAAATGGGGAGGTAAGCAGACTAGGTGACTTTAATTGTTGTAGGATTAGATCCCGATCGCACGATCTGGAAGGAGCACGCTTTTGCCAGCACTCTCTACGTTAATGTTATTCGCATTTTTTACATTATCGGGACCGTAAAACCCTGTCAAGTTGGGGTGCACGATATCGTTCCGGCAGTGTTAGAGAGCGGTGGCCTTTTCAGTCGGCCGAAGATGGAATCATTCCAACCAGTCATACAACGCGCGTCACAGTGGTTAATGTCGCTACCACCCAACTGTCGCCCGGTCAACGTGCAGACCGTCATGTTTCGCTGGAGTAACAATCAAGGCATTAATACAAATAATCTGGTGTATCAGGAAAATAACACACGCCAAAATTGTCTCCGGTAAGGTCAACTCCTACACAGAAACTATCAGTTTCCAAGCCTGTATGAGTATTTGCGTTAACTACAGATATCTTCGAGTGGGATTTGTTATGGAAAACCCGACGGATGGTCCTCCGGCACGATCTCTTATCCAATTACACTGCAAACTTATTGTGCCGAGAATGACCTTTGCGTTCGGCTGCCGCTCCACTGGTGAATTTGAAACACAAGAGTCCACACGCAATCGAGTGAACGCGTGGGTCAGGGCCACCGGTGCTCGCGTTGTTTGCGTCGAGAGCCTGTTTATGCGGACTTATAGCGACGGAACACCGGAGTATGGCTTCGATGACATGCGACCGTATGACGCGGTGACTAGCGGCCCCAAGAGCTCGACGCGCGCTGAGGAAAGATTTGTGCATCTGTATCGGATTTATACGGACGGTCACTACCCAGATCCACCCAGTGCACCCACCTGGCAGACATTGATGCTGTAAATAAATTAAAGTGACCTGCAGGAAGTACACCGTGATCGAATCAACTGACGAGCATCATATATGTACAGCATTTGAGTCGAACAAGCGATTGTTTTGTAAATCGACGAATCTGATGAACCTTGAACATGCATGCATCGTGCTGCGTGTGCGTATAACGGAATAGTGTGTGTGTGTGTATGAATTAACGTTTCGCGATCTTCAGACCAGAACAGTTTGCCGTAAATGGGGTTGCTCAGCAGAGGTGGTAAAGTGCAGACCGATGTCCGAACTTGGCAACTGAAGGGCCAAGCTGGTCAGTCTACCGCTTGTGTAACCGTCCGCGACCAGACCCCCAAAAGCGAAGCCGCGGCCCAAACAAGAGAGACGAACAAGAACAAAATGCAATAGCGGGATTAGAGGAGAACATCACACGAATGAACAGTACATACTATATATACAGAATGAACAGTACGTATATACTTTGGCAAAGAACTTGAACAATTTGCAGAAAATGAACGGACAGAGAAGCCTAGTGGTTTCTAAACTGGTCGGTTTTGGAGAAATCGCATAGAGAAAGTATCTTGAATAGAACTGATATGGAGAGGCACGTCGTAGGCATTGGATGGCTGTCCGGTGGTGTCGGTGCATGGTGTGGAGTCGTGGACGTTAAAAATAGTTCGGTGGTGGGAAAAGGCAGCGGAGGTATATCGGTATACTTCATTACGTAACTGTAACAAAAGTTCTGAACATGGGAGAGAAAATTGAGAAAAAGAAAACTCATTGTGAATTATGGATTATATTGTGGCTTTATCAGTATAGCGAATTGCGTATACACGTGCGAAGTTCATATTGTTAGATGTTCATGTTCTTTGTTGTTAATAAACATATAGTTCTAATCGACAAATCCAAAGTTCTCAACACCTACGATAAATGTAGAGTAGAGATAGTGAGATTACAAGTATGAATGAAAGAAAAGAAAATGGTTAAAACATAAATAATGCAGGGAAAAACATTTTTATAGATTACTGTGAGTAACTTGACTTACTTGAGGATATTATACAAGAAATGATAGTATTGCAAATCAGGTATGATGCAAGTTTGAAGTACATGGACAACATTAATTCAGAAGTATAAACTATAAAATGTTAAAATTATCATCTTTACGTGTATAATTAGCTTGTCATATGAATCTAATTTCGTCAAAATGGACAAAACCGTTCATAAACAATAAATTAATAGTGCCATGAAAAGAAGTAAGAAGGGTTAGTAAATGCACCGAAGAGCAGAAATGAATTTAGTACATACAGTATAGTACAGACAATATAGTACATTCAATTTTGTTTTATTTTTTAGTAAAAAATAACTGTACTGTTGTGCTATAGTACTGTTGCATACTGTTGTACTTTTGCAGAGTACGTATTATAAATTCGATAAATTCCTTATGCTGGCTCGCCTTTAAATTTGATAAAGTGGAATTCCACTACCAATAAATTCGACTGACGATAGACTGTTCGGTTCAATAAAATTGTATTCTTTAACGAATATTTCAAATCCCGCTCAAAAGATCGAAACCATTATATCTAAATATTGTCGGACTCGTATCGTATATGTAAGAGAGATTTAGGTACATGACTGCCATTAAAAGTTTCCGAGAAGTACTGGGAGAAACGAAAAACCAAAAACATGCGTTGTATGTCAATGAGAATGAGAAAAAATCAAAATTATTGATCATAAGTTCAGCTCGCAACTGCGAAAGTAACGTTAACGTATCGCTGAACGGTCATCAGTTGCAACCAGAAAAGTCAGTGAAACACCTTGGAGTGATACTGGATGAACATCTCAGTTGGACTGACCATGTTAAAAAGGTCCAAAAGAGTGTTCGGTACGGTATATCACTGTTAAATCGTGTGAAAATCGGCCTGCCAACATCCCAACGCATTGCGCTTTTCTATGCCTTTGTCCAGTCTCATCTGGACTACTGTTATACAGTGTGGAACGGGGCATCTGTGCGCTTGCGGGAAAAACTGGCCGCCATGCATCGTAGCGGCCTGCGAGCGGCTGCAAACTACTCTGGAATATCCACGGAATTGTTCATGACCAAGCACGGGATCCTTCCTCTGTTCACCAGATGGAGACAAAACGAAGCGATGTGGTTGTACAAAATCAAGCACCCGGAAAAATTCCATGTGCCACAGTACATCAGCGAGATGGTGGAATTTAAAGAGGAAGTGAAACCGTACAATCTTCGGAACGGGAATCGGACCATAATCAAGGCGAAAGCAAAGAAAAAAGTCGGCGAAACAACCTTGGCTTGGAAGCTAAATAAAATGTGGAAATTTTTCGTGGATTCTAATTCTTCTGATATTTTTAGTGTTCGATCGGTTGGTGCGTTTAAACATGCGTTGTGTAGTGTAAATTTTGTTTAAGCGTGCTGGGAATTTTCTCTATGCAGTTGCTGTTTGGCCAGGTTTAAAATCCCATGCTAGTATGTCACCCTAGCCGGAAATGGGCTACCTGCTCCACGAAGAAATAATAATAATAATAAAAATAATAATGTATGAAAGTAATAGATAGGATAGTGAATCAAAAGAAATATTTGATTGGCAAAAGAAAAAATTTGTTCAGACTGATTGGACGGAGTTTATGCGGTAACGCGACAAAAATGTGTTATGTACTCTGTAGAAGGCCAGAAGCCATTCATAGTTAGTTTCTCGTGCTGCATATTTATTCAGTAACTGCTCTACATTATATAAATATCGTTTGTCTTGTGTAAAAAATATGACACATAAAATTTGACTCACGTCCGCTATACTTCTACTCAAAAATTCGAATCGAGTTGATTTGATTTTTGTGGTATTCTTCGGAATACTTTTAGAAAATTTCGGTTGTAGTTTAGACTTCTGTAAACTTAGAAGAGGTTTTATTCCTCTGAATTGTCTCAGGAGTCGGATGAAAAATTCACTAAAATCTTGGTTCAGTTACAGACTTAGACTATTGTAGATAGCGCAAAAAGGATGCATGCAATGATACTATGCTGACTAGACAGTAGACACGAAAAAGTGTGTACGGTATAGTTCAAAAGCTTGTTACCATTGATAAAACCCTTAATGCACTACGTCTACCACCGTAACGTACACTAAGGGAAAAAGCTTAACTTTTATTTCATGACAGCTGCATTCCCGACAACTGTGCCGTCTCCACACAGTTGCATCAACTTATATACCACATCAATATGCATGCTCGCACAACACGCTCATATCGCATACAGCCACAAAGCTATAAAAACACACGCACCAATCTGACCACTGCACATCCGCTCCTGCAGGCCAGATTAATCCTGCCTTCCTCTCATTCCCACTTGACCATCGGTCACAAACACTCATGCATATAAATGCATAACACCATAAAGACATAAATGTCCCGCACAAATATGATCATAAACCATACAGCTCAGAATCGGCACCAACAAGACCATAAAGATACATACAGCCATACAATCCACGCTATCCAGTGTCCACGGTCGTAATCCACGATCGTAACATTACCCTCCGCTTAGATTCTTCGTCCCGAAGAATGGATCAGCTGATCTGAATGCACCCTCAAGATCACTGCCATCCGGAGCACGATAATGCACTGAATCCATAACTAACTGCACGGAATACAATTCAATGAGCACATTAGCCAACCCGGCTACACTGTGCCAATTAATTGACCACCATTGTCTGTGCACGGTCGCCACAGCTTCCTCCACCTCTTTTAATCCACTCGTGGCTTACTGTTCGTGCAGTTGGCCATCAAATGTCCAACGTTACCACACTTGTAGCACGACTTTGCACCGCGTTGTGCCAACCTTCCCTTAAACGGTAACCCCCGTTTACCATTGTCGCTTCCACTGCCACCCGGCTCATCTCGGCCGCCGGCATTATATACGGTGCTGCCCTCACCGCCACTGCGCACAGCGCTATTGTCCTCAACAGCGTCATCGCTATTTTCATCAGCACTATCGTCATGACCCGGTGCACCGACCTGTCGCTCCCGCGCGCTATCAGTACTGTCGTCATCTTCTTGCCGATTTTCCCAGTGCCCACTTTCTTCCCATTCTTTCTCATCGCACGCCACCGGCCCAGTGACGTACTGATTTTCTTTACGCTTATTGCGCTTCACAGCAGTCTGTGCAAGCACCAAATCAGCGTAAAACTCCGTAGGCGTGGTCGCTTGAGAAAGTACCACATAGCCGTAGTAGGATTCAAGTAATCCATCTTTCAAATGTTCGATTACATCCGCATCTTCCATTTTCGGATTAACAAGATAACACTTCGAAACTTTTTCGTTGAAATACGTACTCACGTCCTCATCCGGCAGTTGTCTCCGGCGTCTCATCTCACGCTTGTAACGCTGAATCATATCCTTCGGACGAAATCGAGCAATTAATGCCTTCTTAAATGCCGCCCAGTCAGCCCATGGAATCCTCGCTCCATCACTGGTCTCCCTATCATACCAGTTGGCTGCAAATTTACGCAGATATATCGGCGCCTGCTTCAGCAAGACAGCATCCGTCCACTCTAGCGCATTACCAATACGCTGAAACTGCCTGCACCATTCATCCACCACTTCTTTAGCTTCCCCACTAAACAACGGTGGTTTGGTGTCGCTGGCCAATTTCAGATCCGTAAACTCCTTCGCTAATTGACGAGAGTTTACGTTCACGGTATACTTCGCACCGGCTGCTCCCACAGCGGTGACCTTTTCCTGGTCGCCCATTGTATTGTCAGATATTACCTCAATATCCCAACAAAATCAAACAACACGGTCCACCGTATCCACAACGATGACCTTCTGCTGCACGCCCGTTATATTGCCGGGTATCATCCAAATATCCAACAATATTAAACAACGCGGCCCACCGTTCCCACAACGGTGACCTCTTCCTCCACATCCGTGATGTTGTCAGATATTCTCCTAATATTCCGGCAACATCCACGGTTTCGGCACCAATGATAGAACCCTTAATGCACTACGTCTACCACCGTAACGTACACTAAGGGAAAAAGCTTAACTTTTATTTCATGACAGCTGCATTCCCGACAACTGTGCCGTCTCCACACAGTTGCATCAACTTATATACCACATCAATATGCATGCTCGCACAACACGCTCATATCGCATACAGCCACAAAGCTATAAAAACACACGCACCAATCTGACCACTGCACATCCGCTCCTGCAGGCCAGATTAATCCTGCCTTCCTCTCATTCCCACTTGACCATCGGTCACAAACACTCATGCATATAAATGCATAACACCATAAAGACATAAATGTCCCGCACAAATATGATCATAAACCATACAGCTCAGAATCGGCACCAACAAGACCATAAAGATACATACAGCCATACAATCCACGCTATCCAGTGTCCACGGTCGTAATCCACGATCGTAACACCATGCATGCCGTAGAGTTTACACGGGCTTCTACTGTCAATACCAAAACACGGTATTTCAAAAATTAAAATATAATGCATGTATTACAAATAGTTATTAGGCACAGGAGCGCACTGGTATGGTTCGTGGCACAGTAGCAGTTGTGATTATTAAGATGAAGAAAAGTATCATGCTTATGAACAAAGGGATGATGACCAATAGGAGCAAAGCATTACAATTATGAGAGGCGATAGGAGTATGAATTCTGACTCAGGATTAGGAGTATGAATAGGAGGAGCATTATTCGTATTAGGTACACGATATGCATGAAAAATAGCAACGGTATGCATAGAATTATTATAGCCTGCGAAGCACTTCTATACTCTTATATTTACAGAGTACGTTAGAATTGACACTGCCAAATTACGAAATCAGTAGGAGTGGTGTGAAGTTCATTTAGGTTTCTTAATTTACGAAATAGGATACGGAAACGATAGTGACCCGAAATCAAGATAAAACTGCAGCTAAAGTTGCGGGAAAAGCGTGCACGTTTTTGCTATAAAGTTTAGAGCATAAGACTAGTTTAAGGCGTAAGCGGCGAACAGAGCATAATGCAACAAAGCACAAGTTGCGGGGGAAAAAGAAATAACGTGCACGTTTGAAACGGAGCTGATAATGTTGGAGAACAAATACCGTAGTTTGCACGTAATTTACAGCAGAACGTACGAAGTACCTGTACCTTCTAATTATACCACTATTTAACTACAGTTTACCGAGAAAACACGTAATAAAGACTTTAGTCTTGCAAAGTAAATTTCCCAGTAAAATAGCGAAATGCGGTAAAAAAAAGACATGATTTCGCAAATACGTGGGAAAGTCCATTAGTGATTAGAGTGAGAAGGATAACTCAAAAGTTCTAACAAAGGAAGAAGCACATGAGCAGCATTAACAAGTAGGGTAACAGCCGCCAGGATGCTGGCTACGTTAAGCAGTCAGAAAACTGAGAATAGGAGGAAAAAAGAGAAAAAACTGGAGGCTACTTTGGAGTTTACAGAATTAACCGGCGGAAAAGGAAGAGAAACTGAAAATACTGAAAGAGGTCAACAGAAAATACTGAAAAATTGTGATTTACGATACTGTTCTGCTCGGGGATTCACTGATGTGACGGCAAGCTGTTCACGATCGTCATTACTGCGTCACGAAGTGCTTCGCTGCTTCCATCGTTATTCACTACATGGACATTAGCGGCTCCCTTAGGCGGCTGCAAGCTGAACAGGAGCTCGTGTTGCTGGTGGAGATTATCGATATACTGTTGTGTAATGCTGAACTCCTCTGAGCGGCCGCGGGAGCGAATGCGGGCAAGGGCAGTTTCTGACAGGGTTCGAACGTATATGATATGGCGCTCGGCTACGGGTTTACTCTGCTCGTAGCGGTTGTAGGCGTGCTTCAGTTCTTCAAAACCTGATTTGCGATAAGCAACCGGACTAGTACACATGCCCAGAAATCGCGAGCACAAGTCATAAAAAGTAATTAAAAAAGCAATTAAGACTGTGCTTACTAGGAACAGTCATGGTCACAGAGAGACGGGCCCGACTACCAAAAGTGACAATCGGTAGGCCGCAAGTGCACATGCACATGCGAGAGGTAAAACGATGGATGAATCACAGGAGAAGGGAGAATTTGGTCTGCCCTGTGTCTGCCCGTGGCCGGTCCATCGCGCGTGCAGTTTTTTCGCAAGGCGAAAGAGGCAAGCATTCCTTTCAAACGCATGACGCGGTGCCTCCGAGTCATGGTATCTATAGCATGGGTACTAGCCGCTTGCTTATCGCAAATTCCGAAAAGACTGTTGCAGTTAACCAGCCAGCTTTCAAACCCATCTGAGCAAATATATAGGTGGATGTGAAGGGCGATCTCTCCAGGAAGTATCTATTATTGGTTGGGCTGCACTGGTTTTCTCGAGCAATCATAGTGTGCAAGGCGAATCTTTGAAATTCTGCACCCGCAAGGGCGGGGCTGGCGTAGAATTCTTTTAGCAAATTTCGACCTTCCGCATTTTGCCATCTTTCGATGGGCTCAAATAAGACACACTCACGGATGTTTAGTAATTGTTTTAAAAGCGTTGATTTTCCGCAACCGATGTTGCCCTCAACGTAAAAAAGACGCATTTTTTTTTTCGCTTTCGACGGCAAATTCTTTACAAACTATTCCGAAATTAAATAAAATACATATCAACTTATGTAATTAAGCTTAATATGCCACGTCCATCGGAAGTTCTGCATAGCAACACGGTAAACTTCCGATCGCACGTTAACGACAGTTATTGCTGTAGCAATAACTGACATTATCGCCATTTCGACCTTCCTAAACAGCGACATTCAGGGAGTGACCTTTTGCAACCTTCCTTTTCGTGCTTGCTGTTGGCGTTGGATAACGTTACTTGTCGGATGTGAATGTCCCAACATCTTCGCAGTTTTACTGGACAGAGCGGGTGGATCAAAATCTTGCAGGCGAACATGATATGGTACAGACTGCAACTCCCACTTGCAAACTGATCTCGACAACAGTTGCTGTGCTGAACAGAACACCGTCTTCTCAGTGTTCCCAGTAATATGTGAGAACAGGTAAAATCCTGTTTGTGCAAAGCACATACAATCCGCATTGAGCTCAAATCATCCGCCGTATTGTTCAGAAAATATTTATTCAATTACGGTGCATAATCGGATTCTCCACAAAAAACAGCCTACCACAAACAAACCGAAATAGTGAAAATCAAACTGACAAGCAGAATATCTTCCTTATATTGGCTCTAATATCTTTTAAACTGATAATGAAAAAGACAGGATCAGTTACAGCCTGCAGCATAAACAAGGAGGCCACAATCTCATAAACAGTTGTATCGTAATACTCTACCAGTAAGTTCATTTTGAAAAAGACGATGTTAGGAATCCAACAGACCAGGACGGTCACCGTTAACGCTGTAAAGATCATGTAGCCACTAGATCGTTGGGGACCGGATGTTCGTAATTCGCTTGGGGTATCATTGGGTCCGCCTGGACGAATGGTGCCCTTGTGACCCGACCGAAGACTCACTTTAATACTACCCACAGTCGCTATCTCCGGGTTTGGTTCTTCGGTCACAAAAGCGATAGTACGCTTTCGCCGTTTACACATTACATAGGGAAACGCGCCAGCGATGACCACCGCCGGGACCACATAGCACCAGAACTCCGTGAACACAATCAGCGAATACTGTGGCTTGACATGCAAAAAGCAGAACGGGGTTATTTGTAGTTCACGGTACCATACGGCATCACGAATAATCTGCGGCAGTAGAAGCGCGTTGACGTAGATCCAATTGGCCACGCATATAGCAATGGCGGTGACCTTAGTGTGCCGGTACTTGTAACTGATAGGAAAGGTCACCGCCCAGATGCGGTTAATGCTGATAAGGGCGTGCGCATGGATCATTTCGGCATTGATTATGTACAGTGCGTACAGAAAGTACGTACATGCTGAATACCCCAGCGTCCATCCACCCAGGACATTGGAAGCAACTTCAAGAGGTTTGATCAGTACGACATGCAGGAGATTGGTGATCAGCAGATTAACTAAGTATATGTTAAATGGTGTACGTATGGCACCTGACTTCAGAAACGTCAGAAGAACGAGAATATTCAGCACAGCGCCTAGACAGATTATAACAAGGACAGCAATCGGAAAGGGCTTCCAGTGAGACGAATTTTCTGGTTGGTGCGCCAGAGTCGCATTGGAAAAGTTACCAAGTAAACCGGAGAGATTCATGTTGATAGCACAACAACCTTTGTTGTCATTTGTCTACCAAACTATGTTTGAAAAATCTCACTAAAGGAAAAATGCAGAAAATGCTAGTGGCTCGTTGCTTCACATATAATGTTTTATAGCTACTGATTTTGATTCTATAGGTGCCGCAAGCCGTATTATTCTTCCTGCTACAGTGGAATTTCCGTGGTATTTGACATGGTTTTGTGATTTGCATGCAAAAGAGGGGAAATCCCTTGCCGCTTCGGTTTTCACTGCCCTTACAATTTCTGAACATAAAACCCGAGTTATTGTTTACTACAAACCCACGAGAATCAGTTTACACTCGAGCGCGCGGGCGCTTTGCAGTGACAGAGCAGACTATGATCAAAATTTGACTTTCGTTCTCATTAGAGCTAGATTATCAAACAAAACAGCTTTTACAGCATGCACCTATTCAACCAAACGATGAAGTTTATCCTGCCTGCTGCTAATTTAGTGGCTGCTTTTTCAGCACGGGTACGTGCAACAAGAACACACCTAGGTAGATTACCTGCAGGTATAATCACTTTAAGGTTTACCAATTTCCGGTAGATCAAAAGGTACAACTACTACGAAATACAGCGTCATCGAGTCAAATATAGAGCAGAATCATGTGAAGACTAATTGTCTAATTAGGGCGAGCGAGTATGCGACTACAGATATGCGTGCTCTGAATAAATACGCGGCAATCTAATTGTCCGTTGTGAGAATGTCGCATTAATGATTCCAGAATCCGTATGACGCTAGAGATCCATGCACCGGTGAGTCGTTATGTGATAAATGGAGTCTTCCCCGGAAAAACGAGACTCAACTGGTGCGTTAATAAAAGGAATTCAGGAAGCATCAGTTATAACGGGATATTCTACTGTTGTGCTTAACCTCGTAATAACAAGCGCTCATTAGCGTTTTGAGCCGGCAAACGAGCGGACACGTTTCAAGCGTACTGTACATAATGTAGTTTTATGCGATTGTGTTTTGCCGGGAGGGGTGCTGCTTTTCTTGCGTGAGATTTAATCCAAATACTGAAATATTGGCTTCAGGCTGACCTTTTCGTTCTATCGCACCGCTGTGCTAATATCTATGACTGGAGTATTATTTCCACTGGTTATGAAAATGTTTGCCGTACGAAAGCGAAGATAACTGATCAACCAAAATTTTACTGCAGAAACGTTTCGACTAGTTGCAGGTTTTGAATTGATGATGCTTAATCACACTGCTTCATTTTTGTTTAATAATTTTTCTTCATACAACACATGCGACACCTGGCAGAACTCCTCCTTTTTTCGTGTTATCACACTCGGTGCTCTGATTCCAGGACTGCTCATTATCGCGTTCAGCACACTGAATTTAATCGTGTTCTTCAAATGGAAACATAAACATCCGTTTCTATTTCACCATATATCGCTGTCCTTAGCGGAACTTATCTGGGGCCTGCTGGCTGTGATTGGCCCCATATTCCGATTCTCTGAAAAGTCGTACGTCAACTGGACACTGCAGATCTCCGTGTTCGTACACATGGTCCCACTGGTCAATTCATTAATCATGGTAATCAGTCTTGACCGCTGGCTGTTTGTTGACTATCCGGCATTCTACCGCAAATACTGTACAAAACGCATCATTATCATCATGAACGCTGTGACATGGGCGGCAACGATAGCCATTCACCTGACCTTGTATTTTATTGGTCATTCCAAATCATCGGTCATCCGTATTGTCTGTCGGGGATTGCCACTGGTCTGGTTAGCACAAACGCCATGGACTGTATTTTATACTGTGAATTTTTATTTTGTATTGGCACTGTCTGGACTACCACAAATACGCCTAATATATTTGGCTGTTAAAGCTAAATTAAATCTTCTCAAGGAAGGAACAAGTCCAGCGGATTGCTCAAGTGCGAAAGAGCAGCGAATCCTAGCCAACACCATATTGCTGACAAGGATGGTCAAGAGTGTCGTCGCCGGGTCAACCATTGTCGCCGCTAGTACAACCTGTCAGATTGTCGCCCGTATGGTTTACCGACTGCTCTTGGACGGCGATCAAAATAAAACGTATTTGGCTTTATATTATTCTCTGAATTCTGTTAAAGATATCTTGCCTTTTTTCTTTTATATGGTTTGCTATCCGCAGTTTCGTATGCAGTTCAAAAGTGTTGTTTGCCGATAAAGCGCGCTGTTCAGTTTGTTGTGCGGCAAAAGCGAGTGGTTATTAAACATTTCTGTGTTTACTCGTGCTCCTTAATTTTCACATATTTCTTTGATTATAATGGTGGTGGATTTACTGGAATACTTACCAGTGAATCCCTACCGACCCGACACGACTCAAAGAGCGTTTTTGTATGTTGTGCGTGTCATTGAATACGCAAAAGCAGGCTGAATGCCGGTTGTGCAAGAACGGCGATCGATCGGAAAATTGTAGTGCTTACAGTAGCATCAAGCGTTTTCAAATTTTTGTACTTACAGATAGTGTCAGTTGATTCACCTTGAATCACGCGAGTTATAACAACATATATTATATATTAATTCTCGGATATGGTGCCACACCGTCAGGAAAGTCACGGCTGTTCCTTAATAACCACCCGGCGCGTCTAGTGCGGTAGCATGCACCATGCACATTAAGTCTCCAGTGTTTACTCAAAGTGCATTTACGTGTTTATTTGGAACACTGTATCTAGTGCGAGGAGCTTCCGTTTCATTCTCCTAGTTAACATAGTTTTTACGGGCTTCTGTTATTAAATGGAAAAGACGGAGAAACAGAGTACCTTCAGCCCAGTTGGACTGCAGGCTACCGATTTTTTACCGCAGCTGATTGTACATGAAAATTCTCCCGAGAATAAACAGGAATATGAGTCATTTTCCGTACTGGTACAGCGCGCTAACGACTTCCTTCGGAGCAATCCTCATCTTACCGTGAATACCTGCGAAAGTGTCGAATTCCGAACACCGAACGGATACAGCATTGAGACCATCACCTCAGTGTACATAAATTATTACGGTATGTACAAAGTAGGATCCTAAGTCTTAGCTTTGGTAATTACTGATATCTTAATTGTGCTTAAGTTGATAACGGGAAAAAAACAATTACGTCCCTCAAAATTTTACCGTAATCCTCCGTACTTATATGCATACTTAAATTCAACGAACATTTACAAACGTAGAGTATCCAAAGTATCCAAAGTTCATCCGAGGCTTGCGATTATGGACGCAAGAGAAAGCGCATTGCAAGGAATACGAATGCGAACAGATCGGGTACCTCAATTTTGTCCCGCTGATCGGCGGCGCTGTGGGTATGGAAGGCCTCGACACTCTCGTTGCGCGAGTCAACCGGCAGATTACCACCGATCCCATTCCCGGACATGTTGTTACCGTTGAAACCCAAGCAGTCAAACTGGACCCTACAAGTAATGATCATTTTTAATGTTTGGCTTTACAGTATTCTGCGGTCTTTTTACAGCATTGCTAATCAACTGTATTGTACTTTCGTAGATATGGATCCTGACCGGACAATCCTCGTCGAACGAGGCACGGACAGAGTAGTGTTTATCAACTTTATCCGAATCTTCTACATTCTTGGCCCGGAACAGCATTGCCAAGTAGGCCTTCACGACTTTGTACCGGGCGTTGTCCAATTCGCCGGTGACGGGCATGAACTAAAAATGGAGACTTTTGAAACGGTTATGAAGGGCGCGTCACAATGGCTGATGTCTTTGCCACCCAATTATCGACCGGTCAATATTCAGACGGTGATACTGAGGTGGAATACTGATGAAAAAATCGACACTAACCGAATGGATTTTCACGAAGAAAAACATTATCATTTAACTTATCTGAGGTGAGACCGGCTAACAAAATCTTATAGTGGAACATGTTAAAAAAGGTTTTTTTTGTTAATAATTTTTTTGTAGGTATCTTCGAGTCAGTTATGTAACAGAAGATCCACAGGAAGGCCCCTCAGCACGCCCTTTGATCCAGTTACACTCAAAGCTCATCGTGCCATTGATGCTCAAAAAGGCCGGGACATTCGAAGATCATGGAGATTTTGAGACCCAGGACGAAACGCGCACACGGGTGAATGCGTGGGTCAGAGCGACCGGTGCGCGGGTTGTGTCGGTGGAAAGTCTGGTGTTGCGTATTTACGACGGCTCCGGGACACATTTTCGTGGATATACCGACAATTATCCCATGCATGTTAGAAATGTATTCCATAAAATCAAAGGCATCACGGGACGTACGGATGAAAAGATGATTCATCTGTACCGGGTGTACACGGATGGCGAGAATGCCGATCCCAATGATTGGCGGGATGCTAATGATTTCGATTCGGAATGCGTCGTAATGTAGGTTTGCAACACTATCTCCTCATTTCCAGTTTCTCATTCACCAAGAAATCAGCAAAGAATATCTCATTTTTTTGCACCAGTTTGAATACCAATTGCTTTCTTCTGCCTTGATCATTTCTTGCCTATGTTTGCAAAATTATCAAAAATTGTTGGTTTGCACTTTGCAAGTGTTGTTGTTGTTTAGAGAGACGTAATTTATAGAGTCAGAGTTGCTATTTTTCGGTTTTCCGCTAGTTACACGCAAATTTCTGAAAAATCTTGTTGATGAGCACTGTTCCCCGCCTGTGTTGGTTGCTGCTTTCTTGCGATTATTAACGAAAAAAATGGTATGTTTTACTCTTCAGTCCATGAATGTTTATATCAGTCTTTTAACAGGCCGATAGATGCGATGTATGCTTTTTTACCATACTATCGTGAATTAACCCGTGTATAAAAATGAATAAAGAAGTGTGTTGACGGCGGAAGCCGGTATTTGGCAAGCTGTCTTTCGATAAAATATAACACGTCTGCGGTGTAAATTATTATTTTCTGCGCTTAAACGGTTTACGGCCGGGACACGTCTATCAGCGTCTTGGTTTCTGATGTCTGTGAAACGCTGCTAGTGAAAGGCGGAAGCATCAACAACGACAAACGCGACTTTCCAGAGGCATGATACACCCGCCTGTACACCCACATGGCATGATGGCACATGGAAAAACTCAGCTGTAATACTGCACTACGCATCCAGTTCTTGAAAAATTAAGTAAGCCAATGTGACGTGCATCGATTGAATCATTTGAATGCGCGCGCAACATCATGAATGGTCGCGGGAAAACTTATTCCAAAACGTTTTAACGGCAGATTGCATGGATAATCTGACAGCTTAAAACACTGCAAGTATCCAACAATTAATTTCGAATGGAATTACAACACGTGCCCATGATATCGCCTGCATTGGGTCTGCAGTCTGTTGATTTTCTACCGGAAATCACAGGAGCTAACGGTCCCTCCAACCGACCGGAATACGAATCGTTTTTTGTCCTGGTGCAACGGGCCAATAATTTTCTACGTGGTAACCCCCATTTTACGGTGAACACGTGCGAGAGTGTGGAATTCAACGTTGGCAACAGCGGCCGGAAAATTGATACACTGAATTCTGTGTATACTGCTCATGGTACGTCAGATCTTACAATTGTTAGCAGTATACATTTTAGCACTGATATTGCTTGCACGCGCACTCCAGTACATAAATTAGCTACTAATATGTACGGAATTTCCGTTTTATGCAGGACACACCGAAACGAGGTACATAAGGGCGCTGCGATTATGGATGCAGACGAAAAGCAGTCCCGATGGCGTTTGCGATCAGATTGGATACGGCAATTTTCTCCCGCAGATTCAGGGCCAAGGCAGTACATTCAGCGTGGAGACACTGGATGGCGTAATGGCCAGAATTAACCATCAGTTCCAACAGTATCCCATGCCGGGACGTATTATTACTATCGAAACGCAGCCGATAAAATGGGGATCATCAGGTACTACGAACACTGGCCAAAAGAACACAGCAATAAAATAAAAGCGGGTTTTGAAACTTTAGCTTTGGACCCGGATCGCACAATCTGGACCGAGCGTGGCTCCGCCAGTACAAATTTCGTTAACGTCATCCGCATCTTTTTCCTACAAGGTCCGGTGCAGCGGTGCCACGTCGGAGTACAGGATTTTCTTCCGGGCACACTGCAGACCGGTCTCTTGCTGGGGTGACCACCCGGTCATGGAGAATTTCTCCATTGTAGCACAGCGTGCGCGCGACTGGCTATTGTCTCTGCCGCCAAATTTTCAGCCGGTCAATGTGCAGACTGTAACCTTTCGCTGGAGTTTCAACCAGGGCGCGGATACAAAACTCATGACGTACCATGAAGACAAACTTCGGCTAAATTATTTGAGGTAAAACTATAAAAAAACTAATATAACTCTGTAATTCAATATAAATAACAAAATTACATTAATTTAAGAAAAATCTGGAAATTTGAAAATTATGGAATTAACATAGAATTTTTAAATTCGTTATAATTTCTTTTGAAAAATACTGAAAACAAATTATTATAGACAAAAATTTAAAAAATTAACTAAAAAGTGTCTAAGTTTTGCAACTGCTCTGAACAGATAAAGCGTATTTCCAGATATTTACGAGTGGGTTTCGTCGTACTGGACGCCTACGACGGATCGGCACCGCGTTCTCTCATCCACTTAGGCTCCAAACTCATCACCCCGATTATGGCCGCACCGCCCGGATGCTGCAGCGGTGGGGCTTTTGAATCTCAGGAATCGACGCGCGCACGGGTTGACCACTGGGTTCGGGCTACCGGCGCCCGGGTGGTTTCAGCCGAAAGTCTGATGATGCGACTCGAGGGCGGAGGCGAAAGCCGGTATGGATTTGAGAGTATGCACACTTGGAATGAAACGGTCCGGCGCAACAAATCCACACGACGCGCCGATGAGCAGTTTGTGCATCTGTACCGGGTGTACACCGATGGACACTACCAGGATCCACCGGGATGGAATAACAGTCCGGAACTGGAGCAGTATGCGGTGACGACACGAAGTCGGCGCAGTCGGAATTTAGCGATCTTTGTAGGGGTGCTCGTGTTGATTGGGGTTATTTTGGTTGGATCGCTGGTGTTTACTGGCGGTCGTCGCTCTAAAAGTTGATGCAGTTAAACGCTTTGATTTTTTGCTGACACAAAATTACATTTTATAAGAGTAAGGGGAAGAGTAATCTCCAGATTTTATTTTTCTGTTTTTGCCTTTTGTAACAAATCAGTTTCCGGTCGTGTATTAGTTGCATGTGTGCTGGGTCGGCTAACATTCAGTAATGAACTATTTAATATTATATTTTAGAATTAGAATTAGATCAAAAATATAAGGAGGTAGGTTTTACAGGACTCGTATACTGTGCTTAATTAATCAATCTTTCGTTCTTTGAAATGTTTCTGTAGCCTGTGCGTATATTTGTGATTGGAACAGATCGCCAACAAAAAAGGCAAAAATTAAAGACTGACAACTATCGGTGTTTTAAAGTATTTTATTACTTTTATGCCATCTGTCTGATTGTTCCTGTAAACGTTGCTTAAAACGTATTCAGGAGTGCAGATATGGTGTTTTACTGTTTTCTTATAACTTCAACCCCGAATTTTTGTCAGTGGATTTACGTAAGAGTATGGTAGGCATTCCTTACGCCACTGGGTTACCAAGCTATATTGTCAAGGACAACAACCGGAAGTTGTGCACGCGAGCGGCATGCGTAGCGACGGAGGGCCATTGCGTTTGCTTTCACAATTATCGATTGGCGAACCGGCGGCTCTTCGTTAACTGTACATGTGGGCAAATAAGCAACCGTTGTTTATGCACAGCCTCAGTTATTTTGCCTACGAGTCGTCTCGCCTCGTATAGAAGTCGTTCCGTAAAATAAGCGGTATGAAAAGAGTTTACTCAGTTACCGAAACGTAAATAACTGTTTTACCAAAAGCACATAGTGGCAATATAAATATAAGGAAGATGTAAGATGGCTTAAAAACGCGTGATGAAATGTTTCTTGTTTGCTTTTTTTGTGGACCGGTCATGAGTCCTGTCCGACTTCCTGGTGAATGTTCCAGAAGCATTTGGATATTTTAGAAGCAAAACAATTATAAAAAGTTGTTGAATACGGTGAACGAATTTATGGGAATGCCAACGATCTTACGTATACTTATTCTTTGTGTTATCGTCTAATCGCCTACCGGAAGTTCACACTGCACAGTGAGTTTATGTGTGCAACCAGCACTGCAAACTAAGGTTCATTGCAAAACTACGGCGCTGCAATGCCGCGGTCAAATTGGTACGAAGAAAATAAAAATAAGTAACACACTTGTATCAGCTGCATGTGAGGAACTCGGGAAATGTAATGTACAGTACTCCGCTTGCCACACCGAAATAACACACTGTTTAACATACATACTTATAGTTGTACCGCTTGTACGTAGCGCGGAATCGGATGCCGCACTGATTATACTGCATGTACTTTGGAACACTATCGGTTCGCCGGTGAAATGTCGATCGATGCCATGGTTGTTTGTACGCATGCTTTTATGTAATCAAGTAAAAACTTTGTTTCCGCAATTCACATGCATGCATGCACGTTGTGCTTAACGGTAATGTGAGCAGCATATCGAGCTGTAGTCAAAAAATTAAACACGATATCTGAAAATTATTTTTAGCTATAGTGGCCTACTAGCGTTAGTACATACAGCTGCGTTATTTGATGATAACCACAGTTTTCCGCTGCGCATTTTTTTGACAATTGCCAAAGTTTTTGTTGGTACTAGGCCTTTGTGTTTCTGCTGCAGATAACAAACTGCTCATCTTGTGCGCTTGTCAATAGCATCTGGAAGAAATATTTTGCTTCACAATGGAGAAGGCGACATTGCTGAAAATGTCGGATTCTGCCGGTCTTGGATCGATAGATTTCTTACCGGGCATGACAGCTGGTAGCGGTCCTTCCAATCGGCCGGAATTCGAACCATTTTCGGTGCTGGTGCAATGTGCCAACCAGTACCTGCGTAATAATCCTCATCTGACAGTCAACACTTGCGAGAGTGTCGAGTTTAAGGTTTCCAGCAAGGATGGATTCCGCGTTGATACGGTTAATTCTGTCTACACAGCGCACGGTATGTACTTAGCTAATTAATAGCTATCGTATTTATACTAGCACTGCAGATTAATGCGTGTCATCATTGTACCTTGCTTTATAACTAAAATACTGTATGTATTTGCATCCTTGAATTACTGCCAGTTTCTTTAAAAAATCTGTACAAATTTGTACAAAAATCTGTACAAATTTTGCATAGTTTTATGCGAATTTGTGGCGTGCCAGGAAGTTGACAATACAGAGTTCCAGACTCTTTGATTGATAACGATAATTTTGTGCCTTTCTATTCAACCGGAAAGCGGATCACGATAAAAATAACAATGCAAAGCCACCACATATGTATATTGTATCTATATTAAATGAAGCGGCTCCGACGATCCTCATCCCTCATGCAATATATTACACACACTGAATGAAATAGGGCAATATGACGTCATTGGCACGTTTGCGCGTATAAGCTATAAACTACAAATCTACACGCGTGCACGCCAACTCTTGGCCGGTAATACGGTACAAAATTATTATTTTAATGATTATTAATGCAGCTTTATTATTGTACTTTGTTTAATACAGCTGTACGACGACGTATTATTACATAATTTTCACTTGCGCAACTTAAAGCAAATAATTGATAAGTAAGTGCGCCCTGTGCTCGTATCACAATACAAAACTTAATAGTGTGTTGATGCGCATCCATACGATTACCTACGTTTTCAGGAGAGTCCGAAACACGCTATATTCGAGGTCTGCGATTATGGACACAAGTAAAAAGCGGCCACGGCAACAACTGCGATCAGATTGGCTACTGTAACTTCCTTCCGAGCATTCAAGGCGACAATGTGGAACGGTTGGATCGTTTGTTGTTCAAAATTAATCAGCAATTTGAAAGAAACCCCCTTCCTGGACAGATCGTAACAGTCGAAACACAACCAATAAAATGGGGATCGACAGGTAAACTGACTGGATAAACTCGTTCTGTTGTGTTTCGAGAGTACGTAATATTGTTCGAAAAAGATATTTTACAACTTACATTTCGTTATAGGTTTGGATCCGGATCGGACTATCTGGACAGAGCGTGGTAATTCCAGTAGTCGATTCGTCAACCTTATCCGGATTTTTTACTTACAAGGCCCACCGCAACCCTGTAAACTGGGAGTGCAGGATTTCTTGCCGGCCGTTTTAGATAGTGGTTTCCGATGGGGTGCATATCCCCAGGTGGAAGCCTTTCCGGTGGTGATGGACCGCGCAAGACAGTGGCTGCTCTCGGTGCCGCCGAATTATCGAGTGATCAATGTGCAGACCGTTACGTTCCGGTGGAGCCAAAATGATGGCGCCGATACCCAGAAAATGACCTATCACGAAGACAAAGCACACCTGAATTATATGAGGTCAGGAAAACACTGAATTAATATATATGTTATGCGTGTCTTTAAATGCAAAAGATATAACAAAATTAAATCTGCGAAAATGGATTTACTTGTGTAATAATGTGATTCCCTAAACTTGATTATATATGTAAAATTATTGTGTCTTACCAAAATAGGTATCTCCGTATACCGTACGTCATTGAAAACCCGGATCACCAAGTGGCAAGATCCACTATCCGATTGAATGCTAAACTCATAGCTCCTAACATGACCAGCGCACCAGGCATTTTGTTGGGTTCCGGTCAGTTCGAAAGCCAAGAGTCCACGCGCGCCCGTCTGGACCAGTGGGTGAAATCCACCGGTGCCCGTGTGGTGTCCGCGGAGACCATAGTCATGCGACCCGATGGTGGAGGGGAAGGTCGCTATGGATTTGACAATATGCACACGTGGAACCAAATTCACCGCGTAAACAACGTATCCCAACGCAGTGATGAAAAGTTCGTATTTCTATACCGGATCTATACGGATGGGGCGTACGAAGACCCGGCAGGATGGCAAAATTCTACGAGACTCGAGGAGCACGCTCGCCAATCAGGTTGCAGAGGGATGAAGAAGGTTTTTCTCCTGTTTGGACTGGGTGTTCTGGCCATGTTTATCCTTATTGGAATTGTAAGCCTGTATGGATGGATAACGCGAGGTCCAGAGGATAACAAAGACGCACTGCCACCCACCAATACAACGCAAACTCCGTAGCCGGCTCGATCGAAATGATGTCTACGCTTCCGATGCATGCGGTTTCGGTAGACCAGCGCACGTTTACTTATGTACTTGCCAGCTGAACATTTACAGATATAACTAATCGTAATAAGTTATAAATGTGGATAATTTGGTGCTTCTTATTTACCAAAAACTATTGATCTGTACGCGGCTCTTTAATAGAAAGCTTCCAAGCGCTTTAATTTTTCGGTGCTTTAGTTTACACTTTGTTTGTACTGTAATTCTGTTGGGCAGTCGACTCTGCGTAATTCTCGTTGATCGTTTACGTTTATACCGTATTACTGTATGCTGTTGTACCCGAGTGGAAAAATTGTTGCTTGTTTTTATTTGTCATTTTGTCTGACCAGTTTTATAAGACAAACGGTTATCTGATTTTGTGCCGTAATATACGTACGAGTAAAAATAAGCAGAAGCAAAAATCAGGAAGTAATTACGGCACAGAAAGCAAGTACAGCCTGTTGTGTTATGTCTTCGGTTAAATGATATTGATAATTGTTGAAAATAAATCACATCACCGCAACGAGTGCAGGAAAGGCGCCTGCACTGGCGGATAAAAGAAGAAACTCATCCATGTGCTGCCGTTAAAAATCCAGGACGAATACCTACAGTTTTGATATATACTATACTGTATTACAAACTCTGAATACGTAAAACACATGATTTGGGTCCGCGATATTTTCACGGTTCCTACGTAGTAGAAGTACTGCTACAATATTTTCTCGTTTAATTTCGCGATCGATACTGTATGTCTGACGGTTCTATCGATTTGGGAGTGAAAGTGCCGATCGATGTCGTCTATTCGCTTCCTGGAACTTCTGATGGAAGTCCAAAAATTTGTTATTGAAAATTAATTTAGTAAGCCTTAATACGCATAGTTGCGTTAATAATAATATATAATAATATAAGTTGCCTGCAACCTAACCACTATAGCTCGCCTATTTTTATCACTGTTAACACCACTCGAGCACCTACAGATCCGTTTGAAAAATTTGTTTGACAACTGGCAAAATTTTTGTTACGGAAATTTGAGACCACGTCTGCTTTTGGTGATATTTCCCCGCGCGGTAACAGCTCATGCGGTTTCTCCGGTAACAGCTCATGCGGTGCGAGCCGATAGTCTTTGAAGGGGGGAGATATTTCGCTTCAAAATGGAAAAGGCGACGGTACTGAAAATGGCGGATTCTGCCGGTCTCGGTTCGGTAGACTTTTTACCGGAGATGTCTGCCAGTAGCGGTTCTTCCAGTCGACCGAAATTCGAATCATTTTCCGTGCTGGCGAAACGTGCCAATCATTATCTGCGCAACAATTCTCATTTCACAGTCAACACTTGTGAAAGTGTCGAATTTAAGGTTTCCAGCAAGGATGGATTTCTAGTTGACACCTTAAACTCTGTCTACACAGCGCATGGTATGCAGTTTTAGCAATGGCTCGATCGTTGTTCAGTAAACAATTGTACCGGCTTAAAGTCCCAAAGCTTAATCAGTGATGAAAAAATTAACATAATATCTCGTATTGCAAGCAGTTACGACCCTTTCGGCGACTGGCAGTTTTTTTAAAAAATCAGGCATTTGTCAAGTACGAATTGTTTACAGATAATTATCATGAAGCTATCATGAAATTTCCAAGTTACCTTGAAACACTATGCTCGTATTCTGCACTGCATTACGCACTTTCATCAGAAAGTTGACAGCAAGTTGTAACGATGCATTAACTTTGTAACGTTCAGTGTAACCAGCGGGTATTTAAAATTAATACCTTGGCGAAAACCACTGTGAAAAGAAGCGGTTTCAACGATCTTTACCGCTTCCTTTCCTTACAGTTAAGTAATTTGCATTTACGCAAACTGTACTCACTGAATAAAATAGTTCAATATGACGTCCGGGGCGCGCCTCCCGTAATTTCTGTACGCGTGTAGACTCCTTCCTCTATAAAACATATTGAGATTTCTTCATGCAGTAGTATCAGTACTTTTATGTAAAATTGTGCATTGCATTGGCGCTATAACCGATAAAATGCACCGTTTTTAAATATATCGACTCCCCGTGTCATGACTAACTGACTTCTCTTAACAGGAACGAATCCGAGACACGCTACATTCGAGGTCTGCGGTTGTGGACACAAGTAAAAAGCGGCCATAACAGCAACTGCGATCAGATCGGTTACTACAACTTCCTTCCGATTATTCATGGCGACAATGTGGAACGACTTGATTCCCTTTTGGGCAGAATTAATCAACAATTCGAAAGGGACCGAATTCCTGGGCAGCTCATCACAGTCGAAACTCAACCAATAAAATGGGGGTCGACAGGTACAATGCGAGTACAGCGGTTAGTAAACGTACTGTATGTATCGCAAAACTTGGTACGAGTACGTCGTCTTTGAAAAAAATTGTAACATAGTAATAATTACTAGTACCTGTTACTTGTTAGGTTGTTGTAGTATTGTTACTTGTTGAAGGTGTTGTTGCAGTATGTTGATGTTGTTTTACTTTCGGTAAGGTTTGCATCCCGATCGGACTAGCTGGACAGAACGTGGCGATTCAAGCTGCAACTTCGTCAATCTTATTCGGATATTTTATTTACAAGGTCGACCGCAACGCTGCAAAGTGGAGGTGCAAGATTTCTTGCCGGCCGTTTTAGATAACAGTTTGCGGTATGCAGACTATCCCGTCGTGGAAGCGTTCCCACAGGTCATAGAACGTGCACGACAGTGGTTACTTTCAGCGCCGCCAAATTATCGAGTGATCAACGTGCAAACAGTCACTTTCCGGTGGAGTTACAATGCTGGCGCAGATACAAAGAACATGTCGTATGATGAAGACGAAACAAAGCTGAATTATATGAGGTAAATAAAAATTTAATACGTGTAGATGCGTGGTTATTAGGTATAATTGAGAAGGTGCCTGAATGAATCAAAACTTCAAGTATGATGGCAATCTGCAAGCATATTCTACTCTGTATAATGGTTTTTAATGCAGCTGTAATTACCATAATTTAAAAATAACCAAAATTCCTTCCAAGAACTTGAATCACTTGCGTATTGTGCTGGGTTTATTAATGAAGTTACTCTACTCTAGGTATCTCCGTGTATCGTATATCATCGAAGACCCGTATCATCAAGTGGCAAGACCCACTATTCGACTACATGCCAAACTCTTCGCTCCGAACATGACGAGCGCACCGGGAATTTTGATAGGTTCCGGTCAGTTCGAAAGCCAAGAGTCCACGCGCGCCCGTCTGGACCAGTGGGTGAAATCCACCGGTGCCCGGGTGGTGTCCGCGGAGACCATAGTCATGCGACCCGATGGTGGAGGGGAAGGTCGCTATGGATTTGACAATATGCACACGTGGAATCAAACGCACCGTGTAAACAGGGTAGAACAACGCAATGATGAAAAGTTTGTTTTTCTGTACCGCATCTATACGGATGGGGCGTATGAAGACCCGGTCGGTTGGGAAAATTCAACGAGGCTCGAGCAACATGCCCTCCAATCGTCTAGTAGAGCGTGTAAAAAGATTTCGCTGCTGCTCGGATTAGGTGTCCTGGGCATATTGGCCATCGCTGGGATTGTGGCGCTGTATGGATATTTGAGATGAAATTCAGAGAATGACACTGACAAACTGCCACTTACCAGTACTACACAAATTCCGTATGTTACGTAATGGACTTTTCTGTGCATGATTAATCTACTTACTCATTTAGACTTTGTCATCTCTGGCACTTTTGCCTATTTATACCGGCTTCTTTACGCTACTCACACACATTACTTCCATTCCTACTTTTCTGCTCTGCCTTATTTCTTACTTTGTCGTATAATTAATAAACACACTACTGCGTGGATGACCTTTGGCCTGTAATATTTTGCTCTGCCTAAGTTTCGTAACAATTTTGGTCCTAACCCGACTGAGAAATACCTGAGTGGTGAAAACAGCCCGTCAACTTCCACTTTGGACCCCGGATTGCTGACCTTTGCCTGAACCTCCTGCAGTCCCGGGGATCCACCTGTACATGCCAATGGACCACGAGTGACCAAGATTACCAGCATTTCGTGTCATACAGCATTCGGATTACAAAGATAAGTGCCGGTTTTATAAGTTTTGTAAAATTTTCCCAAGCATTTCTGTTTTCTTTGAGTACTGTACTTAAAAACTACAATGAACATTCAGTTCGCACTTTAACCCGTTCTTATCTGGCAGCGGTTAAGTTATTTAAGTACGATTAAATCAAATACTGCCAGTATCAGTACGGTACACAACATATAAACCTGCTGCGTTTCCTGCTGAATTTGGTTGATTCTGCTTCATAATTTGTCGTATACTGTTTAAACCTATTTAACAGCCAATTATCACGATATGCTTGAATAACTGTAAAATTTACACACAAAAAAAAGAATAACCCGTGCGTGTCGGCTTCTGATTTTTCGATTATGTGAAAAAGACTACCGTATGTTTCACTTTCATTTCACAAATTTTGCTGCTACGTTTCCTCCTGATTCTTTAATTTTTCAGTTAATTCCTTAAATTTGCTGGTAGTTTACTGAGTCGCTTTACTCAGTTGAGTATACATGCTGATTAAATCATCGTTCGGTAATGCCTCGGTCATACTTCGTGTTCTAACGAAAATTGTAGAACTTTTTGCTTAGCACAGGATCTAACGAATTTGTTTTAAGTGTTAAGTGTTTAAGTGTTAAACTGTTCGCAAAAGTATGCTTAGGACAGTTTTATCGGTGTGCTGGTCATACTGTTAAAATTGTTCTGATATAAACTTCACCCGTTTGATCCAAAAATTTTAAAATAAAAATTAGACTACAGTAGCATGACTTGATCAGAGTACCAAGAACTTCCAAAAAGTAGAAGAATTTGAATTTTGGCTTTCGTATTTTAAAAACAGTTTTTACCAATATTACGCGATGCAGTTTCCGCTTTTTCGAAAGAAACAAGCATTATTGTCTCTTATTTGTGCCGGTTATGAACGGTGAAATTATGTATTACAAGTTTTGGATAGTTATTATTACAGATGTTGGTCGCGCTTTTAAATGGTAGCAACAAAACTCGTATCCAAAGAAGTTCAATGATATCCGCATTATCATGACATAAAAAAATAGGAATACGGTGTTGCAGCCAGGATCCAGTGCCGGTCATGAGCGCTACTATTCGTTAAAAGTATTAAAACATCTTAAGAAGTTTGATTAGGCCCCTCCCTACTAAAACATGTTTTATATGGTTATAAAACAAGTTTTAAAGATTTTGTTCGAAGAGTGGTCATAGTTTTTTGTTCTAAGAAAAAGGTGCTTAGAACAGCTTGCGATCATACTGTTCACACATTTTTTGATTAGAACTGTTTTAAAGGCTTCGAACACGAAGTATGACCGGGGCATAACAGTCGCTCGTCGTCCCAGTCATTATACCCAGCCCGTTTGAGTCATTTCTGCTTATGTTTTATGACCTAAAGTTTTTGAAGTCTTATAAGATTGGGAGCGCTCTGAGTAATTACCATACTATTTTGGGTTTGGTCAAACGCAATAGACTCATGTGAGTCAATTCAACTGATAAAAGCTGATCCCAATGCTGACCATTTTTCATGCTGAGAAGCACATTCCGTTCGCTTTTGTAACATGTTTGAGTAATCAGGGTTGGTCCTGGTAAACATTTGTATGACCGATAAAATACTAATAAGCGTCCTCAACCGATCGCCGTATGACTTCGAATGATCATCCCTTCGCCAGTTTTGATGACCTGCTCTCCAGTGACGCATCATCAAACTATTTCAGTCCTGTCGAACCTGCTTCGCCTTCTCAAGGTGTTCTGTCATGCCAAGGTATTGACTTCCACCTAGTGGTCGCTTCTGCCAGTGAGCTTGAAGGTTCAGCTTTTGATAACGTAGTACTCCCATTTGCAGTGAACGTTGAAAGTGTCGGCAACAGAATGAGTAATAACGACCGACATGATCATAAAGGTCCACCTAATGCAGGTGATAAAGTACACGAATGCGCATCAGCTACCATGATCGCGCCTCCAATTCGTGATCTGCCGAAGTTTAGTAATTTGGCCTCTGAAGATGTCGAAGATTTTATTAATGAATTCGATGCGCAAGCGCAGGTATATGGATGGCAAGATGATCAAATGGTAAAGTATATTCATGTTTGTCTTAAAGGAAGCGCATTACAGTGGTTTGTAATGCACGAAAAGAAAGATTGCTGGGACGAAATCTGCCAAGCGCTACGACAGACATTCGGCAAAAACGCTATTGATTACGATATCGATAACCAGTGCATGTCAATGCAGGCTGCAGACGACCCACTGGTTTATGTAAATCGAATAACGCGAGTACTGCGTGCCCGAAATCCAAACGGCTCGCATAAGGATGTGCTATTGCACCTGTTTCAAGGGTTGCCAGACGCTATGAAGGCGCAGATGGTACAGTACTTCGACAACCTTGCAGACACAGATGATTTCCTTGATAAACTAAGAAACATATCGCGAGCGTACCGCTACCGCTCTCGCCTATTCGATACAGTTTAGTAAGAAAGTTTCCAGTTTAGCGATGTCACGTCGATTTATTCGGAATATCAGTTTTTACTGCCAGATTACAGTTATGTTTCAGTTTTTATTTTCGGTGCAAGAAAAACGACATCTGCGTTGATACGGCATGCTAAAGTTTAAATCCGAAGTGATGCATGCGGATTTGCAGTGGATTACGGTGTACCGACAGGTGCAATGTTAACAACTACTTTGTACTTCAGTCGTAACTTTACAAGAAATAAGTCAGCAAAAATATGTGTGCACACGTGTCGAGATGAGTTGAGAAAGGCAGTGGCTAAAGTTAGGCAGCAAAAATTTGAAAAATGATACAGAAAAAAAAATTTTGTAAAATACAGCTGCCGTCAGCGAACCGATATAGCTTTTACCAAGAGCAATTAGAAAATAACATGATTTAGTACTACTGACTTGCGCTGGTCGCAATTTATGTTTTGGTAACTAAGTCTTGTTGGCTAATTTCATATAGAAAGTCGACGTTCCTTATGAAAGCGGCGCATATTTTCTAATAAGATTGTTATGTGCTTGTCGCGAAAGCATATAGTAATCTGCCGTCACGAGATTGTGTTGTAGAAGCCACTGTAAGTAATTACGGGTACCCAAAAAGAAACGGCTAAGCTATATTCAGAGTCTCGCTGAAGTTTTGGTGAATAAATTAATGCTGACGTAGATATTTGGTAAGGTTGCGGCACATTGTACCGTGTAAAATGTCGAAGTTTTCGGAAATTCGTATTGTAGAATTGCCCGATGTCTTAAAAATCAGTTCTTGAGAGCCAATCTGGACTTCATTTTACTGGTTTAAATTGCTTGTCAAATTGTTTTGTTCGTTTTTCAGAATTCAAAACTGACTGAGGTTTATTTTTACGTAATGGTTTTCATTGCAATAAGTGCAATCAGCGGAAGTCACTCCTTGTAAATTTTACAATTGGACAGTTTATAAAATCTTTCTTGGCAGAATTTTTTTTCTTGGTTTTATGTTGGGTGGTTATGTGGACTGCTTTTTGCTAATAGCTCTTATTTTAGCAGTTAAGGGCTTTTCCTGTTTACTGCGTATGATATGTTTTGCAGACTCACGTTAAATCGTTACCCAGTGTTTCCTTACTATTTTCCTCGTCCCCGTTGAAAACTAGCGTCGGTAGCAGTATGCCACCGAGGAACCGAAAATTCCTTCATATGGCGTATGTTCCAGATGTACACTCCATCCCAAACCCCGCATTAGCGAAACTGCGGAACCGCCGAATTGCCGGATAATTGGATTTGCTGACCATGAGCTTCGCAAAACTAAGCGCTTGTTTGTACGGCCGGCCAGCCGTTCTATTCAAAACTTATTTAAAAAAAAAATTAAAATGCCTCAAAATTTCCATTAAAAATTTAAAATCCATAATACAAAAAAAAGAACAATATTTTATAAAACGCAAAGATTTTTGTACTTGTTTTTCGATTCAAAAGTTCTTTTTCTTTTATTTTATCAGGATTTGTCAAAAGCAACCTATTATATTTACCTGCTAATGAAAAGGTCGAACATCGTCCTAATTTTCGTCCGTAGAGTTAGTGCCAAGTACTGTACACAGTCCTTCATGTCGATGCGTTTCCATAAATTTTTAATAGCCATATTTTGGCTCAGTTGAATCTGATTACTTTTATCGTTTAGGGGCGCAAATACTTCATGCATAATTATTGTTTTTATTAATCTTCATACAGCTTTTAATGTGAGTTTGTTTAGTGACTTGGTTAAAAGTTAGGTGTTCTACACTGCCCGGTTACTTTTATGCTCGTTGCGACCTTTTCCCGTTTTCTCTAACCAACAAATTAAGCGGCAAAAATTGTTCTTGTCTTCGTAATACGGCCGCGCATTTCGTGTCACACTCAGCCATTCTGGGCCGCTAAATACTCCGACTAGTAACTCTCTTTTCTTCGCAGTAACATCAAACGGTCTTAAAGAGTCCTAGCGCCAGCAACTTTAGGCGGTTCGGACAATGCACTCCCAAGGGCTACCGCTCTGGAGTGTTGCGTCACCCGTCGGTGGGGACAAACGTTTTGACCAGTCGGTAGTGGTAAATGCGCATAACATCAAAACCGCGTTCGATAACATCAAAATACGTCGGCACTTTTAAGAAGGAATGCAATTAAGACACACATGCGCTGTGCTGTTATTGAAGATAACGAAACAAAATACCAGTTACTTAAATGTGTACTTCACTAAGTAAATGTATAAATCAATACTTAACGTATTGCTTTGGTTGCAATATTTCCGAGCATACATGTTGTCGGGCAGCTTTTTATTAAAACCAGCATTAAACACGTTTCCGGGTGAGAAGGATGAGTCTCTATCTCGTAATGTGATAATAGTGATAATGGTATGCAGCTCAAGGTCGATTGGTTTTATCGATTGTATCGACATGATCGTACTGCCGCACGGTGCTACAATAAGCAATACACGACTTTATGCAGTATCTGCCGCATCGGATGACAATACGAGTTTATGAGCGTTATCGAAGATAAAGCGGTTAATTAGAAGCGAGCGGCCTCCTCCTTTCATCATCTTCACCGGCACCAGCTTAATGCACCGCGTCTGATTTATTGGCCAGCGCCCAGCTGCAAGATTCTCCCTCGGACGTGTTAATTACCTTGTTGTTTTCCATGCGTGTGGCTGTGCCTATATAAATGTTGCGAGTAACGCAGTCTAAGAATTATTGTTTAGTTGCAGCGTTGGTGTGAATTTGCTTCAGAAGATCTTTGACGTGAAGATCTTTGATTTGCTTCAGATTGACGTGACCTTTTGGTGTTTTCAACTTATTCAAGTAAAGTTCTTATCGACTTTTAGTTTCATTCTATGGTACACGTGAATAGCTAGTTATACGCAGATAAGGTTTTCATTTCATCGACGGCTATATTTGTTATTGACTTCATCAGTTATTTTCGTTTTGTGTTGTTATTATAAATAATCGTCATTATGCCACCTAAAAAGCCTATCGTCGGTGGTGTTGCCAAGAAAGCTCCTACGCGACGCAACGCAGGTTTAAAGATCACCTCTTCTGTTGATTCCCGTGCTGATGCGTTGGCGGAACTGATTGTCAAGCATAAGCAGCTATCTGAGGAAATTGCCAAGCTGACGAACGATTCTGTCTCCCGTTTATCATCGGCTTCTCCGGTTCACAATGCCACGAACGCCGGTACTCAGCTTGCTGCAGGTAATGGCAGTGTAGTTTACGTTCCAACCGGGAATAGTAGTTCACAATTCTTTGACCGTTCGGGTCTTAAGCTGCCCTCTCAGCATGCTATCCCGTCTGCCGATATCAGTGATTTGCCTTCGGTGTCAGACAAGTTGGTTCCCTTGTTGTTTGACCACTCTGTCTTTATCGATTTTCTCGAGCTAATGCCTGTTACGCATGCGACTGATTTTTCATCGCCGAAAATACGCCGAGATGATTTGGGTCATGTGTCTATCGTAAGCTCTGCAAGCCGACGGGATTCATCTATGACCTTTGCGCAGTGGGTCCGAGCTTATCATATTTTCTTCCGTTATCGGACTTATAACCGGCCTGAGTTTGTTGCTCCCATGATGAAGTATTTGGACTTAATTGCCAGTTTTGTGGATCCCAATAAGTCAACCCAATGGCTTGATTATGACATCCGTTTCCGCATGTTTGCCCGTATGAATCCTACAGTGCCGTCTATTTGGTCCATCACTCATAATGATATTTACCGCGAATGTTTTCTGCAAAATTTTGGGAACTATCGCCACCCCGCTCAAGCTACTCCACCTGCCGGGCGTTTCCCACCTGCTGGCTATTGTTGCTACAAATGCAATGTTCCCGGTCATTGGATCCGGAACTGTCCGTTACGTCTTCCTGAATCATCATCTTCCGTCGGACAAGATCAGCAGCTTTTTCGAGGGCGCGGCGAGAGGGATGACCCTCTCTGTTCTCAGTGGCAGCGGGGATTTTGCTCACCACCGTGTCAGTACGGTAAACTGCACCGTTGTTCCGCCTGCGATTCCGGAGCCCATGGTTTACGCACATGCACAAAGCGACTCAACATTGGTGAAGCCGCTACCAACCGGATCGACACCTCTTAGACCTGAGGCATTCCAGCGTCTTCTGGTTAATCATCCTGATCGGCGCTTTGTAAGTGGCATTGTTGACATGTTATCTAATGGTGCCGATTTAGGCTACTTTGGGCCTGTATGTTCTCGTTTCACGCCTAATGCTAAATCCGCTTGTGAAAATCAACCGCTTATTGAAAAATCAGTACAAAAAGAAATAGCTCTTGGCCACACGGTTGGCCCTTTTTCAAGTCCACCTTTCCGCGTTTTTTCGGTTAGTCCCCTCTCTGTCATCCCGAAAAAACCTGCCGGTCATCGCATTATTTTGAATCTGTCCAGTCCTGATGGTCATAGTGTGAACGATTATATTGATGGCAATGCCTACACAGTGTCGTATTGTGCGATTGATGATGCAGTTGAAATGTTAATTAATACCGGTGTCGGCGCAGTTATGGCCAAGCAAGATATCAAGCATGCATTTAGATTAATCCCTGTCAGACGTGATGACTGGCACCTGCTTGGTTTTAAAATTGGTCCTAATTACTTTTATGATATCGTCTTGCCCTTTGGGTGTCGTTCATCTCCTCGTTTATTTTGTCTAGTGTCTGAAGCGATTCACTGGATTGTCGCGAATCGCTCGAAATTAAGTTCTTTTTTGCATTATGTTGATGATTTTTTATTCATTGCTCGGACTTTGGCTGGCTGTGCGGCTTTAGTCGATATTATGATTTCTGTGTGTGATGAGTTGGGTGTACCCTTATCACTCGATAAAGCCGAAAATCCGTCCACATCTCTCCCGTTTTTGGGTATCCTGTTGAATTCTGTTGAACAAACTTTGTCCCTTCCAGCTGGTAAATTACAAGAGATTATGTCGTTGGTTAAGCAGTGGCTCAGTAAATCGTGCTGCACTAAACGCGAATTACAAAGTTTAATTGGATCGTTACAGTTTGCTGCTAAGTGCGTGCCGGCCGGTCGTTTGTTCACCCGCCGTTTGATTCACATTTTGTCATGTTCCAATGGAATTGAGATCTTGTTAGACAAAAATGTCCGTGACGATTTGCTCTGGTGGAATGAATTTTTGCCGCAGTGGAATGGCACTGCATCGTTTTTGGCAGTCAAGTGGTCGTTACCTGATATTATACACCTGTATACCGATGCTGCAGCCGGTACGGGTTGTGCAGCTTATTATGATGGACAGTGGTTCGCTTTACAATGGCCATCCCCGCAGTTTATGGAACAATGTATAGCATTTTGGAAATACTTCCAATTCATCTGGCATGCATCGCTTGGCGTGATCGTTTTCGTGGTCGAAAAATAATGTTTCATTGTGACAATTTAGCGGTTGTTAACTGTTGGTCTTCGTTAAATTCTAAAACCACCTCATTTTGCACGTTATGCGTAAAATCTTAATGACTGCCGCTTTGGCTGATTTCACTTTGGAATTGCCGATTCATGCACTCGTTTCTGCTTCTGTTACTCCGGTTTGCATTCCTAATTGTTGGCATGACCTTTTACAGATGCAACCGCCTGGCAGTTAATGCACCATCATATCTCAGTGTCCACGCGCCGCACCTATGAGTCAGCTGTGAAGCAGTTCGCGCGTTTTGTTGGCTCTCCATTGGATCAAATTGTCATTTCTGAAGTTGTGGTGTTGAATTTCATTGCACATCTTTTTCGTCGCGGTCTGAAGTTTGCCTCTGTTAAAACCTATTTAGCCGCTATTTCGAATTTCGCTGTTGAGCACGGCAGTATTGATCCATCTTCATCAGTACGCATATCCCATGCTTTAAAAGGTTATCAGCGGCTGATTCCAGTGGCAGTTGACAGTAGACGGCCGGTATCTCTGGATATTATGCGCATTCTCAAATGCCGGCTTCGATCATCCACGTTATCGCATTATGATCAAATATTATTGTGGTGCGCCTTTTGTTTTGCGTATTTCGGGTTTTTACGTGTCTCCGAATTTGCAGTTTCGTCTGTTTATTACAGCCATTTTATCCAGTTGCGCCATGTGTTTTATGATGGTGTTCAAGTTATGCTTAATATCCCCAGTTCGAAGACTGATCAGTTTGGTTGTGGTTATACTATCTCTTTGAAATCTACCGGACGATCCGTATGCCCTGTTCGGGCGTATTCAGAATTTATTTCAGTTCGTGTTTTCAGTACCCCGATATCGGCATTTTTTATTTTTTCTGACGGTACCGTTTTGTCGCGCTTATATCTGGAGCAATCGCTCCGGAAATTGTTGCCAGATTATCCTACTGTGCATACTCATAGTTTTCGCATCGGAGCCGCGTCCTCAGCTCTGGCCAACAACGTGCCGTATCACGAAGTCCAAGCCGCTGGCCGTTGGAAATCATCGGCGCTGGATCGCTACGTTCGCAGCAATATCATTATACCACCACTATCCTTTTATTGATGGCAATTGATGGCATCGGATGACAATACGAGTTTACTGTAATATAAATAACTTTTCCTAATTCCTGCCGCTAAAAGGTGAATTCTTCTCAGCTGTTGCAGATAAACCGCATCCAAAATCAGCCTTATGAAATAACGACCAGCATATCTCTGTGCAAGCGATTAACAACTTATTGCATTTCTATTATATATCATTTCCTGCTTTATCATATAGTTATACCGGCTGGCCGACCTGCTTCTTTTTGCATTGTATAGACTGAGGACAGTCCTCGTTAAGGAGGAAAGTGTTACGTAATGGACTTTTCTGTGCATGATTAATCTACTTACTCATTTAGACTTTGTCATCTCTGGCACTTTTGCCTATTTATACCGGCTTCTTTACGCTACTCACACACATTACTTCCATTCCTACTTTTCTGCTCTGCCTTATTTCTTACTTTGTCGTATAATTAATAAACACACTACTGCGTGGATGACCTTTGGCCTGTAATATTTTGCTCTGCCTAAGTTTCGTAACACGTAGTTCTCTGGATCAAAGTCTTGCTAAAGACTTTCTCACGCAGTAAAATAAATACAGACTGCGCAGAAATGGGAAATCTTGAAAAACAACTGATCTGCTTGAAGCTCCCAAATTGCTTTAGTTGATTTCAGAATTGTTTTAATGTTTATCATTTTGTTGGACATGCGATTCTGTAAGATTTTTCGTTAACTCTTTATGATACTATTCACGCGTATAGATGACGTTATTCTTTGTATTTTGTTTGTTTTGTGATTTTTTTTGTGTGCAGTTGTATCGTGTTTGAATAGTGCTGGCTCCAAAGGTCACGTCACGTCTTTCTTTATCGAATTAAACACGGACGATATCTACAGATACACCGTTAAAATAAGTAAATCAGAAAAAAAATAATGATAATAAATTAATTGTAAGCAAATAATAAAGCAGAGTCTTTAGAAGCTCTTGGACGCCCTATGCTTGTCGAAAGCTCAGTTATCTTTTCTGATTGGTATCAATCGAACTGCAATGTAAATATCAAATTAATTATGCATAATAATGCATGTACAAAAAATTGCTTAGCGAGGTAATAATCTAAAAAAACCGGATAGCCAGGTCGCAGGGCATTCCAAAGCCCCTGTTTGATTAAAATGTTCATCCCTCGAAAGATCCATTTGGTTGCTGTACTTATTTCTACTGTATTTGGGATGTGCTGGGCTCCACATGATAACCGTCCAAGCAACCCACGACAAACAAATGCTCGATTGTATTACTAAGTACCCACAAATTGCAGGCCACTCGCGCATAGTCTTATCTGAAGCATTTACCTGATGTTTGCTTATCATATTACCCTGCCATAGACTTCGCCCTTTACCAAAGCGTTTACGAGATTTTGCACTACGGTTAAATCAGTCCGATGTCAAATGATTAGAAGCTACTACAGCTTTTTCGTTTAGCTTTAGCTATCGTGTCGTGCTGAATTTACAGCCGACGTACTCTGTAGAGGTAAATATGAAATTTTGGCGCTATTAATTGGCCCATCCGTTCTACATTTAAATTGTTGACGAAATGGAGAATGTAGAAATACCAACATTCGGGCATCCACTACATCTCGGGATGTTCTTTGACGCCCGCTCCCATTGCCAATCCAACATCTCTTTCAATCTTGGAGATTTCGTCGATATTTCTAAGCTACGGTTCGAAAGAAGAGAAGCGTCTTCCAGTGTTACCGTCATCGGCTCCAATTCTCCCGCTAATAAACTAACCGATCTGGATGTGGATGACAACAGCGCGTTAAGCGTTCTTACGGGATTATGCTCGCCAACTGGTTCCGCGTCGTGGATCACCGATGACGACATTGACTGGTTACATGAAGTGCGTTGCACTTTACACTATCGACAATATACCCACATGGACGGATTAACCGATAGTCAACTGCATCTCGACCGCATTACGTTTCCGGCTGATTTCGATCAGGATTCCGCAACCCATGTGGTGGTAGCGTTGACCTATGGTGTCGATGTGTTTACTACGTTTTCTGTGAACTGCACCGACGCCGGGCGGATTGGGGAGACGCGGGTGCAGTTGAAGAAATTAGTCGGACGCGTGAAAAGCGTCCTCGACGGTCAGCACGACGAGAGTTATGCTTTGGATTATCTGGCAGGTGTGCCGTGGGTTAATGATCTGGTTTGTACGTACACCGGTGATGTCATACCGAAACAACCGGCTCGCGATGTCGAGACGTGTCTGTCGTTTCATAAGAATATTCCTATTATGCTGAAAGTCAATGAAGTGCAGGTGCCGTTGTTCGCATGGCTCAAACCGTTGCGTCCTATGCCATTTAACCAAAGCATTATCACAGATACGATAAAGGTCATCAAGGAGCTGGAAGACATCGATACCGCGGTGCGGCAACTGAATTTGTCGATCTGCGCAAAAATGAGACTGAACACGGCATCCGACGATTTTCTCGCTCTCTTTGACAAATATTGCACAGATTTTAAGGCATCGGTAAAAGGTCATCTTCCGGATGTGCGAAGTGGAAAACCTACAGAAGAACTTGAAAAACTCTTGCAGAAACACTATCGTTCGTCGTTCTCGAAGCTTAAGATTATGAAGTTTTGGCGTATCAGGCAGGAAGAGGAAGACGCAATTAAGAAGAAATTTGGAATGCTTTTTGATTTAAAAATTTATTCTGCGGATGAAGCGGAAGAGCCAAATAACAGCGAAGAAATAAATTATTTGGTTTATCTGCGGTTGTATGAGAAACAGTTCAAGTATGATTTTGCCAGCGTAACGGATGAGCAAATACCAAAAATATTGTGGTTTGAAAGTGAGGAGCAGCTGGATAAACTAGACAATGTGCTGATGCATTTCAAAGCCATACGTGGACTTTCCTGTTTAAACGAAGCGGTCGACTTCAAGATCAGTTGGTGCGCCGAAGAAAATAATGGCACTCCGTGCGAAATTGTCGCGTACTGTCTAAAGCCATCCTCATCGGTAAACTTAACTATGTGGAATCCCTGGTGGAAAGGCCTAAAGGTCAAGAAGAAGTTGGGACGCTCTATCCTGGTCTCCTGGAAGTTTCCCAAAGAAATTGACTTTATAAACGGTTTTGTGCTGAAGTGGAAGAAGAAAGATGATAAAATCTTTAATTCGTTGGTTATTGAGAAATCTCGGAGGAAACATGTCCTGTCCAGTCTACTCGCCGGTGTCGAATACGATATCTGCGTTACCTGCGTGGACGTCTTTGATCAATACCACAGCTCGGAGTCGGTGCGGGTGTTGCTGAAATCATTCTCTGTGGAGTACAGGAAACTTTCTAATGCTGTACCGGCAATGGCAACGTCGGCCGCGGTTACAGCAGACGTAGATTCGACGGATTCCAAGGAATGGGACAAGATTTCGCTTAGCGAGGAAAAAGGCGCATACGATGGCTCTTGATTTTACATTTTCTTAAATCGTAATTTTTAATTACAATTTTGCAAATAACGCCTTCAAAAATGCGCAAAGCGATATTTACGGATATTTTTATAGAGAACGATAAAGAGTAGCACAGTAGAAACACTTGTTCTGAAAGCTTCATGCACTGTCTCCAGGGTTACATCAGCATTTTTCAAATAGCTGCCTGAAATCACTGAGACAACGTGTGTGCATAAGTTACAGTACGTAAAGGTTTCACTAATTTTTTGTAAGGCCTCAAAAAGCGAAACGGCTAAGTATTTTCTATGTGCGCACTGATGTAAATCATAATATTATTATCAACTTTCAAGTAAGTACTGCACTCAGTTCAATTAGAACAGCCATGTATTTAGAATTCTGCATTATTAATTCTTAATAAGAAAGCTTGCAGGATGAAAAACTAAGTTATATCCCAAAACATTTTGCACTACTCAATGATTCATGACGCACGTCAGCAATTGTGTGGTTTTATATCAGTCGTATTTTGCAGTTAGGTTCAAAATAAAACGCATAGTATTCTGCGTTTTTCTTTTTTTGAAGTACTCGTACAAATGGCCAGCTGATTAATGATTCCGTTATCCCTGCTGAGAATTCGTACATTCTTGAGAACAACCAACAGGCGTTACAAATTTCGATGCTGGTGCCCAGGGCCCGTGGTCTTAATATAAGTTATTATCGTGTTACTGCGGAAAACGATTCACCTTTGGAAGTAAGTCGTATTTCATACAACAGAAAGATGGTGGCCGTAAAATAAAATGAAAAAAGGTAAAAAAATAAATGAAAGATTGCCCAGCTATTAAGTATGTTTGCATGGCTTTTTGAAAAAAATTCCATTCTTTCTGATCTTTTTTACTACGAATTCACAAAATACAAATTACTAGGCTTGATCTACTCGCATAACTATCGAAACTGTTGCGTCGCATAGGGTGTTTAAAATAGAGATTTTCCCCTAATACGACATTTGATTTATATCAAAATAAGTAATATCCAGTCAGTTTAAAGGAATTTGCCAATTGTAGGTCAGTTTTGTCGATATGAAGCTTCGCCCGCTGGGTCTGACCAATTATTCGGTTTGCGCAGAGGACCGTTTGGAAGTTTACGACTGGAACCGTACGACTTACTGAGTTGTTTAGTTATTTTATTTTGTTGGCGTCGCTGATCGATAGTTCACGGTCACAACGAATCACCTGACCTTGGTATTTTAATAAGTACATTCCAGATCAGTATATACGTTTGGACAACCGATGCGGAGATAGTACGCAAGGGACGGTGCAGTCGTACACCAATACCGTGGTAAGCGAAGTTATCTTCTGTGTCACACTGTTCAACCGACATTTACGATGGATCTGGAGTTGATAGTGCTCAGCACTGTTGGTGGAAGTCAAGGAAATTTGGGAGCCACAATTGTCGTCAGACGTACGGAATATTCTAGCGCTTAATTAAGCTACAGTAAATGTGCCGGCCAGCATCTGCGCAGTTATGTGATTGGCTACTGCAGGAAGCTGCGGACAGTACAGTTTTACATGTCCGTCGGATCCGTCCAATCGGTGTCTAAAAGGGGAGCGCATATGCGATGGTAAGTATCGTCATACAGATAATCGTTTTTCAATTTAAAAATCAGATTTATCTAGGTGATACAATACTTTCGAAAATGGCAGAGCGTTCCTTGTAAGATACATTTCCAGGGCATAAAGATTGCCCTGGTGGTGAGGACGAGATCTGCACCAACAACTGCGGCCTGCCGTTTTATCCATCGTCGGCCGTTAGTTTACCACAAACCCGCATTATCGGAGGAGCAGAAGTACAGAGTATATCCAACATACGGAAATTGATTTATGTTTGCCGTCGATCGAGTTTTTGCATATTAAAGGCGGATGCTAACAGTTGGCCGTGGCAAGTCTACATCAAATTCCGCGAACAGCTGGGGTCACTGAAATACAACGCATGCGGTGGTTCGATAGTAAATATTTTCTGCAGAAATGTTTTTGTGTGTATCTTTATATTTTTCTAATAACCTGATTCCTCGAAGATCGGCCCGCAATGGGTAGTGACAGCAGCCCACTGCTGCGCTCGGTCCACCACTAACAATATTACAACGTAAGGATACATTGCGCTTACTCAGGTGCTGTTTTACTGCTGGGGCATTCGAACTCCATAACGTTCCTTCAAAGGATGTAGGTTGTATCCAACTGAGCAAGTCGAAGTAATAGTTGGCGCCCACAACTCGAAAGTCTTCACCGACGACCAGAAGAAGAAGGTCAACTTTCTGATCATCTCTCCGTTTTATCACCCAAAAGTCATGCCCAAGTATCTAAGTGATTTCTGTATTCTGAAGTTGGCACAAGTAAGTGCTGCAAAAAAGCATTACCGCTACTAGTTTTAGCTGTGTGATGTTATTATACCGTATTTTTTTAACCGGTGATTTTTCTATTAGCGACTAACGTTCACGTCGACGGTGTCCGCGGTGTGCCTGCCGCGCGGACCGCCACCACCGTCAAACACGATCTGCATGGTAACGGGTTGGGGGCAGATAAAACCGCGGTTATCGAACCAGACTGGAGAAGGCAAGGGAACAGACGTATTACTGCAGGTCGATTTACAGTTGATCAGTAACAATGAATGTGGAACCAAAGTGCCAGGATTGGCACCGGAGATGGTCTGTGCACAAGGAGCCAACAACAAAACGGATAAAGACGCGTAAGTAGTAAATTTAGAGATTTCATATATCTCATGCCATTAATTTTAATTCTCTCGATTTTGTAAGAAAATGTCCAGTTCCACATAAGAGTGAGTTCATAATCTCAGTTATAAATATGTTTATTATTTCATTAAAGGTCATACCTGTACAATGTGTATATGTGTATTATTTCAATAAAGGTCATACTTTGACTTTCATATTAAATCATGTACGATATGAACTGAACTTTGTATTAGTTCTAAGCTGATATTTACTTTAAGCAGAACTTTCTAAAATAATATTATTGACCGTTTTGCTTGTTAAGGTGTTCAGGAGATAGTGGCGGCCCATTGGTCTGCCGGCTACCGAAATCCAGTCCCATACAGTGGGAACTTATTGGACTTACATCTTACGGAATGTATGAATTTCACATGTATACCACATTCCATATTCGATAAACATATGCTATACCACACGATTTAGTATTTTTTACGATACTGATGTTTTTGTAGCGGTTGTGGAATAGGCTATCCCGGAGTGTACACCAGTATGCGTCATATGATGGCCACCCTGATCAGAACCCTGTATGCTATGCGATTCGACGGATGGTTTTCCGAAGCGGACACGATGATTAAGCCATTGGACACTGGGAATTTGTCCACAGGAGACTATCAAATTCAGGTGGACGACCAAAAAGTGCCGGTTCATCAGTCATTACTAGAACGAAGCGCTAACAGCCAACAGAAACTTGTAGTGGGCTTTACACTTTTTACTAATATGCATGTGTTTTTCTTGATGTACCGGTTGCTATAAATTATGCTCTGATCCCTGTTTCTAAAATACTGTGTGTGCATTATTGTTACGATACATGTCAAATCTGACTCCGGCAAGCTAGTATTGGGACTCTGTTTTCATCTCTTCTTGGCTGCAGTAATCGACCACGTTTATTGTTTTACAATTTACAGTCAGTTTTAGTTTTACCACAATAAATTTCTGTAATTAGAATTTGCAATGAAGAATACATATACACAGCCGCACCAGTTTCAGAATCTATAGTCTACAAGCAAAAAGAGCCACCATAATGTTATTTGCCGTTAATCAGCAGCAAGACAAGCATATAAGCCTCACAATTAACCCTGACAGGATCCCCCGCACAAAAAAATACCTTTCAGCCCCGCGGGCGGGCGTTCAGTGCCGCCGCGTCACATTAATCAAATATTTACAGCAATGCGTCAGCAGCTGCTGCTTATCCACCGGTCGCTCGTCATAGCCCCGCCCTGACCCTCCCGTCACCGCCGCCGCCGCGTCTCGGGTATATACATCCAGCCCATACTGTCCATCTTCCGGAAAGATAATGTGGAACGACACCAGATCCCCCTGTACCATGTGCTGGACGTGTTTCGCCAGGCGCTTATCGTCCAGTCCGTTCTTATGCAGTCCCGCCATGAAATCCGTCAACGGGCGCTGCATCCGGAAGCGGATCTCCAGTTCCCGACCGGCAAAGATGAGGGCGTCCTCGTGGGTCAACGGCACCAGGCCGAAGAGCCGGGTAGCTTTGGCAGGGCCCCATTCCCCGCTAGCGCATTCGGGAAGGGGCACCATGACCGTCTGCAGTTGCCGGCAGTCGACGCGGAACTTGCACACGGATTTGAATTTCATCGGGTCACCGGCTAAGTACTCGGCTGGGGTTACGGCGTTGGCGAAGATGTCCAGGAGGTAGCTTCCGGCCAGGGGAGCGTGCACGCGGAAGATGACGCTGTTGCCCACGACGGACTGCATGACGAAGCGTTTCAGGAGAACACCGTCGGGACATGCTTCGCCTATATCATAAACACAAAGAATGGTCAACGATATTATAGTACCGGTTGCATCCGCTAAATAGTCCACTATTAGTTACTGTATTGTTCAAATACTGATGTTTATGCTTTCCATAAACATTTTAATGTTTTCTGAAATTTTGCAGGAATCTATTTTTTAAATTGTCTAGTCTTTTAACTACGAATACAACCTTAAATATAATTTCTTTACTGAAAGCCAGAATCGAATTATCACTGCAGTATACGTATACAAGAATTTTAATGCCCTCTATACCGATAACAGGATAAATAACATGCTATTGCTGACAGTATCACCGCAATAATAATGCTTAATTGCAGTATTGCACGGTTACCTGTTTACAGTTATTTTTAGAGCGAATATAGCGCCATAAAAAAATTCGTGAATGATGCGCAAGAGGATCCTACTAGCAGATTGGCGCAGAGGTTAGCGCGCTGGGCTCATAACTCAGAGGTCCGTGGATCGAAACCACGATCTGCTACTTTTTTGTTTTTTTTTATAGGTTTTTTGTTTATCGAATCGCTTTATATTTAAAATTACTAAAGAATCTGAACCAAATTGATATACGTTTCGAATTTACTAGTATTTTTAGCGTTAATAATACTACAATAACAGTTATTAAATTAATCGTAGCAAAATTCGATTTTTCCACAATTGTACCTTCGCGATCGTAGAATTTCAGATTATAGTGGAAAATCAGTCTATTAGTCATCTCCAGGGGCATGGTTATCCTAACCGTCGCCGCGCCCGACGCATCAGTGGGGATCACAGCTTTGGTCGTCTCATCGGGGAACCACAGCCCGTACCGGAAGAATAGCGACCGGACAAAGGGCAACTGCTCAAACTCGTTGAGGGTGATGGGCCGGCGCAGCAGCTGCCACTCACTCTGCAGTGGGTAGAATTCGTAGATGAACTCTTCGGGATCGGTGAGGAAGTAGTGGTCATCGTATTCGTAGCGCAGACTGTCACCGTGCGCGGATTTCCCATTGGGCACCCGGCCGTTCATCTTGGGCACCTCCTTGGCGTTGACCAGATGCCGGGCGCCCCAGTTACACTGGACAAAGCGCCAGGCGTTGTCCACGTAGACGGCGTTCCAGGAGTTGCGGAAACGGTTGTCGTCGAAGGAGACACCCGGCTGGTAGCCGGCGGATTTCGAGTAGCCTTTGATTACCACGCAGTGCAGACCGGCGTAACTAAACGAAGGAAGGTCACGGTTTAATTTTATGTTAACAAACTGAGCGCATTACACAAAGAACCACTATTAGTAACCAGACAAATTTACCTGCACAGGCGTTTGAAAAGAACGTGATAACTTTCCGTTCCGTATTTAATGCCTCGTAAGATTCCCATGGGCGTGTCCGCTCCCACATTGTCGTCAAATTCCATGAGGTTCAGATTTTTTACTGTGATCCATCGAAATATTGCACTAAAAATACGTAGAAATTAATTATATAGTAAATTTATATATATTTATAGTCAACAGTCAATTTATAGTCAATTTATATATATTTATAGTCAATTTAAAATTAATTTCACCTTACCGCGCTTTTTCTACGTCTGTACTGGAGGCGATAATCAGGTTGGATATTAGGTCGGTAAACGTCTTCTGGTCACCTTGGGCAACCTGTGAACACAAGAAGCATTCCTTAAGAAAATACGTCTGATTAAAAAAGTTATTTTTTAAAATTAATTTTTCAATACATTTTTTAAATAAATGGTGATTTTATTATTGAATCACGCTCGCCTTGAGTTGGACGTATATCTGTACAGTATTCGGAATTCATATAATGGGATACAAAATCTTGCGATGGTATGCAGTTATCCGGGTCAATTATTGCCATTAAACTACCCACTCTGAAAAAATAAGCTCAGTATACGTACATTGATGGCCACTTGATCGACCTGGCTGAAGACGTGGGGGTCCTTGTAGATGTGTGACTTGCCATAGACCGGCGGTGCGGGCGGCGGTGGAATCAGCGGATATGCCATGCTCTCGGATTCGGGTGAGCTCGAGCCGGCATGGGAACCGTTGCGGATGTCCGCACCGCCGTTGGCGCTGCCGTTGCTGTGTCCATTGGATTTACTGTGGCCGTGCGCCGCCGACGAATTCGAATGACCGTTTACGCCATTGATTTTACGATTTTCATCGGCCTACAAATTACACTGCTTTATATTCACATTATCGCGGTATTAGTTGATATGAAATATCGATTTTTGTGATTGATCTTTACTTAGAGCTTATACAGTATAGAAGAGCTGGCGTTTATAATCCGCAATTTAAAATGGCAACAACCAAATAATTATTAATATGTAATTGTAATATTATTATTTTAATAGGCGGTCAAAATAGCAAAAAGCGTGGGCACATTACTTGACAGCGCGGTGCTTAAAATTGTAAATATTAAAAGGAACTATAACCAAATAAAAACCCAAAAACTTCTAAATCTAAATTTAAAATTGCATGTATTTATAGAATAAGTTTTGGTTTACGAAATGTAACGACCAACCGGTATCGGTCATGTGCGATTAGCCGGTAAAACGATCTAGTGACCCAATTGTTAATCCTGCGCCGCTTGTCAAAGCAACGAAAATTATTACTTAATCCGAATGCAAATGTTAAACTCATTACAGAAAAACAGACAGCAATTTTTTTCCCGGCAAGCTGTCAGTACGTCGGTACATGTGGCGTAAGCGCACATCGGCAGGTGGTCACTAAATAATGACCACTTGTCAGAGTGGGCGCATTTTATTAAGGTTATCCTGATGGTTACCAAGAACATTGGTTACCAAGATGATTACCAAGATGGTAATCACCTTCAAATGCTGCAATTACCCGATGCTTATGGATGTACGTGCAAGCTCGAGCGTATGGGAAACAGATCGTAAAGTGCGCAAAAATTACTCAGAAATATTAATGTAAAATTCAGTGCGGAATTTGCGGTAGTTGTCTTTGCTTAGCATATTTTATTTTCTACTGCAAAAAAATTAAAAAATGTCGAGAACTGTTTATCAGTCCTAAAATAATAAAAGTTTAGTCTACAATAAAATAATAAAAATTAAAAGAATCTATTTTGCATAGCATTCGGTATACTAAAATGTGTCTGGTGTAATTATGCAGTTTGATGCTTTTTCAACTTCAAAAAAATTTTTATTCGTGCTATTTATTTTGGAAATATTTCAGACTAAAAACAGTTTCGTTATATTATTTTTTGTTATCGAATATTGTGCACTTACGCCTTCCGCCAGGGAATGATCTTTCTTATTGGACTGATATTCCATACGCTTAGCCGTGATGAATTCCATCATTTGGGCGCTTTGTTTGTCGATCAGATCGGCGGTGGTGTTGCGTTCGATCTCCAGCAGCTTCCGCGTTACCGACTCCTTCTTTTTGTCGCGCTTTAGTGTCATGAACTTCTCCAGATCCTCCTTCTCCTTTAAATGCCGGTGCGTGAGATTCTTCTGCTCTTCCGGTGAAATCTTCTTTTTCTTGTGATGCAGTTCCTTCTCAAATTTCGCCGTCAACTCTTCCAGTGCCACTTCCCATTCAGCCTACACAACCATCAGATAGAATATCACGAAACTTTATATTGCATTTACAAATCACAATATAGTATATTCTATCATAATATATTACAATACCCTTCACCGTATTATTTTAATAAATGTTTCTGCAGATCTGTCATACATATATAGCAAAAAAAGGGTGTTAATTACAGTATTATTATTCGGTTTCTTGCAAATGGCAGCTGTATTAATTCTTCTTTGGCAGGGTGATTATACAAGCCAACACACTACGTTACTACGTATAACCTGGAATTTACACACTTCAACACATTTCATGCTTGCGTTTATTTTAATGTATTTACATATGTCTGTAGTTTCTGTACAACTGCGGGAGTTTCTACCATAAATATTCATAATAATTCATTTCAGTTGCAATTTTGAGTCTATGGAAAGCAGTATAGTCTCTCGGTCATTATGTATACTTCTAGCTAATAATTTGTTCAAACTTCAAAGTATCGAAATATGTTTCTGCGATTTATGCGAGTTGAATTCAACAGTGTAATCATTTGTTTAGAGTATTTATCGGTGAAGTTTGGTGGATTTGGTCCGTTTATGGTCAGCATTGTCAATGACTTGCGCACGATTACTCGCATTCAGTGTTATCCAAGCGGAAAAGGGTGGATTCAGTTCGTGTTACAAACAAAACATCTCATTCAAGTACAGAAATAGCAGTTCACTGGCAAATATTTTTATGTCGATATAATTAGAAACAGACTTCCTTTTGCGGATTGGAATATTCACCTTGACCGGTTCGAACCGCCTACCTTATCTTGAGAACTGCCGAATCGAACTGAGCTTCTGAGTTAAATTAATACATACAATAAAAATTTCTAAAGCAAATTACATGTGGACAGTTTACTTACTTCGGACACCAATAATACAAAATTTTAATTGGCAAAAATGTTATGTTGAGTCTTAAGTTCTTAACACTCTCCCGTTGATAAAACGAAAATCCTTTGCGTGTACTTACCGGCTCCGGCGCGCATTGGCGATATTTGGATCAAATACAATTACACGGAGAATGTTCCTTGAATAGTTCATTTTATTACGATATAATCATTTTCACAGTTTAACAAAATTAAATCGGTATGTGACGGTACACTGGCAATAGTATAAAACTTGGAATTAATCCGGCATATTTCTCCAAACTCAAATCACAGTCCGTTAATCCAACTTTTATGAAATCGCTCATAACGAGGTGTCAATAGAAAAATGTCCACATAAGTGTTGACTATGTTTCGGAAATTTGCATTGGTAAGTGTACGAATAGTGTACTGTACGGCTGTGTTCCCATTTGTAACATTTGACATGGTCTACTCTTACAGCACTTGTCGTTTGCACTCCCCTGAGATAACTGGAAATTGCCGCTTAGGCAAATACGGGAACATTGAAAGCTTTTGTCCATTATCATTTCCCAACCATACAACGAGATACGTACATATATTAGTCATACGGACAGATGACCAAGCGGTTGCCGGGCCAGCCGGAAGTGAACCCAACGGGTTGTCGGTTTGATGCGCAGTACAGTAAAATCTAAAGTGTTTTGATGCCTTATAAATTAAAATTAATTAAAAGTAATACCAGAACGATCACTGTGCGTTACACCAAAAACGATACAATCAGTTTAATTTTTATTTAACCCAATGAAAGGTTTCGAAAAATTTGGAACTAATTTTATTTAAGCGGTACGCAGAGTGGGTTCAAATATTTAAAATGAGTGCTCGTTTGAGGTTTTTTCCTATTGTTCATACTCATGTACGTCCTTTAGAAAGCCGTATTTCTTTATGTCGTGAATCGTGAATAAGAGATTGTGTTGCTTTTGTTTAGCTTTTAAAAGTGCCCTTTTATGCCCGATGTTGAATTTATAAACAACAGTTTTTGTGAATTTCCTTTGTCAGCAGGATGGTAACAACAGTACGTACTATGCGCCCCTTGATGATAGTAAAATAAAAATACAATCATTCATTTGCGTTATGGTTCTGGCAAAACCCTCTTGTCTACCATAATGTCTATTTTAAGAAAGATGATGTTTTGAGGCATAATTTATAACAATTTATAAACGAAGTTAAAAACAAATAAACCGGCGGTTGTAAAATTTAAAGAAACTGCCAAAAAACACAATGCATGCTTAATTTTTGCGTTCTGATTTCCTAATTCAACAAAAATGTGAAAGGAATCTTGAGCTGTATATATCACTGCGAAATGAAATGATTTAAACTGATGGAAAACTTTCCGAAAATCTGGGGTTAAGTTTCGCCTGCGGGCTGGTAATTTCTGACCATTTCGGCTTGACCACAAACCGATACGACCGCCTCTTTCCTAATTTCCCCTGGGCCGTCATCCCGTCCCTAACTAGCGCTAATGCCCGCTCTTCCACTGGCCACTCAGCTGTCCCCGCACAGATAACACACTGCTGTGGAGAGTGGCCCGATGATTTTCATCCCCCCGCCACCAGTCATCGATTGCGCCCTGGTTCCGGTCAGTTTATTCATAACCTATCCATGGCCGCCTTTGTAAACTGACCATCTGCCCCGTGGCTCCGTTATCGTCCACAGCCATCGCTTAGCACTCATCATTCACCATGTAGCGTTTTGTATAGTTTGTTTGCTTTAATTCCGCTTTTGTGTTGAGCGCAATGGTTCCCTCCATCCATCATGCGCCCCGGTCGATGGATTTTGTGAAAATGTATTATTTGGTTAATGTACACATCATCGATAAATTGTTATTGTTAAACGCTGGTTCATCAATGGCTGATTAATTATGTTTATCCAGTTCTAGAGTGTTCACATCGAACGACCGCGAATTATATTCTTTACTGTAGTACATATGGTACATATTGGAAAACTTATGTGTGACCCTAGTTTTAGCAGCTAACTGAAGTTTATGTTTAAGAAAATTCAGAAACACGAGATAGGATAATTGATTTCTAAATTCTACTTAATTAAAGGTTGGCTTACCTTGATTTCTTCGTTGATCATGTTCTCTTTTTGTTTCCGCTCCGCCAGAAACTGCTGGTACATTTCCTCTTCTTCTTTTCGTAGTTTCATCTCCAGTTCTTTTTGCGCCTCGATATCCTGGAAAAAAAATTGGTGATTTATGCTTAAAGAAATGACACTGATGCACGTTTTGATAAATATCATAATATTATGTCTGCCGAAGTGTACAGTTATACATACATATTATCATTCAATAATAAACAACCAACTACAGAGTTCTGCATCTCAGCCACCAAACTTCGTTTGATATTTTCCCCTGGTTTTAGAGTATGTCATTTTTTAAGCTACTTCTTGTGTGAGAAAGGCAGCACAACTTAACCGTTCCATACTGCTGGACAGTGGTCAGTAGTAGGAAGCATCCAATTAAGCGCACGCGGGAGCCCGCAAACGCACAAATGCATCAGGTAATATTTTTTCGAATTACGTATTATAAGTCCGTTAAGTATAAATATTAATCTCAGTGGTTACGGTGGTTTAACAGCGATGCGCAGTGATATTATTTGATTCTCTTTTCTTACAAAATATGTGGTTTATGATAAGTTCGTGCTATGTAACGTAAAAACCGATACATTCTTAGCCATAATCCGGCAAGTACCCTTACAGGTACGTGACCTAGTAAATAAAATCATTTGTTGCTGCCGAGTGACATGTAAGAAAACGGACGAGTTAGCCGGGCTGTAATACGATCATGAGCAGTTCCGTAATTTAATCGTTTCATTTCGCAATGGTCAGCGCGTGTGCCGCTGTAATCTTCACCACCATCAACTGTCGAAATACTCCAAACAACTTGTCAAGAAAGAATTACATTCGCCGAAGAACAAAATATGCTTTTCATAATGTCCTTTACACGAGAACAGTATAATTACGTAAACGAAGCAATTAGAACATAATGCGTTTACGTATAAGTTTGGAACAGTTTATATCTGTCGAATGATCAACTTAAAAATAAAAACAAAATTCAGTGTTAATGAAACAAAAATTAATTAATACTAGGCGAAGCTTTACATGAACGGTTTTGCAACTGTAAACGAATAAAAATTTGTCTTTCATAAAACTTTGCGTAGTACATGTACCACTCTGCGACGCGTAACGACAGCCACTGGAAAACAAACAAAGTAGACGACTGGTCAGTTTTTCAGCGTCAACCATCTCCACCTGCGCAGATGTTTTTCACCGGCTTCTTCAGCGTCACACAACTAACACCGTTTTGTCCTAGTGCAACCGCGGGGGATGCGGTCAGCTGTCTGCTGTTGCGCCTTTGCGTACCGGCTAAATAAGATATACACAGCCGCCATAATATCTGTTATACATATGGCTGGGCAGTGTTTTTTCTCCTCGCACTACACACCATGGTGCGCTTGCCTGCTCTCAAGTGCAGAGATCGCTTGGCTAACATTTGATCAAGGCCATGACAGGATCATTTGATACGGAACGCGCTACAAAGGATTGGCAAATAAGAGGATTCAACAATTAACGGCACTGTTGGAGCGTTATGTGTGTGTGTTGTTATGCGGCAGCGATCTTTGTATAATAGAGGGAACAATCACGGCTGACTTGTACAACATGTATAAGTCAACTAACAACGCCGATCATTCAACGCTCGCGACACCCCGGCTAATTGCAATTTTTCAACACAATCAACAGTTTAAAAAAAGCCTTTGACCACAATGACCAACTGCCTCGATAAGACGTTCGTCTACTTAATATTATATGTTCGTGCAAACAAGCGATTCACACGCACTTTTCTGCAAATCGAAGTTATTCTCATAATGATTTTATCTGTATAACAGTAATTTTTTTATTTTATTACCCAAAGCTTTTTTTAAATCACTGTTTTAGACTGCATCATTTTAAGACCTGTTACGGTAGTGTCCTGTTCATGCAAAAGCTAGACAGGCCAAAATAGATTCTTCTGAAATACCAGCTTTTAGAATTACTTCGGATGCATTGAATGTGTTCACAGATACCGTAGAACCGTAGATTGATAAAAAAACTAATAACGTAAAACGGAACAAAAAATTAATCACATAATTATGCATTAGGTATTATTGTCTCCCACTCGCGCTGCAAATAATATTTTATAGGCGACAATAAATTTTGTCCTTAAACTAGGTATGCCAGTACATAAATCTGTTTGCCGACGCATGTGTGTCGCACGCGGATATAAATTAAACACGTTTGTAATCGTGACAGTATATCTCGACAGTCAATGGCTGATTCGGATATAATTATAGTAATAAATTATGGTAACATAGCAAAAATTAAACTACTTCAAATTTAATATCTCCGAGCACACTGAAACAATTACAAGAAAAATAAAGTCATCCGCTCGAAGCGTACCGAACTGAAATAGCCCATCGTAAAAACCGAAGTCGCATTCCTTCTAGTTTGCGGACAAATTTTATGGATTAAGTACCTGACTCGAAAGATTCTTCAACCGAGGCAAAAATGTGCGCCTATAGCGTTGAAGGAAAATTATCGTGCAGAAATATGTGTTTGGCATAGTCACATTAAATACGTAATCAAATAAAGCTCTAAATATTTTGCGAATAACGGCAGATTTTTACTAACATATGTAATAGTTTATGTGGCTTTTTCAAGTCTTTTCCTTTGAGTTTAAATCTGTTCTGAAAATAAAATTAATCGCTATATAATTTATACTTGAAGAGTCCCGCACCATCTGTGCGGGAGGCAGCTACTTTCCTAATACGGCGCAACCTTTTTCCCAAGATTAGCGTAAAATTGTATCGTCGTTAACTGCCAGCGATTAAACCAACATTTTTTGAAAGCGATTGTTTTTATTAAAGACCGCTTCTGAGTACAACATCAACGTCGCCAGAAGCTGAACAAAACCTCGTCATCGTTTTCCGATTGATTACCAGCATCGATGAGGCGCGTATACGTGCTAAGAAGCGGTTTCCACGAGAGAGAAAACTATGTCAACGTGAAGAGAGAATGCCATTGTTTACTGCTGAAACGGTAAAAAGATTTATCTTCCGAACCGGCAACCACGGCTGTTATTCTTTTCCACCTTAGATCATCTTCTTTTCTCTCCCTCACTTGCTATAACAACCACGTTGGCTTCTGACACACAAAAACACCGATTCACCGAATCTAGAGCGCGAACAACCGATGCGCAAAGCTGTGAGCGGGGAGATCCTTGGCGGAAACGAACGCCAACTTATTCGTACGACGTACTTGTAACAAAAGAGACAGTTGTCTGTGTATTAATTACCCTGGCAGTGGATAATTATCTAACGCTTCATTTTGCCGGCTACGGAAGATACATTGACGCCCGCTCATTGGAATACTTTCGCGGTTAATGTTCAATGCACTGAAGATACATATATCCGCACCGACCACGTAATTGCGCCTTTCACAACGGTGGACACAAAAAACTAGGCTGCGCGCGGCACTAATTATGGCCAAAAATCACTTTTAAACTTGTGCCCAAGCGTTAGAGATTCATTGTTCTCAATTGGATGACGGCGCTAACAATAAAGTGCCAGCCAATTATTATGTCAATTGGTGCCAAAACGTCTGATAAAAATGTAAACGATCAATCTTTTGGAATAATCGGTTCGCGGTAAAAAACTGCCCATAAGTGAGCATCTTTAACGACCAGGTTACATCATCGCGTAACGCTGAAAACAGTTTCCTCGAAAGAAAATTGGACCGAACGCACAAGAAATATTCGAAGGAAAGTTTAAAATAATTTTTAAAAAAAACTTGACACTTTTGCAAATTTTTTACGTTTGGTCAGTAACGAAAAATAATGTCCAAAAGATTACTGGCGCTGCTGGCTGACCACTGCATTAATTCTCAGTAAACGACTAATCTGTCAAAATCCGCGCTGACATTTCAGTAAATGCTAAATGAGCGCGACAAATCGCTTTTCCTTTGCGCTATCACAACGCACTGCAGCCAACTAATCAAGGTCATTTGAAACCAATCCGCGGCCAATACGGACATCACCTCGCCGGCAATTAATTATTCCTGTAGCGAAAACCATTATGGCTATTTTTGTCACAACAAAACCACCGCCGACACTGTTGACGTTACGCAGACCCGTGCATTTAGATGCAACGCGATACCGTAAACAAAGTGACAGTCATAAATTTTTCCGCTGCCGAAAACGAGTAAACACTCACGCATATTCCGTTCTCTCTTTCGCTCTTTGGAAAATTTTGTCGAAAAGTCAGCGAACAAAAGATTTTATGAGATTCTCGAGTCGGATGTGTAAAAGCAGGTTTCTGTGCCGGCGAGAGATGAGTGAGCGTATCCATCATAAACACACACCCGAAAAACTGAAGTTGATGATTCAGTTAAGAGCGGTATCGTCATGCATAATATTGTATCGTAATACCGTCAGGAAAAAGCAACTAAGTAGTAATTAAAAGGCATCCATCATTTCGAGGTGAATAAATTTACCAAAAATAATTTAAAATTTGCAGTTTTAATTAAAAAAATTTTACAAATGTAATTGTATGAAAAATTTCTTTATTACTTTATTATTATTATTTACAGGTAAAAATAATTCTGTTTAGATATTTTTTTAAAGCTACTTAATTTTAGCCTATTACTGCTTTAGATATTTTTCATTATGAGAAAGTTTTGGGTAATGTTGACTGGGCTCGGATGAATTTTTATACACAAGGGTCTCAAAATTGCTGTTGTCGACTTACCAGAAACGAATAAAGGGGCGTTTCATTAGCTGCACGTTTATATCCTTTCTGCAGTTCGGTGGCGTTGAGGGCGTGCGAAATATGCAGAGCCCCCGCATCAAAATGCCCACCCATGTCGTTCATTTTGCGTGCGGCATTGTCATCCGCCTGGGCTTGGCGGTGTACAAGTAGTCCTTTAATGCCAATACAGTCCGAATCGATGTGGCCGGCACCCGTTTTCGGAACATGATTCTGGCAGTACACTTCCCGGTCGTTGGCGTCCAGCTGACTGGTTACGTACGTTTTCAGGGTAAGAATGCTACAAGAATCCGGACAACCAATGTTACACACCGGAAGCATAATTTTTTAATATAATAAAAATACTAGAGTCACACCGAACATGAAACAAAAGAAACTCTCTGGAGTATGCACTTCAACTTGCATTCCGAAACAAGCTCTGCAGTGATTATTCAATACTTCCATTAATATTATCATATACAGTTACAATAAAACGCAATGATTACTTCGAAAAATAGTGCTAACGCTTCATAATTAAAAGGCTGTTTAAGGTGTTCTCTATATTTTGTGGACTTAAGTGCGTTCGTAGCTTTACTTATTTACAACGTATCTGTTTTACTCCATGTTCTTATTAAACTTTTTTAGGTCCATAACGTTTTATTAACCGCACGAAGCCATGGTCAAGTGAAGGGTGCACTGCACATGATAATTATTGTTATGATTCCATCATTGGAGAAATCAAACTTTTTTTCCCTCTCCACTTGGCCATTGGCTTTTTCTAAACTAGCCATTGACCTGCGTAATTACAGGCACCAGCACAGATATCCGCGCTGGTGCAACGTGCGTTCCCAGCCACGCGGACGCCCGCATAGTGGGATTATAATGAAGTACCTGCCACAGACGGAGCATTTGAAGCAGTGACGGTGGAAGACATGGGTCATGTTCTTCAAGGGTCCAATACGATCGACAGGATACACCGCCCTACTGCATCGACAGCACTTCATGTCGCCCGTCATTTTCTCCACTCTCCACGCAGTTCAAGTGCGGATTAGTGATGCTGACGTTATAAATCGACAATCACCCAGACACAACAACAGACAATTCCGGAAACTGGTGAAACGCTTGTGGACCATGTGAAAAAAAAGACAGCACGGCTTGATGGTGGATGCCAACGGCTGTTACATGGCGATGTAGGCGGTCATTCGGTGTGGAGCAAATAAATTCCCAAGACACAGTTATCGTGGGAACAGGTAACTCCTTCCGGTAACGGAGCTTCTTACCGCGAAGAAAGTGTGAAAATTATGAAAAGAGATTCCGCTGTTAAACTAGCCAGTACAGATATAAAAGTGATCATTCAAGTTCCTCAGGTAGAATTGGTCTCGTGCATGTTTAAGCAGCAGCGCGAGAGAACAAACCAAGCACATTGTCGGTGTGCATGTTAAACGCTATACACGAAATGGCTTGTATCCACTGCGAGATTGAATCCGATCCGGTCTCGGCGGATAAACGTCGACGGCGCGGTGTACGCGGAGTAAATCCACTTGGCCCACAGGCTACAGCCGAGTCACCAATGGGCAGTCGGTGGGCGGGGACATTTCTCACGACCGGCATTGGACCGTGGACTACGCGCAGCCAATGAGAAATCTACACTGACCACGGATTGGCGGAGACTATTTGTTCAGGTGTATGAATGTATTTGTCGGTCAAGTGGGCTTTGAAAGGTGAAGAAACGAGTTTATCGCTAGCATCTTTACTATGTGTTTGATTGGGTTCACTGGCGCTAGCAGAGGCAAAAAATTACAACCTGTTTTCTTGCCGTACGTGTACCACGGCGGTTGGCATTTCTTGCGTAGTGATAGACGCGATGGAGACACACTACATGCCGCGTACACAACCGGCAAAAAGCTCTGCAACGAGCAGGTTGTGTTTTTTACAGAATGGCGTGTTGGTGAATGTGTCAGAGTATGGATAGCAATAACCCAATTGTAAAGTGCGCCATACTGGCCAGTTGGATGCAGCTAGAACGGGTTGAGCGGGGTTTTCCGGCGACCAGGCCGAGATTATGGAGTTTGAGTTGCATGGCTACCTGCCGCAATGTCGAGACAATACGATTGGCGTTCCGCTGTGCATGTACAACGAACGTGAACGGTATGCAAATATCTGTACATATAGCCGGCAAATTCCTGACGATGCTGATGAATTGTTGATGTATTACCTTAACTAGATAAACAAATGTGATGTTCGCTGGACAAGACATGAAATTTGCAACAATAACGACGACATCTGACTTGATCGATCCACCTGCGCTAACGCCACTTGAATGTTTTGAGGAGTCTATGGGTGTTCGCGGTTCGCGGCCATTTTTACAAATCGAGTTCGATGTGTTCGCAGCAAAAACGTCCTGTGTTGTATTTGACCAAGGAGAGGTGTGTGTTTGGTGGTTTTTAATTTAATTTTGAAGTAGTAACTGAGCCAGTACAAAACTTGCAACAGTGCAGTAATTAATAGCTATGTCTTTATCTCCATGTAAAATGCATCCGTTATCAGTTAAGTTTAATCAGAAGGATTGAACCGTCAGAATTACTGTATAAGATTAATTTACACAGCGTAAGTACAACATTACGTTACAAAAGATGGGACAGCTCAAGGAAATCTGGAGATGCAGTTTTATGAACGCACAATTCAAGCGGATGAAATACTCTGGATAGCAAATGCTCGATAGTTGTTGATACCTTGGGAGTTTTTGAGCATGCTTAAGTGAGTCGATGCATTTTTAGGTATGACGTTTGGGAAATAGAGTGAAAATTTGCGAGAAGGGCGTGATTGCTTGTCTTACGCAGCGCTTTAGTATGGCGACTCTAAAAAAAAATTCTAAGACCATTTTGGATACGAGTACACAGTCATTTAGTGCACGGGAAAAAATTTTGCTTGACGTTAGAACGGCATAATTATCGGTGAATGCACATGTTTGAACTTTTTATACTATTAAAGCAGATTGATGTTAACATTAAGTTGCTCCTGGAATAATTTTCTTCACGTTCTTTTTTCTTACTTTCGTTACTTCTTATTTTGTTGTACATCTAAAAAATGAGTTTTATATTATCGAAGATGGCTATAAAATTTCCGAACCATAACACAGCAGCATGCCCTCTATGGCGCGTCAACAACTTTTAAAAATCAACAACAACACCGTATCAGCTGTAATCGCATCCTGAAACGTAGCACTCAGTCAGCGCTTTTTACAGCTGTGGGGAAGAAGCCATAAATACCTGTGCACTAAAATGCAACTTATCACCACTGCTATAAATAAAACGTGATAACACTGTGCGTAAGTAACGCGATAACATTATTTCCTTGACCTTGTCCGATCCGTTTCCGGGTAGCGTAACTTGGAACCCTCGTATCAAACGTCTGTCTGAACAAGTGGTAAGAGTGTGAACGTTTGCTTTCCAGGACACGGTAAGAACGTCCTTTAACTGGTGCACATAATATGTATTTTAGTGCTGTATTGTTATAATTCTTCATGTACCCAAAGTAGATTAAGGGGCAAAGTGCTCTTATAAACGCATTGTTTCGTCATTTATGTTGCAGGTGCTTATTTGTTCGGACACGCATTACAGCAGTGGGAATTTGTTGTAACTGATTAATCATGCAGCATAATCTCGTTTATTCATCGTTTTATCGTTCACAGGTGCGGAAACAACAATCGTAAATGATTCACGTCCGTCGACGGGCTGACAATCTTTCCGAAGAATGAAGCATTGTGATTTAGTTAGAACAAGAATTCATTTGGCAAACAGCACTTAATTTGTCGTGAGTTATTTTCTTTGTGCGAAAAACTTAGTATTAATTACATCGCGTCGTAAATATTGATTTACTGACAGGTCTGCTGGCCTGTACCATCAGCGGTAGGTACATTTAAGGTCACCGCTCCCTGGCGGAGATTCAATGCACCGGACGCGCTTCGAACTGGTGCCAGTGATTTACCTGCAAAATAAATACAGTTAGTAATACAAAACAAGCAGCTTGAAAACGGTTTGAAATTTAAAGCTAATATTTTTATAATTGAAATCTGCACGTACCGGCAACGTTTTCCACTGGGAGTGCGCCTTCTGGGCAGATCGGCAGAGCCATGGGCAGGCTGTTGTCGAAGCGACAGTGGATGATGTCGCAGTCCACTTTACCGGAGTTCACCGGCAAACCGTGGACTTTGAGGTCATACGAACGGCCAACGTTTCCGACCTGACGGGCTTCCACGGTGTAGCCGTTTCCGTTGACAGCGCGTCTGTAACAAAGACAATTCCAACGTCTGCTTTTTTGGAAAATAATTATTAAGTCCTTACCCGTTCTGCACCAATGGAATGACATTGGCAGGGTTGACATCGCTGGTGACACGGCAGCTCTGCAGAGCATAGCCCATTCCCTTTCGTGCAGGGCCGGTGGGTTCGGTAGTGATCTGGATGTCACAGGCGGCTGGGCCGGGCAGCGGGGAGATGATGATTCTGTGGACGAACACATCGGTTTATGAATGTGCATAGCAAACGACATTTAGTATAATATGATTTTAGGTTATATATACGTATCCCTTATTTAGTACATTATAATAATTTACTGTAGTACAATTAAAACATGTATTGTACGTATTTAAATTATACATGCTATACATACGTATCCCCTATTCAGTGCACTCTGTTTATTACAACGTGTATAGACTGTACGTGTTTAAATATTCATGTATTATTGTATATATCTAACAAGTACGTACTCGAATCCGAATGTTGTACACTGCGACAAGGAGATCTCGTTAATTTCAGGCTCAATCAGATCCTTCTTGTCATCCTCGGGCGACCACAGACAGCAGAAATCCACTTCATATTGTCCCACCCACGCCAACGGCGACTGCGATCCCGGTACGAGAACGAACTGCTGGAGATTGGCTCGGCCGCAGTACTTCTTGGAGCAGGCTTTGGGGGTGGCCCCGTAATTCGTTTCGTCGCACACTTCGTTGGTGTCGGTTTTGGTTAAATCGGACAGGCTTCCGGTCGCCACCAGTTCCTGATCCGCACCGGGATCCGCGACCTGGCGACCCAAGACCTCCAGATAGCCGTTGGTACTGCGGCTGTAGCTGTCGCCACGACGCACATGCAGTTCGAAGCCGTTCTCATTGGGACCGGTGAAACAATTCAGCTGGAACACCGCCTTGATCCCCTTGCGTTCGTTGTAGACTAAGTCTTTCTCCGTGCTCTTTTGAAGGTGACCCCGGAGCGAGACGGTGCGGGCCTGCACCGTGGCGGCCGCTGCTACGACGCACAGTAAAATTGCGAGAGTATTCATTTTCTTGAGGATCAGTATAAAATGCTCCAAACTTCTGAGGAAGGAAATGGCCGTAACCGTAGCAGAATAGTACGTTTATATACACGCTTGAGTGTTGAACGGATTAAACGACGCCGCACGTGCATTGTCGTGCAGTACGTCGGATTGATAAGAGGACAATTGTCTCGTGTGGGGTGCACCGGAAATTACTGGAAATCACTGATAAGCAGGATGATTCGCTGTACCGGTGTGAATGGATGCGTCCGCCAGGAAGCTATCAACAAGATAATGGAGCGGACGCTCCATATCGTTGTTTATTCAGTGGTGTTTTGTGTATTGTGTCTCTAATTAGCAGTAGTACGTCCGCATGGCTTGCGTTGCCAATAATTGCGATTGGCACGTTGAGTCAACAATGATTACTAATCGCAAACGTGTTTGAATTAATCTTTAACATTTTTGCAGTTGGATACAATTCGTATTGTACGTTCTTCCTGCTTGCCATTTATCGAAGCGTATTGCACGACTTGTATCTGTATACTATATAGACATACTGCTGCAGTTCATCATTAAAACGCACCATATCCAGGCCTGACAATAAATTAGCACGAACTTTCAGAGAAATATTCAATAACGGGAGTAGAATTGATCGATCTAACAAGTCCTTAGTTAGTTACCTATATCGGTATTATTTTATTATTATTAAGTAGTACAGTGCCGACGGATTTGCCAAAAACATAACACTGATTAAAAACTGTATAAAAAGATTGCGAGCATTTTCTCCACGGCTGCCACGCTTTCCCTATACATGCACACAGTGTGCGTTTCCATACGTTGCTAGTTTTGTTTCTAATACTTGTATGATTATTAATGATACCGTACCATCGTAGACAATACAAGCTGTAACAGCTGAAAGCTGTGAATATTTCGTGCTTTTGCAAAATTTCCAACCTGGTTTATATAATGAAGTGGACGGTTGCACACGGGCCCGCAGAATGCTTTTATTTGTAACCACGACAGATTTAACAATGGATGAACGAGCGAAAATACCCTTACGCAAAGTTTAATACAAATTTAACTCTAGAGCAGCATAATTTCGTTTCCTCTGATTCAACGGCGGACGGAGCAGCTAGCCGTCAGGCCTCCCGCGTTGGTCACCAGGAAGTTCACCGCTCGGGTGCAGCAGGTACCGGTAGCAATACCGCCAACAGTGACATTCGAAATGCGGAACACCTCCGTCGGCAGCGACCACGTGGACATGGACACGGCGTTTTCCCGGGTCACGTGAACCGTGCGGAGTCCCTTGTCCGGATCGGTGAACGTGGCTCGCACTTCGTAGCGCGCGTTACGGCAGCGCGTACTGTCGTCTCCAATGGCGGCGCAGCTGCTCAGCATTGTCGAACTCGTAATGGCGCACGTGGGCGGTCGCGGCCGGTTGACGACGTTGATCACTTTCCGGATGGAGTTGATCGCCGAGGAGGACGATGGAACGGAAACCGTCACCAGTACTTCGATGGTACTACCCGGTGCTGCCGACGCTGGTACATTGATGGAGACGTGACCGGACACGCGCTGACCGGCGCCCAAGTAGAAACTGCTGGGCGGAGACGACGACGCTACGGATCCCGTGTCGCCGGTGATTTTTTGCTGCATGGTGGCCGCACCGCCGTTATTCACTACGAAGTAGTTGACGGTGACGGACTCGCCAGGATTCAGCGACACCGGACTTTCACCGCCGCTGACCATTTCAATCCGGATGGACGACGGTCGAATCGGCGTGCGGTGGATACGCTCAAAACTGCTGCCGTCTCCATCCCGGCCCATGACCTTAACGAACACCGATTCCGCTGGTACCCTCAAGGACACGGAGTAGGACTTCGATGCTGCGTGGAAGGTCACGGCATTGGTGGTATCGGCGGCACCGCTCTCCCGAATAAATGAAACCGCGGTCACTTGGCAGTCATCACATGTCGGAGTTATCATAACCGTCACCGTCTCTCCACTGGTTGGATTGCCAGGATACTCCTGGAACCCGGAGTCGGTGCGTTGGCCGACGGCGTAGGAGAAATCTACGGGGCTACGGCCGCGCACCTCCCCTGTCCATCCAGCGGCGGACCCCCGGATGTCGGCGACCCAGTTGCCAGGAGCCGGATTGGTCACTCGGTAGATCTTCGTATTGCGGGTGTTTAACATCATCTCCACGGTGCTTGACCGCGTGCCGGCGGGCGGTCGCAGGGTGGCCGTGGGAGCGGTGCTGGCGTCCGTCAGCACCAAATCGATGACGTACGTGGACGCATCCACTGGGATGGTGGCGCTGCGTGAGGGCACCGCTGATCGGCCTAGTTTTATAAGGATGACACCGTCGGGTAGCAGTGCATCGCCCAGGATCATGGTCGCGGCATAAATGTCGGCCATGTTAGAGGATGTTGTAATGAGCAAACCACTGGTGGCGTCCGTGATCTCTTGGTATACTTCAATACCGGCGAACCCAGATGGGTTAGGAATTACGAAATTCACCATTTGCTTTTTCTTCACCACCGACGATAATACGGACGACAACAAGCCGGGGTTCTTGGTAGGGGCGTCCGTGAAGACGTGGATGATTCCGCGGTCACGACCTCGTTCCGATGCGGCCAGCAATCCTTCCAGGCACAGCTCGGGTGTATCGCCTCCGTCATATGCAGTCAGCCGGTTGATCGCTGCGATGAAGGCAGCCGATTGGGAATGGGAGAACACCTCGACTGGGCCGATGCCGGGATCATTGAAGGGGGATAGAACGAAGCCACCCGGAGCTGGGGCGTCAGAGCTTACGGCCATGTTAACGAGTTCGACGCATTTCTGGCGAACAGCGGCAATGGAAGGTCCCATGCTGCCGGTGGTGTCCACGGCTAAAATCAGGTCGGTTCCTTGGGCTCGCGTTGAGCGGTCCACCGCAGTGGCAACGTTATAGCCAACAGCTACAAACACCGCCAACCCTGGAAAGATGTCATAACATATTGCATACTGTACAAAACATAGTCATATAATGTAGCAAATGTTGTACAGAAGTATACAACACTCAGTTAACGAAAACTAGTTATTTTTATATGTAGCTTATTATATACGTATATATAAAAAGTACGGTGTTTGCGTATAACGTGGTAATTACATAGCCTTGCGTAACTGCGAACTTACCAAACAGTACTAAGCGCAAAGAGGCCATAGTTCTGGACGTAAACTGTATTAAAGGTCAGTAAAATGCCGACATTTGGTTTTTCTCACTACGCCAAATACGAAAAATACATGTTGTGTTCCTCGATCCGCTTTTTATTTGTTTCCTTTTCGTTTTAAGCAAATCTGCAATCATGGTTGTGATAACAAAGATGACAGGTTCGAGAAATATCTGACCGTCTTTTTTAACATGTCAATCAAGGCTAGATTATAGATGGGCGCACTTTTGCGCTTTGCATAAAGCGCATTGTTTGGAATCGTGCTTAAGTGCAGACGCATTTAAATTATTATCTATCGCAATGCGTGAGTCGTCTGACGGACTCAATTTATGCGCTAATTATCAAAATTAGTCATTCCCAGCCAAATTTTCTCAACAAAGGCATGAAAAAGATAAGGTGCGGCCGCAGATTACGCCATTTTAGTGTCACTTCCTGTTTTCTCAGCTGCACTTGAATCGACTTCTATAATCCTGGCTGTTGATTATGAGTTCGGCCAGGAGATTCAAAATTAAGTAGGAAAATGATAGATTCAAAATTAAGTAGGAAAATGATCGAAAAGCCTGTTGAAGATGGTTAACACTTTTATCCGGTCATTGCTTCAGCAAAGATTTTAAATTTTACTTCACTTAATTTTTGCAAATACTTGTTGTTTTGTATTGTGCCCTTTTGTGACTTTGATTTTGTTATACTCGGCATGGTACAGTTTTCTGTTTTTGTTGGTCGTATTTTTATAAATACTTCACACTAAAACAAGATACTATAAAGCATAAGCAACTTCTGCATCACCTGCAAGAGCTTTATTCTTTCCATTTCGCTTGCCGGTTGAATCTCTTATAAACAATTCAATAAATATGCAGTTTTCGTCTTGCTGGATTAAACAAACTATTCATTAATCTCTAAATATCAACAAAATGTTCGGTTTATAATAATATAAAGGGGTTTGCGAAATATCGTGTCGGCAACAATATCGATCCATATAAAGTGTAATAATATGCATACGTACGGTACGTAATTCCTGGAAGCGTAAATTCTATGTGGCTCACAGTTTTATTGATCGATTTTTGGCAACCGGAGTTCTCTCAGATCTTCCCAGTTTTAGCAAGCACGTGCACATAGCAATTTTTCTGGATCTTGCAGCCACATTTTTGTAAGATATTTTTGCTGTTATTTTTAATTGTTTTCTTTTGATATTTTGAATTTTCCGGTCACTACGATGTACTCTGTACCCTGCAATTTTTCTACACAAAAAACGCCCGCTTCACTCCCTGCTCGCATATCTAGCCAATGGATAGCGTAGTTATGGAAAGTCAGTAAATGCTTCGTTTTGCTTTTAATTAGACATATAAAAGGCAGATAAAATGCTGCCAGCGCACCGTGCATTCAATCTGAACCTGACTGAGAAAATATGGCGACGCACCATTCTTATTACCTACCTGGTTACCATGACGTCCATCTTAGCGGCGTTTCGTGTCAGTATCCTAGGCATCACTGCCAAGGGCTGCTTTGACGCTAATTATTATTACTCCTCTTTGGACCCTGATGTAAGCACTCTAGCTCGACCCTGCTTAGCGAGTAGAGTAGACAGAACTGTTGCTTTTTTTGTAGCGAAGCCGTCGCTATCGCACCTCCAAAGAGTCTAGTACGATTCTGTTAACCCTTCTCTGCTACTTTCCTGGCACCGTGTACTTGTGCATGTTTGTCAAACCGTTGATAGAATCTTGGCAGTTGCTATTCAGCATCCGTGCATTTCGTCAGCCTGGCAGCCTCATTGACCTGCGACGATGGACACTGTCCTCGGCGCACTGGCAGACGATTTGCGACAATCTGCGGGGCAGTCTTGAATTTGGGAAAGTGATGAAAATGCAGCTAATAACTGGAGTAGGCATATTCACTCCAGCTGGAGCAGGCTATATGCTGGAGTATTTTTCGCAGGAACCGTACCATTTTGATTCCCAACGGAGAATGCTGATACCGTTCTGTGTCATGGAGGCTCTGGTGGAATGCCTGGATCGTTATGTCAAAAAAGAAGTGGAACGTGCGGAACATCAGGTTCTTGCATCCTGGTGTGAAGCATGGGCGAGGCAAAAGGTCACGCTGACCTGTGTCGCAAATCATCAGGCCGCTTTTAGTCGGCAGCTTGCCTTGACAGTGGAAATCTTCCAAGAAAGCGCTGTATAAATAACATTTTGCAGTACCACTGGTGTATGTAATTCTACCATAGGTTTGAGATTAGTAATGAGCTACATGTTTTCTGCTCATTTTCTCGCACGCGCTTAAACTGTTGCATTTATTGTACTTTGCTCCGAATAATGGACGTTGCATAATCATATTTTACTGCATATGTTTTAGGGTGAGACTATAGGCACCCCTTTCACCCCCGTTTGCTATAGGCACCCCCTTTTGCACCCTGTTTTACTATAGGCACCCCTTTTCTATTACATAAATCTCGCACCCCGTTTTTTTCCGCGGGGCATAGGCACCTGTTTCCTGTTTTCCGTTTTTTCCCAGAAGCCTGACAAAAAAATTTTCTAACAGGTTTTTTAGTTCACAAGGATTTTTTGACAATCTGACATGGCTAAATCATTCATATAAAAATATGTCCTAGGCACTCCATTCGACAATGTGCCGGTTTGACTGATTTAATAACGATTTGGCTGCTTTGATAAATTTTCTTGCAGTGCTGAGGTTATGATGGTAATATTTGTGACCTTTTGTGGTATTGGACACCACGATGTAAATAAACGCCCCGGCATCTTTCTTACGGATTTCGTTTAGTACATGATTGACCATCCCCTCTTGTGTTCTTTCACCTCATTCCACTTTATCGTGCTTGCTCCTGTTTTGTTTCCGTGTGCGGCGGGGTGCAGGAATTAGTTAATCGAAAAGGGGTGCCTATAGCCTAAGTGGGTGCGAAAAGGGGTGCCTATAGATAACGGGGGTGTAAGGGGGTGCCTATAGCCATTTCCTATGTTTTATATGTACCAATAAGGCTGTCATTTGCGATCAACTTTAATTTTCTTGTACGAGTAAATTACATTTCCGAGACAGTCGTTGCGTGAACACGAGCAAGGTCTAGAAATTATGCATCAAACAGTCCATTTTCCATAATTTTACTTATTGCTTTCGTCTAAATCACTGCGTTAATATATCACATTTATGGAAGTCATTAGTTAGAATTGTCAGCCGTAAGTACCGAATCGGTATCTCTGTAGATCTATCGCATTCCCAAGTGCAGAGGGGCTACCAAGAACGCAGTACTCCATAAACAAGAAAATAATACAACGAGAAATGCAAGGGTTTTGGAAGCAAGAGGACGGATGCCGATGCTGGTAAATGGTTTCCATGATGTGTGGATTATCTTGGAAGCCGCCAACGGCCACAGATACGCATTCATTGTTATGAGCGGATGCTGCCTTTCGATCAGGTAATGGAGCCTTTCTGCTTCGATTACACAAAGATTCAGCTGAAAACACAATTCGTTACGTTACCCACATAGCATTTTCGTTACCCACATTTCTGCTACAATATCAGATTTTGTAAAACGAGAAAGCTGGCAAAAATAATAATTACTCCACATGACTTACGCTCTCGTCGCTTAGTTCATGCTCATCAGTGAGGTTTAGGCGTTTAACCATGATTGCAATATCGTTCTCCATTGTGTAGTAACCCAGAACTTCGCAGTTGCTCGATTGGATCAGTTTCTGCAGTTCGCCCATAATTCGGCGAGTGGTTAACGGAACGTGACCTTTTTCGGTCAACCGTTTAACTCGTCTTGGTGAAAACAGGACGCGAAGGCCACCCGCTAAAATTGGTAAACGCACTTAAGGATTAAATTTAAAGGCGAATTAAAAGTAGTTGTTGAACTCTTTACCGCAGATAGGGCAACAGGCATCCGGTGGAACCAGTCCAGTACAATTTGCCCGCACCGGTTTGGGGCAGCGATTATAAACCACTTCACATGTATTGACGAATCCGCGTTCTACATAACACTTATCTATACACCAGGTTTTGTGGAATAATTTCTTGTACATACCGATGCGCCCGCCCACGGTGGAGCAAGTGCCGGGATAATCCACGCCCACTCGGACAGCTAGCGCAGAACATTCCGAAGGGAAGGTTTCTGAATTATGACCGCACACGCTACCGGTTGTTTTGCAATGCTGCAAACAGCGTCCCAGATAGGCAAAATGCCGGCCTTCCAGTAATAGAGAACACAGGTTAAAGTGCTCATGTCCATCGGTATCGCAGGCGATTTCCGTTGGCTGTTCGCTGCAGTTGCTTTTGATGTCCACTAAAGACCATACAATTTTTAAATGGTTAACCATACTTCACCATAATAACATTCATAAGGACAGTAAAACTGAGAAGAATCTGCAACTTGGAAGTACTCTTTAACCTTCTGTTGGTTGATTGCAGGATTATTAAATCTAAAGCAAAGCCATACAGATTGTTTGTACACAGTAAACATACCGCAGACATGTTGGTGACACGATATGTGATGCTGTAAGCAGACTTCCGGCTGTTCGATGCACCACTTATCCGGTCCGCAGTCGGTCTTGGGACATGCATGATTGAGTGCACAATATCCCCCGATGAAGTCATACTCACTCAGGCCGGAGCAGCGTGCCGAGCATTCGGTTGGGTAGGTTTTCCCGTTGGAGCCGCACACCCGGTTGAAGTTAATGGGACAACTGCATGGAAGACCGGTTAAGCTGTTGCGCTCTTCGTCGCGCTGTGACTCGGTAATGCAATATCCGGCGGTGCAGACCGTCTCGCCGAAGATGCAGATACAACGGCTGCAGGCTTTTTGAAATTTCGTGCCGTGCTCTGTTCAAGCGAAACAGCACAAGGAATTACAGTTATGACAAAAAAATTTGGCATTTCAGAAACATTCGATAAAAAAATAAAAAGCTATGATTGTGCAACAAATTTTAATATTGACGCACCGTAATATGCCGCTCCAATATGGCAGCCAACGACCTTTTCACAATCCGGCAGATCAACGCAGTGGCCTAGTGAGCCATCTTCCATACATGTGCATACAGTGTAACACACTTCGCCGATGTCGTTCAAGTTGGGCGTTATGAATATATCGTCCTCGGCGATAACGTACGAAAATCCGGAAGACGATACTACACATCCTTTGCGGCACGTAAATAACGTGTCATCCACTCTTTCGTTGTAGCGCCGAATGTCACAACGCATTGCCGGTGAACACGGGTTTGGATTGCAAGGAGTTTCTGGAATGGCATCAACTGAAATAAACTGTGGTGCTTTTGGACTGTTTTCTGGGATTTCGATGTTAAGGCAAAAAGGTGCCGGGTTTTGGAGGCGGTCTTCGATGGGCAAGAAGTGGTTGCATACGGCTTCGGCCGTGGTCTCCCATTGCGGATCGATGCACGATTGAACCAGTTCTTTGCACTTTGAACTAAAAAGTCAAAGGTCACAAGCCTTTCTTAACCACACTCACAAAAAATGCGAAAACAAAATCTTTAAATAAATGAATGAACTAATGCAAATGCGTTCTAATTGCTTTTTAACACGGTTTGAAGTGTTGGTTTGAAATAAAGAACGGAATACAAATGCATAGTAAAATCAAATAGATACAAAGTTTTTTATAAGCCAAAGGCCAAATTAGAAAGACAAAGGGCACAAGTATTTTTTGTTAGAGTTAACAAAGAATATGAAAAAAAATTACTGCACAACTAGAATGCTAATACGAATACACAGTGAAAGCAAACTACTGCGTACAAATATGTTATAAAGTTCACAGTTTATGAAATGTGATGAGTGGAATTTTTAGTACACTTACAAGCATAAAGGAAGACCCCAGATCCGCGTGTTACACGGTTTTATATGGATGGCGCACAAAAGGCCGCGCCAGATCTTCCCGCACCGCCTATCGAATTTTATTTTGATAGTACTGTTGTTTAGACGAATATGTCCGTCCCGCTTCCAAACATCCGCGGTGAACTGCGCTTCGCGGTCACTGAGACCGTTACACGAGCGAAAAGACAATGTAGGCCGATCGTTAAAATACGAGCAGTAATTCAGATTTGAGCAACCCATTTGGCAAGGCACAGTAACTAAATGGAGATAAAAAATTCATAACTGAGCATTTCCCTAAATGTTTGATAGCACAACCATATGATCTTATAATTTTATTCAGCGAAATATTTATTTGTTGCAATTACCATCACGCAAACAAGTCCGCAGTGCTACTTCCACACTGTCGTCCTTGCATCGCATCATAAACCAGTCGATATTATCCAGGGAACCGCTAGGTCCATAAGCCTGCCGATAATGGGGAATCCCGTTAAATCACGTAAGACAATCTGATTATACGCAAACAACATTCCAGATTGGCCAGCTAACCTGAAAACACGCTCGCCGGCACTGGAAACCAACAGCACTCAGACAACACTGCAGTTTCATGGCTTCCGGCGGTGGTGGCCGGTGCGGCACGATAAAGGTGACACTTTTGCTGATATCCAGCATCTCCATCAGGCATGTCCAGAAGGATTCTTCCGGATCGGGGCGACCACATCCCCCGCTGACTAAATTCTCGATTGCATCGATACCGGCTTCAAAATTTCTTGCGACTCTCTGGCACGTTATAAGGCATTGCGAATTCGTGGAGGCATTACAACATGGAGCACCTGTATTTGAAAATACTAATATAATAGCTGTTTTACACGCAAAACGAGCATTGAAGCGTACAGTCAAGATGGACGAAAGGCGCTTTCCCCAGATTCCACGCACAGTGCACGGTTTCCAGGGATGTTGAGCATTCTGAGTGGAGAAGTAAAAGGTCACTGTAGGTAAACTGCGGCGGCTCTTTGGCCACTGGCAGGATTGTGGAGCAAAATTTGCGGCAAGTAGCAGCTTTTCTTCCTCCCGCGCTGTTACAGCACCGCAATGCGTCTGTAACCAAATATTCCTTGTATTTTGTAGTAAGCAATTTAAAATTCAAATACCGCACCTTTCCTCAGGCGGATGCATTCGTAGAGAGGCGTCTCTTTATTAATAAAACAAATATGTTCCAGTTCGTGAAGCGATTGAGCCTGCGAAAGGTCACCTTTTCGTCCATGATTTAAAGCTGGATCGAACGATTTATGAACGTAACAAGTACTTCAGTTTTTTGCATTGTAACTTATGAAGAAAGATTAAGCGTAATTTGGAAAAAATGAATTGATCATCAAAAGCTCTCTTGTGCGGGAAAATAGAGGCTTACATATACGCACGCCACTCGGCATCGAGGATCTTTGGCAAACGTACAACATTCCCGGCCACTCCAGCTTTGTCCACGCTGTAATTCTGTTGAAAAACGTCGAAAAATACAGACAAGCGTTAGACCAATCAGCGGGCCATTAAGCGAGCGCCGGTCCCAGTCGATAGTAGTTAAAGGGATGATTTTTGAGTGTTTTCCGATTACCTCTTGTGGTGTTGTTAAAACAAGTCATAAAATGATCCTGCAATCAGAGACCGTTTCATTCACTGCCACACGAATCGCAAAAAGGCAACGCTTGATGTGGATCGATGCTATTTGTTATTGTGGTTAATGTCCGGAAAGACGACGATTAACCATCGTCTAGACCCGGAGATTTCCATATTCCGTATATATACAGTCGGATCGTGGAAATTGAAAATCAATATATATGCGCTTGGACCACTAATGCCGATATCAGTAAAACCGGCAACTCTTTGATTGAGGGAAATTTGATTAAATTACATTTTATACCGTATATGTGTATTATGAGGTTATGTCATTTTTTTTTCAAATTAGATGATTGCGGGAAGAGGACTGTGACAGAATGGGATTAGCATGCGTAATCGCTGATATGTATATAGGGAGAAAGCGTACCACGTAGCGCTCCGTCCGACAATGGTGCTCCAGATGAGCCGTAAATAGTTTATGGCGCTGCGGTTTAGTGGCCAAATCCAATAATGTGATCTACGAGAGAAAATGTTTTCTTAACCAAAAATTGCGGGTTTCGACGTATAAATTACTGTTGCTATGCTGTAGTTATCAAAACGTAAATACATAAACTCTTTAGAAACCCTTTATCCAAACATTAAATTAGATACCGCATCGTATATGATATAATGTATACAAATTATATACCGTATCTGCCATTTATTTTAATTATACCAAATAAATTTGTACATTAATTTCGATAAACAAGCGGTCAACATTTCCGAATAAAACTTTGCTGTTATCGTTAGCATTAACAATTTGCTTTGACACAGTTTTGCTGATTAACTGAACGCTTAATTGTCTTCGTAAATATATGATGTAGAATAAAAAAACACATGTTTCTGCTTTCATCATAATTCTGTTGTAGATGAAACGTCCATTGGAAAAAAGTTTTTTTTAGTTATACCTGATGACAAGCGGAACGACAAACGTCATTCACCGCTTCACAACAAGGCAAATCTGCAACCAAAAAAATCCCGAGTCAACACTTGCACAATGCCCCGACATAACGTCAACATGATAGAGTGGAGGAAGCAGCGAAATGTAATCTAAACAGTTTCTTACAATTCCTACAGACAGCGATTTTCAATTGCATTTTGTTCGCCTGACTACACGGCACAATTGGCAGAGGAAACGCGGTTTGTGCGGCTGCACCGAAACCGGCGACACAAACGCCGGCGCACTGTATATACATGCAATGCCAACATTTGTTCTTTGTGGCTTTTTCTCTTTTTTCCTGTAGTCAATCCACTCACGGATCCCAATCGATATGTGGGACTATTTATCAAGACCCGCGATATATATATGCCATCGCCATGGCGTCTCCCAAGACGCTTATGCCACTTGAGCCGTGTCGATGGCTGTAGCATGCAAATCATAATATTTATATGTTTTTCTTCGGACCGGGCGAAATTATACAGTTTGATCCCGAGTATGTCCTTGAACGTTTGCACCCAGTGCCAGATAATCGCTAAGCTTTTATGATATCAACGTCAGATGCAACTGTCAGAACTGTCAGAGAAATGTGATGCCGTGATTAGCTGCGAGTATCCGTTCCGGGGGCGCCTGTCGGATACGACTCTGTTTTTTCCTTGGGATGGGCGTAATTGCGTTAACTGCTTAACGCAAGAAAAAACGCAAACAATCAATTATTTCTTTTCTTGGCTTTTTCGCGTTTGAAATTACTGTTGAACCAAAATTTAGATGCCTTGTTTTAAAGCATTTTAAGGTTACAGGTACTTAATTTTTTTAAAACACGTTGTAGCACGAACATTTGCCAATCCATGTGTCCAGTCAAAACAAGACATTACTATGCATACCGCGAGGCAGTAAAATTAATATAATCGTCTTCGTCGACAAGCGGTATTGCAGTACTTTACACCAAATGAACTTTTTTCTGCTTTTCGCATTGCTGTCAGACTGATGGATTTGGCAAACATATACATATAAATCAATTACAAGATGGCTGATTTTGCTTTAAGTAGCTATGCTTCATGTATAAAAGATACTGATCAACGAATATATATACGTATCTGCTATTACATATCTGCAAATTACAGCTAAATTAATAGGAAGCAGCGCAAATAGTTAAAAAGAGTTTACACTCACGCAATCCATCAGCCGACCGGCAATAAGGAATCAAACCAACCAGCACAACAAAGGTGAAAAGCACCGCTGCGGGATGACACATTACATGTGCGTTCTGTCCAGTTTACGGGAATGTTGTCCACTGTTCGCTATCACAAAACTCCAAATACTACGTTGGCATATCCACAACATGATCGTAAAGATACTGTAGTTGCGCACGGTCATGTACCGACCTTATCTTTATACAGTATGAACAAATCCTCGTCCTAATCGCATAAGTGGGATGCATTGTCCCGTCTAACCAACGCAATCAAGTCGCCATTACCAGCACATTTCCCGATTAAGGCTCACACGCCAATAAAATGAATAAATTAGCCCCAACCGGCAATCGCAAATCCGTGGATGCGCGCGCGCCGCATCTGTTGTATGTGAAATTGGCTTTTGACGTTTAACGCCGGCCAGTGTTGTGGCTATGTACCCGCCATACAAGCCGGCATCATGATGATGGTGATGAGTTTTTTCGCTTGACAGAAATTGGCCGTAGGGAGAAAATGGGAAGAAGTGCTGCAGCAGACGCGTCCGTACTGTGTATACGCCGGTTTTGGTATTATTTGTTGCATAAGACCGGCGTCGACTAAGATTAGTTTTGATCGATCCGTATATGTATGTGTTTGTACGCGTGCGTACATATGTACAGAGGAGAAAATCCTGGACGCTATCACTTTGGTACACGGACGGTTTGTTTGATTAAGATGGTTGTTATTGCAATTGGTGTCTTCTGAGAAAACGCTTTTTTAGGGTAACGTGCCAGTAATTCCAATTTACACGTTGCTTGTGGATACTCAAAGTTCTTTAACAGAGTCGTGTTTTGAGACTTTCTTCTCGGTTCATGTGGCACGTGTTTACACTAGAGCGTCGCATTGTTGGGGCTTCAAATTTAATTTGTATTTCCATGTTTGCTGAAGGCAGAGTTGATGGAAATCTGATTAAAAGCTTAAAAAAGTTATTATTTTATTTGGATGTTGTTTTATTCTTTTTCTTTAGTTGTAATAAAAAGCCCAGAAAACTAAGGAAATAATCGTTTGATAACCGCAAAACATGGAAATAAATGCACACAAACATAATTATTATTCCGACGTAAATAAAAGGCATTTTTATCATAATTGTTTGTTGATTATTAAATTGGCAAATACCGGTATAGCGCATTAATTCGTCCCGTAAACCATTATTACTTTTGTTCTAAAACATTAGGACGAAATAAACGCTATTGGCTTTTTTACAAAATTCTGTCACTTCTTTGTACAAAGTACAGTTATAAGACAAAAAAGATATCAGCGACAAAAATATTGTATTGTATGCGTTGAGTGTTTGTACTTTAGCAACAGGTAACAGCAAGCATTCGGCTTTCATAACCCGGAGCAATTTCGACCATGTCGAAGTTTGTACATGCTGGAGAAAGCCCAGTGGCATAAATAATTTCAGCATAGTGAAATACCATTTTTATACTAGATCGATCTCACTAAAACATTAATATCGTAAAGTGGTAAACCCTGCTTGTGTACAGATAGTTCGCCGTTGACTGTTAAAGAGCAGCAATATTTGGAGCAAGTCCCTAAGTGGCCCGGGATAATCGCCCTAATCCTTAAGATGTCAGATATACGATCCGATAGGTCGACCAATGTAGATGATAGTCATGAGTACTCCAGTCAATCCATGGTAGAATCCCATGTTGGTACGGAATGGTAACAGGATGCTGTATAACTAATGCGTTTTTTTGCAATTATTTGAATTTTTGAAGTTGTTTCTATACGTTAAAAAAATCAAAATCACCTATAATTATTGCTGCAGGTATTTGGATGTAAATAATATTTACTAATCTAAAGCCCAATCTAACTAAAATTATGTAGAACTATGAAATACAAACCTTTTCGGCAATTCTTGTCACCAAAGTTCCGAACCTTTGTGATTAGTTCACTTAAATACAAACCGTACGTGAGCGTTGTACAGTATTTATGGTTATTTTAAGATTGCGCATCTTCATGATTGTGTTCAGCGCTGCATGTAGTGGTGTAAACATATGTAAACTTATGGAAATCAACAAAAGTTTTATATGCAGATGTGGATGTAAATATTAAATTGATATAGTGCCAATGTTTATTCCATTTAGAAACTATTTTGCTTTTTAACAACGCTTTGTGTCAATTTCTCACTCGCGTATCTGTTCATCAGGTCGCAAATCGTATTAAATCATCCTCTCCATATATATCTTTCTCAGTATATAAATAGTATTTTTTGCACAATCCTGGAACACCAACTGTAGTGCATTGTGCTACACGTATGTATGTACAATATTTTTTAACATTTACTGACGCACACGTTGCAGATCCCATCAATGTGGATTACGACTATCTCCAGCAGCACAGCCCTTGGATACTGGATTCTCTGGGGGATCCCCAGGGTGAAAAACGCAGAGGATCATCAGTAACCGTGGTCATCTGCAAAGTGTGTAATTCTAAAATCCCGCTGGTTGGCTATGATTTGGAAGAGCACTACATTGTCAAATGCAGCCAGTGCAAGGAAGCCACAGTAAGTCACTAAATACGAGTAGTTAGTAAGCTAAAACTATTTGTGATCGATTCAATCACAAATAGTTTTAGCTTACTAACTAGTAAACTAAACTTACTAACTAGTAAACTAGTGAACGGCTCGTCAAGGTCACTGTTCAGTCTGTGTGTGCAAAACAAACTGTGATTCCTAATGACTGCATTGCAAAGTGTCACTGTAAAGCTAAAAATTTTATGTTGAATCGTACAAATATTTTATTCGGATTTATAAAGCAATCAGCGCAATTGTATGTGCTCTCTTAGTATATTAATTCAATGGTATGAAATCCATACTGCGCACAACATAACATTCCGGTCACCGGAAATGGAAAAAACTATACGTTTTTATGTATACAGGATGAGTAGGTGGAAGTTTTCAAAACAGTTGATATAAATTAAGACTCGATCTGTTGCCAACTGGGCAGGACCGTATGCAATAATACGAGGTGATACTGTAATTAAGGTATTTGTTGGCGCCATCTCTTAACAACCACAAGTGTCAAGTTCAAAGCGATAATGGTGTTTAATGACCGGATAACGTTGCAGCCTATTCGCCCTGCTCCACCCGGTGAACGTTACATTAGATGCGTGTGTAACTGCCTGTTGATCTGCCGGGATGTCGCTACGAAAGTTGCCTGTCCTCGTCTAAACTGGTACAAATTCTAATACTGTAGATCTGCTAAGCAAAATTAAATCTTACAGTCATATACTACGGTACAATGTTGAAAAAATTTGCGCAGGTTTTGATTCAAAATGTACGTCAAATACGTATATAAAAAATATTATTAAAATTGTTGTTATGTAAAATTTTGTGGAGTCGAGCATTAAGCACTTTGCAAAATTGCATGCAGACCTTTCGCACAACAAACTAAAGTACTGTATGTTACTTCACTTACTTGCAATATTTTTACATTTTCTGTACTTTTCATAGTCAGCGAATTATTACTGTGCGTTCCGGTGCCGCCAACGAAACGACCACCGCCACCGCGCCACCGGCCGGCACCTGCCGCATTACCTGCGTGCACTGCCAGCAGCCGTTTATTTTCAACAGCCGCAGCAAATCCTTGACCAAATGCCCCTACTGCTACCGGATTTCAGCGATCAAAAGTGACTACACCACGAAAGAGATGCGCTACGCTTTCGCGATGGCTGTTTGCTACACTTTAGTAACTTTAATTATTATTATTGTTAATGCGGTTTTGAACGAGCGCTTTGAGGGAGAACCAGCACTGTACATTATTCTCTTGGGGCTGTGCGGTATTTTATGGATTCGACCGGTGGTGGCGTACCGGCTCAAGGGAAGCCAAATCGACCACGAAATGTAACGGATATTTTTCCATGAATAAAATAATATTACTATTTAATTAGAAATTTTTGCTGTGGTATTAATCAGTGGCACGTGACCAGTTAACACAAATACGCATAGTGCGTGTTGTAAATAATAGTGATGCGGCTGAAACCGGTTCAAGAGCCGATATAGACGATGATTAAGCGAAGGTGCGCGTAAATACAGCTAAATACCGGCTGCAGTGTTTCCGGTGCGTGGTTTGTCTAATATGTTCCGCATCGTTGGCAGTTTTCTGGTAGCCGAATGACTGGAGGCGCATTGTGCATTTATAACTACCGGTGCAGTATACTATTAGGACTAGCTGCACACATTGGCGCTTTTCGCACGGTATTTACTATTGTGTGACATAACGCAGCGCAATCAATAAGCGCGGTTGGGGAACGGTATTACACCGCTGGATGAACAGTCGGGAGATGTGCAGATTTTATTTCTTCGTCTACTGAAGGTGTACAGACATCGGGAATCTCATAGTGTGCCCGGTACATCCGAGCATGCGCTACGGAAATGAAAACAGGCAGCTCCGGCTGCAACTGTAAAGAGTTCTGTTCGAAGGAATTTCAACTAAAGAATTTCTTCTTCCCGATTACTCAGCGAAAACGGTTTATTTATCCACAGGTGAGTGGCAGTTTTTATTGCAGTATGGTTCTATTAGCGCGTTGAATTTTCATAAGCAGTACTTGCAGTGGAGCGGGATACCGTTAACATTATGGCAGACATGGAAAGTGATATTGGCCTGTTATTTTATCGCCTGGTTGGTGATCAGTATTGACCGGCAGAAGAAGGACAATCCCGTCGCTCCAGGATGGAAGTGGCTGATTTTTCTAACGCACTGGACCTACGTCGCTTTTATCAGCTATCTTATCTTGAGTGCCGTAAATGTGTGTCTCAACACCCTCTGCCACAGCCACAAGCGCAGTATGTATTGTTATTAAAAATTCCTATAAATTATTTCTACTTTATTATTATTAGTTTTTTTACAGACGCATTTACAACTAAATGCTATTAATTTTATACAAGTATGTCAGTTATCGACCGAATACCTTTAGCAATATAGTAAGGTACTCCTAAATGATGGTCCTAAAGAAATCGATATGTTGACATTCCAGTAGAATAGCGTCGGCCTTTATAGCGTACTCGTAGGACTTTTGACTGCAGATGCATTAATGTTGAACTTCCGGTTGCATCATTTAAAGTAATCAAAGCCGTGCCTTTTTGGCGAAAAAGCTGTTCGAAGATGAAATTATTTGTACGTACTAGGCAAAAAGTAACTGCATGTACGTAGCTGTATTAGGTATATGTTTATCAAACTGCGATATTTTCAAACCGATCAAATTCTATAACAAATAGTTTTGTATACTACAGAGTGGAGTAGTACCTGGATGAGTTCGCCATTGGGCCATGGTAGGGTATTTTTTTCCATGAATACAGGACGGTAGTACATGAAGTAATACTAGTAACGTCGTATTGCACCGATCGTTGTGTGACGCACGTGTAAAGCAGTACCCTAATTTGAGGAGCAGATTTGTGCAAATTTAGTTAATTAATATTTTGTTAATCTATATAAGTGTGTAATGAGTATTTGGTATTTCTCACAGCCAGCATTAGCACGTACGACGGGATGCATGATGATCTGTATATACGAACAGTGAATCCGTAGTCTAATGTGCCGATAAAATTATAATTTATAAGAATTAATTTTAATGACAAATTACCGCGTGTTCAATTAATTTTTTATTGCCAGCAACCGTTCTGGGAGTGTGGAGTCTGAAACTGCAGTGGTTCCTGTGGAATATCGCCGCACCGGCCACCATCTCCGTGGTCATCCTCTACTGGTCCCTGCTGTACCCCAACACGCCCCACAACCACGGTCCTTCCGCCACGAATTGCCACGTCCATTTGGTCAACGGCATCATGATCCTGTTCGATCAGGCGCTGCACGCCATGCCCATGCACTGGCTGCACATCTACCAGCCGATGCTGTACGGGGCCACCTACGCGACCTTTACCGGCATCTACTATGAAGCCAACGGGACCGACCTGACCAATCGGCCGGCCATCTACGTGTTCCTCAACTACAGTACCCACCGGAAGTTGGCGCTGGGAGCGGATTTTGCCGCCATTCTCGTGGTAATCCCCATTGTATGGACGGTGTTGTGGGCGCTGCATTTGCTGCGGGATCTCATCTGGCGCACATGTGATCCGTATGCGACCGACAAGTTGCCGGTGGAGCCGGTCAGGGCGGAGGAGAAGCGCGAGGAAGAGGCGAAAGAGATGAAGGTGTTTGCGTTGAGTTATAAGCCGCGCAGTAATTCGGTTAGTGTCGGTGTGTAACCCGGCATATTAAGGGAAGTGGCCCGGTACATGGTACCAAATTCGTGTACATGCACGAAATCTTTCACTTTCGCGCACTCCCAAACCCTTTTTTCTCTTGATTTATGACAATCTGTAGTCAAATGATTCGTATACACAGGCCTGAAAACCGTTTGCGCGCGCAACATCCGGTTCGCGAGTTATGGCTGTTAGAAAATTCAAAAGTTTAAATGCATTCAGGTGTACCAAAGTCTCATTATGGACCGATCTCTTTCAGATTTTGCACGTAAATGCACATAACCACGAAGAACGTTTTACACCGATCCACTGTTCTAGCATGTTTTTCAAATTTTAAAATGAATTTCAAAAATTTTAAAATTCATTTTAAAATTTGAAAAAAATTGTGGAAGTCTGGATCGGTGTAAAACGATCTTCTTATATGTGCATTTACATGCAAAATTTGAAGGAGATCGGTCCATAATGAACTTTAAGTACACTAAAGCATTAAACTATTGGGAACTGCATACTCCCGAACCGGATGTTGCGCTAATTTTCAAATGTATAAATCATTTGACTACAGAATGTCATAAAACTGGAGAAAAACGGTTTAGTGCTGAATTTCGTGCATGCATAATGTACCATGTACCGACCACTTCTTAACCTAAAGAACTGATTACTGTACTTTTTATACCAGTTCTCCACTACCCTAGAACTCCCCTCAAATGCTAAGAACGTCGCATTTCGAAGAAGGTTTATTTTTGGTTCACAAAGGCAGTATTTGTTCACAGTCTGTTAGAATGTCGAATAAATTCCATTTCTCATACTTTGCGACTGTGCGCAACGTTATGGACGTTCTTTATCTTAAAGAAACTCAAAGGATTCCTTTCACTTACAGAGAATTAAAATTCGAACTTCAGTTGACTGGTTCCTCGCCAAAATCGCACTTTAACTTAAAAGTCTCTTTAACAGTGAGCAGCGGAAGGTACTTTACTACTTATTACTTAAATCTGTACATTGAATCTTCACCCGCTTTAACCGCTGACTTGTACAAATGTGTACAGATAATGGCAGCTGTACTGCGGCGAATTCGTTCATGAATGCGTTCATGAATGCGTATTGGACACGGTCCGCTAGCGGTACAGCAAAACCAAAACAATTAATTAAAAACACCAGTACCAACGGAAACCAAAGCGTAGTTTTGCTGTTACTTGTAAGTAGCTTCTAACTACCGCCACGTACTGCGCACTTAAATATCGAGTATTCTGAAGGCGCAAAATGCATATTCTAAAAAAAGAATATAAAAAATTCTACCCACAAACAGGCTAAGCATGAACAGTTACACTTACTAATCAGCCCACAAAAATTATAAAATTTGTGTCCACGAAAAAACCTGGGCAGCTGAAATACAGCACACGCGCACGAAAGTGCACGTAAAAAAATATTAATTTTTCCTTAAAAGAAAATAAACAGATAATAACACTGGTAATGTGGTGGTCAATGTCATGAATTTGCAGCAAGTCATTTAGAATGCCCACTCTTTTTGGCTCGACTGCGTTTTTTCCCAGCTGATGTTCCTTGCTGGCGGACCATTGCCTTTGTCTTTGGCTTGTTTTTAGGCGCATGCACGTCCACCAGGACGATAACGTCTCGCGACAATGCCTTGTCTTTCTCCGCCGCCCCACGCAGCAATCCAGGGCTACGGCAAGTATCACCGGGCTTTTTGACGACAGGCCCACGGGTTTCGCCAGCGTTAGGACGGAATGCGGCAGGTCGGCCTCGTTCTCGTTGACCACGTCCAAGTGGGCGCGGACGACGAATCACAGGAACGCGCCTCTTCCTTACTGTACATCCGTGTACCAGAAATATAATAAATCCAACTCCAGGGAAAGCGGCTGCTCCACAGAAGTATTTTCCCGTGTACTCCCATCCAGGCGTAAATAATGCGCAAACACCGATCGCCAAAAAACCCACCAAAAACCCGCAACAAACTCCACTCAGACAATATGACTCCTTCTTCGGTATAGTCAATCGACAAGGACTCTGGAGAAGATCATCCTTCAAGCGAAACATTTTGTTGCTTATTTAATACTGGATACTATTAGCCCCGTTTAAAAAATTTAATGCAAATGTGTAAAGAATTTTAGTACATCTGTTGCATACTGACTAGAACAGAATACTCATCAACATGCAAACTACTGATTAATTGTGTGATTTCGGTTTGCTTTTGGCGTGGATGCAGTACTCGTCAGCAAAGGTCATTGCGCAATGGCTGCACCATCTGTGGTACACGATGGCACTTTTGATTGGTACGAGTATTTGTATCGGGTGATTTCGTAAACCCGCTTACATGATTACCGATGTTCGTGTGATAATAAATATTAGGCACCGACTGTACAAATGCGACTATCTTGAATTAGGTATTCTTTTAAATGCACCATTCCTCTACAGACTGTACTTCAATATCTGGTTCCTCGATACTTCAATATCTGGCAGTAGGGAATTACAAAGAGAACTATTGGTAAGTTCGAAAAAATTAAGAAACGGAAGCTCTTAAATTGTAAGCCGGCCCTTCTGCCCCTATTGGCGTAAAAAATTATGAACGAGCGATTTCAGAACTAAATGTTCTGGAATTGCTGGCTATATATGAAAGATTTCGTACCAAAGAAAAAAACTGGAAGTTGTTTTTTCTTCTTGTAGTCACTGTAGCTAGTCATCTGTAGGCGACCTATAGATACCATGTAGACACTGTCAAGTTTTTTTGTTCCCGACCGGTGTCACCGCTGTAGACACCTGTAGACATCTGTAGACCCACGGTAGTCACTGCAGTGACATCCTGTAGATCCTGTCGGCACAGATAGTAGACATGTCTACATAGTGTCACGCCGATGACTACGGGCTGTCAACGAGTGTCTACGCATGTATACAGGCAGACCATCCAGCTGAACCAAAGGATACAACCTGTAGACATCATTGTAGACACCCTGTATACGTGCTAAAAAAAACCTAAGAAACCTCAGAAACCAGGTGACTACCGGTAGGACTCCATGGTGTCTACAGCCTGTATACAGATGTCTACCGTGACTATAGGAATGAAAAGAACGACACAGTTTTTTCCTTTGGTACGAAACGCTCTACAGGTGTATATCAGGTGACTACTTTAGTATCCTTTGCCCAGTATTTAGAAGGCTCCAGTTTTTGCAGTAAGACAGTAAATCGATTTATCATTCCGAAATGCCACCGTCTTCTATTTTCGCATACACTGGGGATGAAGCATGACTGTTGACTGTTGTTACCTTGAAATCTAGAAGCTAGCTCTTTTTGTGCGCTTGCAAAGTTGATTCTAGAAAAACAGTCGTGTATATATGTATCTGTATGTAAACACATTTGAAATTATAAATATTATTATCACACAGTAGCGGGTAAGGATTACGACTTTTACTTCGATTCAACTTTAAAAAACTCCTACGAACTACGAAATTACGAAGCTATGAAAGAACTACGAATTACGCCAACAGTGGCCTTAAACAGTTTGCAATAAAAGTACAATAAACGTGAAGGATTTCTCTGGCAGGGAGAAATCTGCTTATTATTGACAACCGGATCGTGACCTAACAGTTTCAGTATTCCGGATACGGGTCACCATATAAGCAACAGCGGCAATCGGCGGAGCCTTCACTTCAACGCATTTTTTATTTTTTGAAATTTTATAAATTTTGATTTCGAATCAGCAGACGTTTGATTAGTTAGCATACTTCACCTCTATCCGTATAATTGGCAGTTCTCAGATTGCACCCCTACTCAGCAGTCTAGCATTATGGAGTCACGCGATACCCTTTTTAAGAATTATACGGTGGAGGGACTAAAATCACGTTTGAAGGAACTGGGCATACTTGACCTTAACGGAGAAAAGGATGCGCTTGCAGACAGACTCCATGCAGTCTTGACAGAAAGGCAGGAGTTTGAGAAGAGCAACGAAGCTACCAGTGGGCAGAAGAGTGTCACCGATCAGTTTACGGTGTTTATGGCAGAGCTCGAAATCTCCCAAGCCGGCTCAGAAGCACTCCGGGCAAACGGCTTCCAGTCACCGGCAGACTTTCGGCACATGAAGGAGGTATCTGACTTGGAAAAGGTCATGAAACCCGGATTGGATTTCTACAAACTCCGCAATGCCCTATTCCCGCAGCCGGCAACCACGAATGACGCACGCGCAATCATTCAGCGGAAGCAGTTGGAGCAGCACAAGATCCGTTTCCTCGACACTCAGCAGCCTTTGGATCCTCGCGACGGCCAGCAGGACTGGGATAACCGGGACGGACAGAGGGACGCACCGGCAAGGGGCGGAAGGTCGCTGCGAGGCTCGGACCGGAACGATTCGGGTGAGTACAGCAGTAGTGATTCGAGCGATGACGAGGATAAGGATTCAGCACGTCGCGAGTTGCCAATAAGAGCGAGAGACCTTGATAGACCGCATACATTTATTTTGCCAAAGGGTTTATTTAAGAAAAAGAAAAATTTGGTAGCGACGGATATAAATTGTCACGAGCTATTTCTGGGTAATTTGAGAACGGCAGTACGTTTGGCGAAGTATGTATCAGGGCGGTATGCAGCAACATTGGTCGAATTCTTAGAGTATCAAGAATTTCTCGCAGGAAGACGATGCAGATACGAAGATGAGGCAGTATTGTTATTCGACGACGAGTTCCGACGATATGCAGATAGTGATCATTTTTCGCTAAATGACAAGCAGCAGCAGTTATGCATTGCAGACAACCGCATGAATTCCGAAACACGCCGCACAGATACACGTCGAGCGGAACCATACCGGAACAGCAGAGGGCTTCAGCAGCAGAAGCAGAAGAGCAGTAATTCAGGGAGGCAGCCATTTCGGATCACCAATGTGTGTTTCGACTACAACTACACTACCTGCCGGCGTGAAAACTGCGGATACCGGCACATATGCGGAGAATGCGGAAAGAAGCATCCCTTCTCCAAGTGCATCAACGTGGGACAGGGATAGCAGAACGGGCAGTAAAGGGAAGACGGAGGAACGCAGCATTACTAACGGAAGTTTTTCCATTTTAAACGTTTCTACTAATGTTCCCTCAGATTCTTTCGATAACGCAGCTATGAGAAGTAGTTTTACCAATGCTTTCCTTGTTTGTGATCCTGATTTATTAAGCAGATGCAATTTAACTAAACATTTCGATGCCTGGCAGAATATGTTGGTTAATGACCCTGATTGTGAGTTTATTTTAACCGGAATTGCGTACGGGTTTCGCATTGTTGAGAACGCGGATGTTATAGATCCTGTTGATTGTGTGAATTATAGAAGTGCAAATGAACCAGCAGCAAAGTGTTATCTCGATAAATTGTTCGCAGAAGAAATTTCACTCGGCAGAATCACACAGCAGACAGAAAAACCAAAACGTATTCACGCTATCGGCGCAGTTTCGAAGTCCGGGTCAGATGCCTTTAGACCCATAACTGATTGTTCACGACCAGCAGGCAATTCGCTAAATCAGCACATCAACCCGGAACCTTTTAAATTTGACACAATTGATTCAGTTCTCGCAATTAGCAAAAGGGGATCATATTTTGCAGTTGTGGATATACAGTCGGCTTATCGGTGGGTACCAGTATATCCACCGCACCGGCAGTTGCAGGGGTTTCGTTGGCAATTTAAGGACAGCAAGGAGCAGTTTTTTGTGGATAACTTTTTATGCTTCGGGCTTGCAAATGCTCCTTATATTTTTCAGACGATATCGGCAGCAATTACACGGGCAATGCGCAGAAGGGGTTTTAAAATCGTATGCTACCTTGACGATTTTATCCTTATCGCAGAAAGCGAAGAGGAATGCAGAATAGCCCAGCAAGCGCTCATCGCGCTTCTTGTGCAGCTAGGTTTTGCAGTAAAATGGGATAAACTAATCAGCCCATCGCAGAAAGTGAAGTTTTTAGGGATCATCATTGATTCTGTAGCAGAGTGTTTAGCAGTCCCGCAAGAAAAAATGCACGAATTAAGCAGTTTAGCGTTGCAGTTTAGCAAACGGTTAAAGGTCACCAAACGAGAGTTGCAGTCTATTGCAGGTTTAATGTCGTTTGTATCTCGTGCCGTATACGGTGCGCGGACATTTTCAAGGCTATTTTTCGACCGCATACAGGAATTGGACGCTCCCTCACATCGAACGCGAGTGACGGCAGTCCTAGCAGATACTTTAAAATGGTGGCATTGTTTCGCAGGGAGAGTGAACGGCTTGGTACGATGGCCTAATCTGAAAGCAGATGCAGTAAAAATTTACACGGACGCGTCGCTTCAAGGTTTCGGCGCGGTATGTGAGAACCGGTATATGGCGGGCAGTTGGAAGCAGCAGGGAAAACAGGTCAACACCCGCATGGCAGCCAACTGGGCGACGACCCCTTATGTGTCAGATTCCTTGAGGGACAACATTAACTTCTTAGAGTTAATAGCAGCATGCATGGCAGTTTTAATCTGGTCCGAGGAATTAAAAGATAAGCAGATCATTGTTGTTTCTGATAATGCAGCAACAGTATCGTTCCTGAATAGAGGGACAACTCGCAACGCGGAAGCGCTGCAGTGGTTGAAGATAGTCTTCTACCAGTCTCTCAGGCATAATTTCCGCTTGACAGCAGAACACCAACCGGGACTGGATAACACGGCTGCAGATGCACTGAGCCGTGTTGCCATTTCTGACAATGAAGTTAGCAGATTTTTCTCTGTATTTTGCAGGTCACAGTATGCAAGCCTTCCACTTACCCACGCAGAGCAGTATCCAACTCGAACGACTGGAGAAACAGCTTGCAATTTTGCAGAGCGCAGCTATCGCAGATACCTCGAAGAAGACCAGAGTGTCTCAGTGGAAACGGTACCTCGTGTTTTGCAGTGAATTCAATTTCCCACCGCTTCCGGCGGATACGCATACTATTTGTTTGTACATTGCATACCTAGCAGAGACCCTGGAATTTGCCACAGTGCAGAATTACGTGTCGAGTTTGAGTTTACTGCATAATATAAATGGCATGGAAGCACCTGACCTTTCGCATTTTTCAATCAGGCAAGCACTGACAGGCTTGCAGCGCAGCAGACTTGAACGACCTTTCCAGCGTTTGCCAATCACGGCTGATCACCTTCATGCATTGTACGCCGCTTTAGCAGCCATCGAACCGCACGCCAGGCTGTGTTTCTGGACAGCTTGCGTTGTGGCATTTTATTCACTTCTTCGGCAGGCAAATTTGTTTGTAAAGCAGAAGCAGACTGGACAGCACCTGACTTGGCAGCGTGTGGAGTTTTCCGGCAGAGGCAGTGTAATTCTCACAGTCCCCGTTATGAAAACGGCTAAATTTAAAGCTCAAGACATGACAATCACATTGCATCCGAATGAAAGCAGCGTTTATCTGTGTCCCGTTACGAATTTGCGTCTACTGCAGGATGAGCAAAGAACCACATGTCCTCAGGATTCAGTATTTCGTTTTCGCACTGGCCGGGACTGGGTGTCGTTGTCACCACACAGCTTCAACAGGCAGTTAAAGCGGTTGTTGGACAAGGCCAACATAGATGCATCACTCTTTTCCGCCCACTCCTTTCGCAGGGGTGGTGCAACGTTTGCAGATCAAGCCGGAGTATCGGAAGCAGCCATTAAGGCACAGGGCAACTGGCGCAGCGACTGCTATAAGCGCTATATTGCACGCGACAATGAGCTACGTGAGCAGTTCGGTCAGATTCTTTCCAGTGGGTTGTTATGACGAGGCGTTGGGGTTTTGGGTCAGACTGCCCAGCATCCGATTGTGTTTTGTCAGTTTCTGTTGGATGGTAGTACTGCTGCCCATGGGATTAATAAATCCATACCCCCCACGACTTCGTCTGTTTGTTGGTTGCTTACGTTAGGAGCAGAAGCACGTTGGCAATAATGTGAAGGATTTCTCTGGCAGGGAGAAATCTGCTTATTATTGACAACCGGATCGTGACCTAACAGTTTCAGTATTCCGGATACGGGTCACCATATAAGCAACAGCGGCAATCGGCGGAGCCTTCACTTCAACGCATTTTTTATTTCCGCCCACCCGCCCTGCAAGTTCCATGCTTTTCGATAATTGCTGTTGTTTTCGGTCTGATGTGATGCGTCTTTGCTACGATTATTTTGATTCATTAGCGGATATTTCCTTGCTTTTTTTTTCCGTTGTTGTTTTTCCTGTGAAGGGTCAGACTGCCCAGCATCCGATTGTGTTTTGTCAGTTTCTGTTGGATGGTAGTACTGCTGCCCATGGGATTAATAAATCCATACCCCCCACGACTTCGTCTGTTTGTTGGTTGCTTACGTTAGGAGCAGAAGCACGTTGGCAATAATGTATCTTTACGTGCACAGGCGGTGCACTTAAACTATTGGTACGCACTGACCCATCAGAGTTGAACTACTAAATAATAACCACAAGTTTTTTGTAAGAACAGAAGTGGCGCAAAAATGTTTAAGACGTAAATTGAGAACAACATTCATTAAATAAAAAGATGTCTTATCCACTTCATTGTTTGTGCATCAAAACTGCGATTTTTAAAGTACACTTGATTCTGACAGTTTTACATTTAATAAACACTGGACTTCGAATTGGAGTTGCTGCATATCCACTCATACGCATAGCGCTATACGGACGTGGATGTAGGACCTTTATGAAGTCTACTCCACAGTTACGGTTCCATATCGTTGGACAGATTTTTTAAGGAGCTTCAGTATTCGTCTCGACTTTGGTAGATCGTCTGTTCCATGATTGTCAACTTCATGATGATACCATGCACTGAGAACAGCTGACTGCAAATCGGGTATGTGGCGCTGGCAATAACTGCCCACAAGGTACACGACACTTTCCAAAATCAGAACGGGAAACAGCATCCGGGCCTGTGCTGTAAACGGTCGCGGTGGTATACAGTGCGCAATGGTGAAATTGGTCAAATAGAATCCGTGCATTAACGACGTGATGCAGGTCACGTTGATGACGGTGTTCAGTTCCCGGCTCGCCCACAACCATCGTGCCGCGGTCACCGTCATACATTCCTTGTTCACGTGCGCGTCACTACGGCGGCGGAATTTACTGACCGAGACATACAGCTGCAGAGCATATATCTGGGCGGCAAAAGGACTGGCCGCCAGTACAGCGCAGGGTACGACAAATGCAATGATCCATACCACTTGGAACCCTAGGCGACGAGTTTCCGGCTGCCAAGAAAGAGGACAGAACCTTAACATTACGGTCAAAACAGTGTTTCTTTCACTGGACACTCTTAGCTACATTAGCCAGACTTGTGTTGGTTTTTTTCGATAACATCTAACGTGATCGTAACAAATATTAATTTAATGTCAAGGACTAATAAGATCAAATGTATGTATTACCAGTATGTACGAGTACATCTAGTGACCATACTCCGAGTGCCCCAGGGGTTTCTCTGCTCAACGATTAGATTAAGTAGGTTAATGTTGAGATTAGATTAAGGTTTAGATTAACTGAGTAACCTAAGCTAAATTAAAATTCAAAGAGGTAAATTCGAATATTTTTCGAATTTGTTACATATGTAAAGTGGTTCAGTAACAAAACTTTCCCTATTTCAAATTTCAGACGGATAGAAAAGTCCATGATCGCTTTTTCTAGCTATGTAACAAATTCGAAAAATATTCGATCGAAGCCGGTGAAATGATCGAAGCCCGTAAACCATTCAACCATAGTAATTTTGAGTGTTATTTTGGAAATACAAAAGCAAAAAAAATACAATACTTTGTATGTGCAAAAACGAAGCGTCAGTGTTATTACTAACACATTACCACACCTACCACGGAAGTAAATTCAAAATCTTTTGTGAAAATCGTAACCACTGTCAACAACAGGCCTCTGAACAGGACCAAGGACAGTAGTCCGACCACAAAACGATTAACAGTCTGAGTAACTTTCCAGATTTCCTTAGTCAGTAAACGGGGTGAATATTGTCTAGCACCGTCAGCCTCCCGGGCACAGTAAATGAGATGATAGCGATTGCGTATTGTCTCCATATTCGCATTATCGGGTATGTTGGCTTGGTGTTGCGTTTTAAAGTGTATACGAAAAATAAATTACGTACACGGTACACTAATAGATTATGCAAATGCTTTAAAGACATGCATGAAAAAAAAACTTTTAGGAAGTCTCAGTTCTTATTAAAGACATTCTTCCGTATTTTACCCACAATATTCTACGATAAATTTGCCTATGAATGAGTCAGTACAAGTACGACAGAAATCAATCGATGCGCCGCTGCGTGTATCATGTACTGGATCCTGGATGTACCGTATACCGAGTTTGATGAAATACAAGCGAGAAAATCAATACAGTGCATGAGTACCCCACCGTGCGATGCGACACTTGAATGTATATGCAACAGTATTGTAGCATTAAAATGGGGAAGCCGTTAGAAGCAGCGAAAATTTATCGTTTTTAGAGTAATAATTACTGTATGTACAGACTACTGTACGTTTACTGTACTGCACGCCGTAACCCAGAGAGATGTATTGACACCAGATTTCCTAACAAACTCCAGTTTTTGCACCTTTCCGGTACCGTGGACAGTCCAGTCTGCAAATGATAAAGATCGTCGCCAGATTGTTTTAGCGGGAATGTCAGCAAAGTGACCGTTTAAGCTCCCACGCTCTTGCCCACCGAATGAAGATTAAATTTTACGGTCGCAAAACATCTGCAACTTGCAACCACGGTTCGGTTAATTTTTCAGCCGATAAATTAGCCTGAGAACTTTTACCTTGTAGTATTGTACCAACTTGTATGTTTTCTAGAAGAGAGATACGTACAGTGTTAAAATCAACGGTAAAATGTCATAATTCTTTAAAGGTCATTTTGGTTTTCAGCGAGTATTATCTGTAGAATAACTATCCAAGTTTTCTAAAACCCATCAATATTTTATTTGTTCACACTGCGACATAACAGTCAGTCATTCCACTACGGCGAGCATTGCACAATCAAGAATTCAGGAAACAACCAAAATCACTATTATCAACAACTTTATTCTTGCCCGGTAAAGCTCCTAAAACCGCGGCAGCATTGCATTTAATAATTGCAAGGCTAATGCGCTGCGTAAAAAAGTTATTTTGAAGTTAAAAAGTTCCAAGTTTTCTTATTGTTCTCTTAAAATGTCAAATGAATTTATTTCTTCTTGTTACACGTGTTAAGAAAGGTATTCAGTCAGTAGAAGTAAAACGCAAAACTTTTATACACACAAATAGATCCAGTTGATTTCAGATTTGTTTCGCCGGACGCACATTCTTCGCAAGATTGGAAATCTCTTATACAGATAAATACTCGCGCAGATTTCTGTCATAATTGCAGTCTTCCAGAATTTTCGGTTTAAGATATTAATTAACCGTAAGCTTCCTTCCGGCATGTGTACAGTTGTCATTCCGAACTGCGCGAAGAATTTGGCAAGCAAACTACAACGCAGTTTGTTAGCTGTGCTGATGATACTTGCAGCCTTTTCAACAAACGCTCTTACGGTTTCGATAAGTAGCGTTCCCGGGTGTACATGATCGCGGAAATGCTCCATATGCTGTAAAGCGGTGTCATGGGCTGTAGTCCACACGTTGAGCCGATGCTGTTCAGCCACGCGGAGCAGTTCGCGGCCAAAAATTTCTACGTATTCGGCGCTACGGTTATGCTGTGTCCAGTTGTCAAAGGTCACATTCGGGTTTATCGGAACTATAAACACGTGTACAACTGGTGCATGTTTTCTCTTCAAAATTATGATTCTGTTCGCACTTGTCTGCATCAAAACAGCCGTGGTGTTCATTCGAATATCCCGGAGAAGTCGCGAAGTAAGTCCAACATTTTCTGGAAAAATGAGAAAGAATCAGGGTAAACAATAGCAGAATGTAGCGTTAACGTACGGAATATTTGCAACAGTGCCACAGTGCACTGAAGACAAAAGAAAACGCCAAACAAAATTAATGCACTATTAAATTTTTTATCGAGCCGCTTATAAGATGTACATGCAGTCACTGTGTGCTACATCGATATTTAATCCATTTACATGTATCTTAATGTACACATACCAAGGAAATTATTTAAATTTTTCCCCCCACGCTTGTCCACTGACCACTGAAAAACTGCTTGTGTATTTCGTCATTAATTTCAGAATGTTCACGTTCTACTATCCACGACTGCGGAAAATTAAAAGCATAATTCTGCCCTAGAAATTTGCGGTACCGCTCCGAATCCAAGTAAAACATACTGCGGCGGTTGACGAAATCCGTACTTCCACTGCGCCACAATCTGTCGGCCTTCTTCGGGGAATCGACACCAATAAAATTCCTAAAATTTCGGTAATCGAATTTTTCAAAAAAAACGATTTTAAATGGCCTACTACCTTTTCCTTTCTTTTGTGTTTGTTAGCATATACCAATTTTGTTTTGGTTAGGCGGTCGTGGTAAAGCACATTTTCGTAAAACTGTTTAGGATGGAAAGTTGCGCCGCTAAGAAGGCTTCGGATATAAGAAAATAGGTCCCGCATTCTGGAGTCTCCAAGAAAAGCCACTGACTTGCCGAACAGACCGGCTTTCAACGACCTGCAGATATACTGTATCTGTAGATGAAACGGTGGATAGTTGTTCGAAGGCCAGAATATACTGCAGATAGATAAAGTTATGCAAATTCGGTGTACGAGCGTATATAATGTAAAACAACATAAAACTATACGTCAAACAAAAACAATTCTAACTTCCGTTTGCAGTAGGTGCTGTTTTATTTTAAAATAGCTTGTTTTCATGCAATGATTAGATATTTTTTTAGTCGGGATTCACTTTAACTCTGATTTAAACGAAACTTTCAGAAAGAGCAGCGTACGGCAGGGTTTTGTTCAGGTCTCCGAAAGCACATGCATTTTCGCTTCGTTGCATGTTCAGCAGATAATCCACGCATAGCGGATGTGGTGGCTTAATATCTCTGAGGAGCTCCACAGCACCATTATTAATATTCCAAATGTTTAACGGGACGGTGGTTGTGTTGAACACATTCTCAGCGAAATGTATGGCAAAATTAATCGGCAATAAAACGTTTAGCCAGTTGAGATCAACATAGAAGGTAAAACATAAGCACAATGAGAACAACACTACATAAATACAACATTTCCGGTTCATCGGGACCTGACATTGTCTGAAGCTTAGAATTTGCATATAACCGTAGAAATTTAATACACTTAAAAATTAACCGTTGGAGTTAGTTAAAGTGGCACTTCTCGCCTGTTGCATAACAGCTGAAATTTGGATGCATTAAGATGAGCTGCTCGTCGAGATGTCGGTGCATGTAGCAGTTTGCTTGGATTTTTTTGTTTTCAGACGTGCCTAGTGAGTCGTGGTTATGATACGTCCAACATCCGTTTTCGGTTGTGCGCCCAAGCGCATGCAACCACAGTACGTATCAAAAAATAACATGTACCCTAGGTAATAATTACCTGCAGTCTGCAGATACCCCATACTGTCACAATCGCATTGGAATTATTTTGTACTTTAGTTTTTAGCGCGTTTTAAGTAAGCACTACTATACATACATGATACATACAACAAGCTGAAAGAACCAACTGGAGAATTATCACTACGCATTATGAAAGTGTGAAGACTTTTCTTTAAAAATATCTCTTATTTGCTGAAGCGGAAGCGGCAAGCACAACACTACTGCGTCAGGTTACTACTGTACTACATTCCTAAATACAGCGGTTTAACTATACCAGAATTTGCAAGTTGCTTGTATGCCTAACATTGTGGTAGTTAATTTAACTACAGGAGAGTTCACAGGTCAAAGAAAAGATTTTCAGACTCCACCAAGCATAACATTCCATAATTATAAGCGCTACTCACCCGTCTAAGGCTATAGATTGTCTTATCAATAATACTTTTACCTTATAACCTGAACATGATGTTGGCGCAATACGCAATAATAGTGTAAAACTTTTTCTTCAACGAAAAAATGAAAGCTGTACACGAAATTATTGTGAGTATCAGTTACGTTACTGTCGTAAAGCTTACAGGGATTAACAGTTTTAACTCTACTTTGGGATTGATATTTTTGCTGTAGGTTTTGTGTACAGCAACAGTAATGCTGACCGCTATATCCGCCAGTATTATACCACAAGACTTCCAGTTACTGAAGCGACTACTCCAGTATAAATCCACCAATGCCGTCTCCGTTCGAAATACCGCGCCGGCGACTCTTGCGGTGCCGATCACGACCACCGAACTCTCGGTGATTGTCGCGCAAACCGACAACCTTCCCGTAATGAACGACTTTTACAATACTATCTACACCGGCAACCGTACGGTCGACGTTAAACTACGCCAAACCATCAGCGCCGCCGTTCCTCACTTACAGAAACTGGCTGCTAATCGCACTGATAAACTGTCCAAACAACGCGCTCTAGTCCAGTTAGCAGTGGAACTACAACCGCTAATTGGACCCATTATCCGCAGCTATCCTAATCTAACAGCGAATATTACCTACCCGAATAAAGGGCCGATTATTAACAATTTCAACCGAACAGCTCGTGGTAAGCATTACTTTACTGTGACGCAAGAAAACGTCCTTAGCGAATTATGTACATTAATGCATTATTATAAACTAAATCTTTTTTGCAGATTTATAAATTATTTACAACGTGTATGCATGCACGCTTTTACTGGCTATTTTGACTAGAAATAAAAATTTTATAGGTATCAAAACTTGTTTTGCGAGTAGAATCTTTATGATCTTGTTAAGCGTCTTTTAGTTAACCAATCTTTTTCTTGTAGGAGGATATGGCGGAGGCGGCTGGGGCTGGGGCGGAGGTTGTTGTAAGTATCAGTTGCGAGATATAAATACATAGAGGATCATATGTATTATTTTCAGCATAACGGTGAATACAAAATATGTGTCTGTATTGAATGAAAGCCGTTTTTTCTGTTCCAGGTGAAGAGCCTGTAAGTCTGGCAGATGAATTGCAGGAATGACCTTTTATTTGATTAGCTAACAAGTCGAATAATCGGGTATGTGATATGTGATCCTGTTCTGATTTATTAGCATGTATTCGTGCTGGAAAAAGGGTGGGGAGGAGACGATCACGATGGGCTGGTATGTTTTTTCTCTTCCGGGTAACTGAAAGGTCTTCCTCAGTTTCGATCCTTGGGAATTTATTTCAGCTGAGCTACTTGCTGGCCAATAAAGGTGGTTTAGGTGGAAATTCGGGTAAGCACGTGTAACCTCTAGAAAGAATTCAATGCTTCTCCGCTTTTCAAACATTTCGGCAGGCACTGTTACAATTCGGATGTTTTTAGACAATTACAATTACTGCTACAATTCGGATATACAAATTTGGCATGATTTTGGTTTTTATTTGCAGACCTTAACACGCTTTTGCCGGTACGTATGACGTGGTTTATTTGGATCAACCGATTCGTTGTTTCTTCGTGGTATGAAATGCTGCTCAATCGGGTTCACTGTTACAGCTCCTGTTTGGCTTGATTGCCTTGTTAATTATGAGTAAGTACCGTACCTAAAATCCTTAAAAAAAAACGGATATAACCAAATGAACAACAAAATTGGCCGATAAAAAGTTTGAAAATTATGAATTCTTATGTAGAAGTTTTTAAACATCAAAATTTGTCTATGAATATACGGCAAGATACAAGATGTGGCTGTTATACGTTTCCCCTCAAATGGGGTGTGCTACAAAAGGTGCCGGAAGCATCATCCGGATGCTTTTATTTTCCTTTTATTATTTATAGAGCTGCCAACTTAAATCGCCCGAGATCGCTTGGGAAAGACAACAAATTTCAACAAAGAAAGGAGCACATTGCAACAACCGAATGTGTCTATGTATATTTGTTAACTCAGTTGGTGCAAGGTTTATTTGAAATAATTCTCCTATCTGTTGTCATATGACTGATGTTTGGACAATGCGAAATTGTTTTTCTCGTTTTCTACATTTTGTTATATTTTTTGTTCTTGTTTGTTTTTGCATTTTGGTACCTTACAGTTTTTAATGGGTATTGCTTACTACAAGAACGCAAAGTATTATTAGGAAACTGTTAATGGTATCCTGTTAAATGGGATTCTGCGCACGTACGCGTAGCAGATACAAGGTACTATTACTATACATTGTTATAGTAAAAAAATGGCAGTTATTGACTACGACATTCCGATCCACCGACGTCGACAGCAGTAAGCACCTTTGTTTCGTACCCGATGCGAAGGTACTGCATGTGCAAACGCAAGTACTCTACAAAGCGGTAACAGCTGCAAAGCGGTCCCGTTATTCATTGACGTGGTAGGCAAAGGAACAAAATTCATAATCGGGAGAGCGCTTTTATCAGCAGCACAGCACAGAGGGCTCACGATCGTGAGTGAACGAGGCTTTATTGTGTACAACGGTAAAGCATGGGCAAAACGCATGGCAAGTGGCCAGCGCGAGGGGCAAATCATGACTAAACTGGAATGAGCGGCTGAATGAGCCGTAACATAGAAAAATGCCTATCGGCAGCACTGGGCAGATCCAACACGAGCGAACGAACGCTGATTGGCCGAGACGTAAAGCCGTAGGTGTGGCAAGGCGTAGCCGAGCCTGAGTCGAGGCCGATACGGCGTACGATAGCGAGTGCGACTCCGTGTGTGAGTCTGCACACCGGAAGCTGGGCTGTCGCTGGCTGCCATCTCGTAGGCTGCCATGGCGACCGGCCTGACATGCCTCTGGGCGGGAGTCCGAGCCCCTGCGAAGGACCCGGTCTCGTACCGTCCCAGTGCCCGTTCCGCACAAGACCCTATTGGGGTCTGTGGCTGCGCCTCGGGGGTGTCCGGTGTGGATGTCTCCGGTCCCGCGTTTTCCTCCGGATCCGTGGTGGCGGTACAACTCACGGCAGAAATCCGAAGGTCGGTCGGGTTTCTTGTTGGACCGGTGTAGGCTTCTGTTGATGATGATCCGTAACGGCGATAGTAAAAGTAAAAATAAAACATCAATCTCTCTCTCTCTCAAATTAAATTTTAATTAAACATCATTTCATGGTCAGAAACAACAAAAAAAAATCAAAGTCTTTGGTCCGGGTCTTTGGTCCGGGTGCTTATTCCGACAAGGACGACGTCCGTCTCCGGAGTCTCCTGTCCAACAGTTGTCCGGTCATCCGAGTCCGAGGCATCGGTTCTCGGGATACCCGATGATACCGGTTAAACTTCAGCGTAGGGTCGGGTAGGCCGGGCTTAAGCCTACCTCCGACCGAATGACTTCGGGTTAGACATGGATCTCCGTAAGCCGGGTGAGAAACGGGCATGAAACTCACATTCCGACCGGGAATCCTCCAGTTAAGGTTGAATGGAACCACCGTTGCCGGGGTTCGTACGGTAAGGTGAATGGTGAGGCACCGTCGCGGTACGCGAAAGCCGTAAGGCATCCTCTCTAGGTTAGGAATAAGACCTATTGGGTCTTCTTACAGGGGAATCTTCCGGTAAAGTACCGGTTTTCCGGGGTTTCATCCGGACAAAAACCGTAATTTCACGTCCTGTCGCCTATTGGGCTACTTGGGCCGGTTAATGTCAGGCTTTAAGGGTCTGAGCTGGGGTAGCCTCGGTATATGAGGGTTAGCCTCGGTCAGAAAGTTAAAGTCCTTTTGCAGCCTCGGTTGCTGAGGTAGAGTCCGGTGAGACCCTTGGCTGCTTCGGCAGGTCGTGGCTACGCGATATGCTGGATATCTGGTCCGGGCAAAAACCCTATTAAGGTCCTCTGTCACCTATTGGGCGACATCGGGAGGGTTTGTGCTGGACTTCAAGGGTCCAATCCAAGGTTCATCCTCGGTGAAAAAGTTAAAGTCCAGTTGCAGCCTCGGCTTCAAAGTTAAAGTCCGATAAAATGTTCGGCTGCCATGGTAATGTCATGATGAAAGGTCCTGTTCGGACAAAAACCCTGTGATGATCCGCTGTCGCCTATTGGGCGACATTGGAAGGGTTGATGCCGGACTTTGACGTCGAATCCAGGGTCCAAAGGGTTAGACCCGAGGGTAGCCCTGGTTAAAAAGTTAGTCCTTTGGCAGCCTCGGATGCTGATTCTAAGTCCAAGAGCAGCCTTGGTTGACGGTCTGATAGGGGATCCATCCGGGCAAAACCCTCTAAATAGCCCTCTAGCACCTATTGGGCGCTGAGGATAGGGTTGCTACCGGGATGTAAGGCCTCTGGGCAGGATCCGAGCCCTGTTGATCCGGTAAAAGATGTCTCTGGGCGGGGGTCCAAGCCCCTGTAGGTTTAACGATAATGCTCTGGTGGGAGTCCGACCTCCATGGTCGGTGATGCCGGGAGTCTTCACCGGGCGACTAGCAAAAAGCGTGCAGAAAGAGGCTTTCCTGCAGCTGTATCAGACCTAATTGGGTCTAAGCCGCGAGGTAGGCACTCTAAGGTTGTAAAGACGGGGTCCATTCTGGTCCGCCCTTCTGGTTTACCGCGGGCTGCTAAGCTGTGCTAGAGACCTATTGGGTCTCTGCAAGCAGCGTCGAGGTAGAGATCGTGGTTGGCACGATCTGCGAGGTGGTTGAGGGTTACCGGCGATCTGCGGGGCCTCTAGCTGTATCCCTTATTGAGGGTCCAGCTAGTAGCCAGATCGTGGTTAGGGGCTGCGATCTGCAGTTCCTTCGCTGAGATATCCACGGACAGCCGTGCTTATGGCTGACTCTGTGACTTTCTTCGGTAGGAGAAGTGGTTAGATGCCGCGGTCTGCGGGCTTAGGCTAAAGACTCCGTTCTGGGCCGGTGATGGTAGCCGATCATGGCTAAGCCTACAGTCTGTGGCTCCAAAGCAGAACGTGGTTGGGGCCCGATCTGCGCCGGGGGTTAAAGGTAGCAGAATGTGGTTCTATCTGGTATTAAAGGGTTAGTGCCGGAGGATCCGAGCCTTTTGACGGATTCTGTCCGGTGGAAACCTCGGAAGACATACCGGTACGGTGCGTCCACTGAAATTCTGACGGGTGCACCCGTGATTACCGGGTTAATCCGGGGAATCCGTTCCGTAGGGTTCGTTTAGGCTTAGTACAGGGATGGGTTAACCCCACGTATCCCTTATTGAGGGTCCGTATGGGTAGCAGATGTGGTTACCCTGCGATCTGTGGGATTCTTCAGGTTTTGTCCGGGTAAAGTTCGTCAACATCCCTATTGTGGATGTCGTCATGTCCATTTGACCGGTTTTACGGTAAGCCTAACCCTATTGGGGTCCGGCTACCGGTGAATCCTAGTCATCGAGGGTTTGCTGGTGTCCGAGGTTTACCGGGCTTGTGCTGAGCCTCCGATCTTCCTCGGTGACTAACCTCCGTCCGTCGGCGCGGTTCACCGAGCGATGGTCCGGAGCCATTTGGCTTCATCTGAGTTGATGGGGTCGACCCTATTGGGGTCACTACCGCCATCGAAGGTTGTGCCGGAGGTAGCCTCGATGCTGCCGGTAAGCTGACTGGTGGTGTCGTCACCGTGGCCTCTATCCGTGTGAGTCGGGCCAAATACTGGGTTCCATCTGGTCCAGTCAGTATGGCGGTCGTCGGAAGATGGGTTGGCGCCGGGTGCTCAATTGGGAACCCGGCGCCGGGTTCCATGTTGAGCCTGTCCCGCTGAGCCTGAGTTGCTGGCAATTCCCGCCGTTCATCCTCGCGGTCTTCTGCACGACGTCGCTCTCGGGCGTTAACCAGCCTCGGGTTCTCCGGGGGTGATGGGGCTGTATCCCAGCCATGTTCTTGTGTACGGCGACGGTGACGGTGCAGGTCCAACTGGTGCAGCAATGGCTCTCCCTGCAACTGGGCTATCACTTTTTGGTGACCAACCAGATACAGGTACGCGCTCAGGTTCCCTGCTACGGCTTCAAGGTACAAGGCGTTAGCCTGTTCATCATGTGAGGCTCTTCCGACCGAAGACTGTTTATCCAGCCGGATGAGGGTGCATTCTGCGCAAGCATGCCGGGAACCATAATTGTGGTTATTCGCACGGCAGCTTTTGCATCCTGAATCATAAGCTTCTGTCCGATTCTGTGAGCAGAGCACTGAAGGGTCACGATTAGCTTGCCAAATTCTATGGTTTAAGTCCTAAAATTACGTCCTATAATTACTACGGTCGGGTACGATCGGTTCTCGTCCGTATCCCACTTGGAGGGGGTTGATTCTCGAAACCCCTCCGGCGCCTTCTGCGCCTATTAACTCCTTCAACGATTCGGTCCGGGCAGCCCTAACCATCCGGGTCTTCCGTCCGAGCCCGAGTGGTCTGTCTGGTGTTCGGTGACTTGGCTTCCTTCTCCGAGGGTTGGATAGGGGCCGAGGTTCGGGTTGTTGTCGCCCGAAGATTGAGCTGCATACGGTGTCGCGGAGCAAGTATGCCCCTACCAGCCTCGGTGAAATGGTCTGATTCCTCCGATTCCGACACCCCTTCCGTGTTGCCGGAGCTCTTCAGTCTCGGATGTTGATTAGCCACTATTGGCGGCTGTTCGACCTTGTCGTTCCCATCCGACTCCTCCTCTGAGGTCTCGCTGAGGTTCGCCGGGGCTTTCTTCATCTTCTTCATCCCTGACCGGACCTTAATTGAGGTACCAGGTCGTATGGCTTTTGAGCCTCCGGGGAGGGTTCTATTCGGGGATCCAACTTCTCCGGTCCCAAAAAGATTTATCCACGTTCCTATTGGGGACGTCGTGGTTTAGGTTTACCGGTCTTATGCTGCGCCGTGTCCCTTTTGGGGTCCGGCTACCGGTGAATTTCGTTTCCGCTGGCTTATGGCGGGGGCTCGACCACCGAAGTGGGAGCCTTCCGAGCCTTTGGCTTCTTAGCTTTTGTTGTGGGTTCGGCCCGTCCTTCGGTGATTCTTTCAAGGATATTTTTGTGGGCTTCGTCTTCGGCTACGTGAGCCTCCTCAAGTACTTCTTGAGCCGTCAGCATTGGCTTCT